TTACTGGACTGCAGGTGTGAGCCACTGCCTACAATAACTGACTGGACCACAGGTGTTGAGCAACACTGCCTACAGTAAGGGACTGGACTGCAAGTGTTGAAGAACACTGCCTACAGTGGAGAACTGGACTGCAAGTGCTTAGAGAACACCACCTACAGTTGATGCCTAACAGTGATACAACACACATGTTTGAGGGTCATTGCAAAAGCACTGCTATTGCAATGATACATAACTAGGAGCCAAGTAAAGAGTAGAGTATAAAGTAAGTAAGTAGAGTGGATGAGGATCCACTCATATGTTATGGTGGAATGAGAGTATTTATGCATTTGATTGGTGTCACCTGCAACACCTATCTGTTCCTCTTGAGGGGCCTTTGTCCCCTGTTTGACACTGTCTCTCCTGCTGGCATCGATCCCATTGATGCTGAGCCCCTACCATCTGCACAGCATAATGGTTATGCAACACTGCCCTTTCACCTTCATGCTTCCTTTCCACTTGATGATGTGTGATGACCCCTTTGACACAGCCCCTCCTCTTCATTTAACCAATCTGTTCACCACTTCCTTCTCTCTTCACTGGCAACCACCTTCCTGACCTTATCTTGTGAATCCCTTTAGCCACTTGTTGGACCTCATGACCAAACCCCTTGGTCATGCAGTCACCCCCTGTGCTTGGTCCTGTGTGGCTATATGCATGCACCCCTCAAGCAGTAACCATCTGCATGATGCTGAGCTCAGTCCCCCACTCCTACATGTGGTTATCTCTGTATGCTTCTCCTTCTAATGCCAGTACCTTCCTTCCTGAATCTCCTGATACTTGCTTGTATCAGCTGACTTGCTGAGGCATGCTGATCTGGCTGATTCTGATCAATCCTCATGAGATTAACCTGGAACCCAGAGTTCAGTCAATCTCATAAATCATATGCACTACCAGCCTGATTAGCTTTGTCAATTCCCAATGATTTGGCACTGATCAATTTGGTGCTCCCTTCATATGTTGATCCACTGACTCTGTGACATTACCATGAATGCTGTCAGTCAATTTGGTGCACCCTTCATATGCTGGCCCGCTGGCCCTGTGACACTAGCTTGACAATGAGTGGTACTGTGTTGTATCTGATCTCTAGTCAGATCAGCTCTGCTTGATCCACAATCAGATCTGCTTTCCCAATTACGTGTCATGGGGCCAGAAGCATGCACAGGAAGGATGGGTTTCATATGAAGGAACTAGATGCAGCAATTGTGAATTGGGCCAACCAAGAGTTTTGACAGGGTTCAGCAAGATCAGTAGGATTCAGGGCTCTATGACAGAACTTGTTGGGATTGACAGAAGCAGAGTCTTATTACAGAGTTTGTCAAGATCAGTAGGACTAAGCTTGTAATGACAGATTTCATGGAGACTGGCTTGAGGATGCATCTATCACTGATCTCATGATGATGGGCAGCAGATAAGGAACAGGCTCAACATCCAATGAAGTAGGGACCCTATACAATGATGAAGGTGGCATAAAAGGGTGGGCCCTATTGTCAGGAGAGCATGACAAAAGGAGGGGGCACCTTCCACTTGGATGAAGTGGGGGTGACCCCTATCAACAATGAGGTGGTGTTGGCTCCCCATGACTCAGGAGCAGGAGAAGCAGGGGCTGACAAGGAAGAGACACATCAGTAGAAACTCTGATACAGTACTCGACAAAGAAGGTGTCATAGGACTAGAAGCGCAGAAGCAGAAGCCTTATGAGAAGCAGAAGTCTTATGAGGAGGAGTGCAGGAATTGAGGATTGGGCAAATCAAGAGGTTTACAACAGAGTTCATTGAGATCTGTAGTAGAGAGGCTCTATGACAGATCTCACCCAGATCAGCATGAGCAAGGATTGTATCACAAATTCTGCTGGGATCCATAGTATCATGATTGTATGATGGATCTCACATGGGTGCCAATTTCACAGACATCTCAGCAGGACAAGATGGTGAGAACATTGGGTTCGCCACCCTGATGAAGCAGGGGGCCGACTTGATGATGAACTCGGAGCAGGAGGATGGTGTCATGGGACCAGATGCGCAGAAGCGGAAGTCATATGAGGAGGAGCGCAGGAATCGATTATTGGGCAGATCGAAGGAATTACAGTAGAGTTCATCAAGATCTTTAGTAGGAAAGGCTCTATGACAGATCTCATCCAGATTGGCATGAGCAGGGGTTGTACCACAAATCCTGCCAGGATCTGTAGTAGAGAGGGCTCTATGGCAGATCCCACCCAGATTGGCATGAGCAGAAATGGTACCACAAATTCTGCCTGGATCTGTAGTATCATGATCATATGATAGGATTGCACAGAATTGGGTGGCAAGGACATCTGGGTCTGCCACCTCAATGAAGCAGGGGCCAGTTTGGCAATGAAGTCAGGAGCAGAAGGTTGGGAGAGATGAAAGGGGGTGCAAATTGCCACCCAGATGAAGTGGGAATGGCCCCTGTTGGCTATGAAGCAGTATGAGGACTGTCCATCCACAGGAAGCACAGGAAGCAATGACAAGGGGCAGCATTGCAAGGAAGACAAGAGGAGGAGGAGCAGCATTAAGGGAGGACTCCCAGAATGGAAGCAGTGTCACAGGCGACATTGCAGGAATGGCTATATAACCATGCTCCTTGTTGCAGTAGTTGAGTGGATGGGAATCCACTCTACATCATGTCATGGGCCTGGATGCTCAAGAAGCAGGAGGGTCATGGGTTCATATGGAAGGAGCACAGGTATCGAAGACCTAGTCGACACCAGTAGAGAGCATGGTCGTAGTGCAGTCTCCATGGAGACCATGGACTCCTATGGACTCACATGCAAAGGAGGACCAAGCACAGCCACGAGGAGGACCAAGCTCAAGGAGCAGGCACAGCCACGAAGAGGACCAAGCTCAAGGAGCATGCAGATGGTTACCACTCAGGGGCTCGAGAGACAAGAGCCAAAGGAACTGTCACTGATCAAAGGAGGAGGAGCAGTGTCGAAGGAGTCGACACCAGGTCAAGAGGCACAGGGGTGCCAAGCAGGAGAGGCCCCTGAGCAGTACTCGATGAAGAAGGTACTCTCTGGAGAGAGAGCAGGAGCAGCATCGCTGGCGATGCTGAGAAGAGGTATATAACCATGCTTTCTCATCAATAGGTCGAGTGGATCCTCATCCACTCTACTCACCATACAACTAGTCAATACTTTAGAAACACAAGTACTCATTAGTTACAGTCAGCATAGCAGCAATCTATCAAGGTTGCTCCTCATCGTAGTGTGTGTGTTGTATCACCACTACCTGACGTCCGAAGGCGCCCATAGCAGGTTAGCGGTCCGGATATAGATAGAACCGAAGGCAGTAGTCCACTGCGGTCCGGGGATCACTTCAAAGCATCAAGTCAACACACTGGACACTCGTGTTGACGCCACCAACCTTATCACCAACACCATCAACCTCATTATCATCGACATCACCAATCTCATCACCAACACCATCAACCTCATCATCATCAACACCCACACCAGACCTTGGTGTCATCATAACATTGATATTGATCGTGCCGAGCTACCCCTGAACGGAGTGTCCACAGAGGTCAGCCGAAACCTACGATAGTATATACAACGAACGCCACCTGCTGTCACTGCACAACTTGATAGTCACCGATACCGAGACAATAGCTGTCACACAGTTTAATAGTCACCGAGTATCTCGACAGACCGACCTGGGTTTCAGGCGTGAGACCCCTGACATTAGAGTGGATCGTTCAAGCAGCTCCTCACGATCACCATGACGGACCCAGACCTCAACAATAAGCTTGATAGACTACTCACTCTATTGGAAGCACAGCTAGAGCTTACCAGACAGGGTCATCGAGAGGAACGATTACAACGAGCTCAACTGAGCAGGGAGGAGACAATGGACCTCTCTCACTCAGAAGACCAAGCAGGAGGAGGAGATGAGTCTATGATAGGAGACCCACATACTCCTACTCCAGCTCCACGATCAAGACGATCAGTCTCATTCAACCTGGATGAGCAGGAGGACATCAACTATGAGAAGTATGCTTCACCTACTGGGCCAAGATATGTCAAGACTAAGCTGGACCCCTACAGCAGGACTAGGACGGACCCTTACCCCCTGGACCACGAGGAGGATACCAGCATCATGGCAGAGCTTAACCGGTCAAAGCCCATTGCCACCCCCTTTCCAAAGTTCAATCCCCGAGACATGGAGATCTTCATTCTAGAAGCCAAAGCATGGTTTAAGTTCAACCAGGTGTATGAGCAGTCTAGGATGATCAATCACATGGGTGCTCAACTGGAAGGGACAGCAAGAGAGTGGTGGACCTCCAAGCTCCGTATTGATAGAGCTAGAGAAGGAAGGTTGTTCAATGATTGGCACTACTTCACAGAGCGACTGTCAGAGCAGTTCAACCCATGCAATGCTAGGATGGAGGCATACAACAAGCTGTTGGCTCTCAGACTCACAAGTGATGCTCCTGGTGCCGCCACACGTCATGTAGAGCGGTTCAGAGACTTGGAGGGACAGGTCAACCTAGATGACAATGAGCTAGTGATTGATCTCTTCAGAGGAAGTCTCACTCACAGCATACAGGAGAAGTTCAAGAGGAACCCACCTGGGAAGAGATGGGAGTGGTATTGAGAGGTTGAGGAGATCGATCGACAGAGGATGCTACTACAGCAGTCCTCGGCTAGACACTCACTTCCAAATGCCACGTCACCTCCACTAAGAACTGGGTCTCGGCCAAATCAAAGTTCAATCCCCATCCGACAACCCACTCAACCTTATCCAGCTCGATCACCATCACAAGCAACTACACAAGCAACTATACAAAACCTAAACCGACCCCTTCCTCATCATCCCACCCAACCTTCGAAGCAAGGAAGCCCTGCTCCATCAGGTATCAACACCTGTCATGTATGCAAAGGTATTGGCCATTGGGCCAGAGACTGCCCCAGCAGGAGGGTAGACCCTCTTAGCTCTCGACCCATGGGACCAAAGGTTATGGTCACCACAGCAGACCCCTTCGAGGAGGCCACCGACTCAGGAGATGGCCACACAGGCAGCACTGAGACGGGTGACCCCGAGGCCATGGACCTCAGCTCATACCAGCAACCCATGGACCCCGATCACGAGGAGGAGCACAATGATGATGACGACGAGGGAAACGTCAGTGGGGTGATGCACTGATGGCATGCATTGCTCTACAAACCTCCTCGCCATCACTCTGTATATATCAAGATTGTCAAGTATGTTTCTCTACCAGTGGAGGCAAAGCAGTACTGGACAAGATCGATCCATGGTGTCACCGGGCACCAACTCTCCATCAATAGTTCTGCGAGCATGCAGGTATCTATTGGTACACACAATCTGGGTGTGGTCGAAGCTTCAGTGGCCGACACTGCAGACTATGACCTCATCCTGGGGTTCACTGAGCTACAGAGGCTCAAACCCACCATACAATGGGATACGGGCCAGCTGGAGTTCAAGACTCAGGAGCAGGACCGACCCCCTAGGAGACCCCCTGAAGCAGCAAGAGCAGGGGACCTAACCATGAGGAGACCAACCCTTCATGGTTACGAGTTTGTCTCAGCAGAGCGCATACTACGAGCAGCTTTGGAAGATGGACCCATAGGGTTCATGCTGTTAGAGGAGCCACCATCATCACTCCCAGCCTTTGGTTTTGTACCTACAGGCGCAGACAAAGGAGTCGAGATGGAGGTGGAGGTAGATAAGGTGGTGTCGGCTGCAGACATACCAAAGCCATACCAACACCTGCGAGATGTGTTTGATGAGGTGGAAGCAGACAAGCTGCCCCATCATACCGAGCATGATCTCCACCTCGAGTTGATAGAAGGAGGGAAGCCACCTCAAGGGCCCCTATACCTTAAGGGACCCAAGGAGATGTCCGAGTTGAGGAGGTACTTGGATGAGAACCTCGAGAAGGGGTTCATAAGACCATCGAAGAGCCCGGCACGATCACCGGTGCTCTTCGTACCAAAGAAGGATGGAGGTCTCAGACTCTGTGTGGACTACAGAGGTCTCAACGAGATCACTGTCAAGAACAGGGCACCATTGCCCCTCATCGAGGAGCAGCTGTTCTTACTCAGGAAGGCAAGGATCTATACCAAGCTAGACCTTAGAGCAGCATACAACCTCATCCGGATTGCTAAAGGAGATGAATGGAAGACAGCTTTTGGCACTCAGTTGGGACTCTATGAGTACCTAGTGATGCCCTTTGGCCTAGCCAATGCTCCGGCTCACTTCCAGTCATTCATCAATGACATCTTCTGAGACATCATAGGGATATATGTGGTAGTATACCTAGATGACTTCCTGATCTTCAGTGACACTGAAGAAGCACATGTGAGGCATGTCACTGAGGTCCTCACTCGCTTAAGGAGCAACAGGCTCTTTGCTAAGCTGTCAAAGTGTGAGTTCCACACCAAGACAGTTGAGTTCCTGGGGTACATCATCAAGCCAACGGGCATAGAGATGGACCCAGAAAAGGTGCGCACTGTCAAGGAGTGGCCAATGCCGGAGTCAATCCATGACATCCAGAGGTTCCTGGGTTTTGCCAACTTCTATCGAAGGTTCATAGCCCACTTTGCTTGCATAGCCAAGCCCTTGACAGCACTGGTAAAGCCTATAGAACGGTTCAAGAAGTTCGAGCTACCAGAGGAGGCCCAACAGGCCTTCCACAAGCTCATCCAGGCCTTCACATCAGCAGGAGTGCTTCAGCACTTCGACTACCACCTTCCAACAAGGTTGGAGACTGATGCAAGTGACTTTGCTATAGCAGGAGTACTCAAGCAGGAGCATGAAGGACGATGGCATCCAGTGGCCTTCTACTCTAGGAAGATGTCTTCTGCCGAGAAGAACTATGAGATCCATGATAAGGAGCTCCTAGCTGTGGTCGCCTGCCTCACTCAGTGGCGACACATGCTAGCTGGACTACCGAACCAACTGGTCATCCTCACTGACCATGAAGCCCTCAAGTACTTCAAGTCACAGAGACGCATCACAGGTCGACAAGCTCGATGGGCAATACTACTAGCAGACTTCGACTTCATATTGCAGTATCGACCAGGAGACAAAGGTGGTGAACCCGATGCTCTCACCAGAAGGACAGACATGCAACCAGCCGGTGAAGAGCAGGATCACAATGTGAGGCAACTACTGCCTCCTCGAGTGTTCAAGGAGACAGCAGACCATGACTCGCTCCTAGTGGCCCCCATGATCTCGATGGAGTCCATAGCATCAAAAGGTCTCAAAGACCTGGTCAAGATCTTCCAGCCTTTAGACCAAGAGCTACAGGAGATACATAGGAAGAAGCCTTTCGAACTCAAGGATGACCTATGGTACAGTGGAGGAAGGTTGGTTATCCCCAAGGTGATCATGCCAGGGAGGACCAACAACCGACACTCAAGGAGTGCCAAAGAGGTAGATGGACAGTCTCTCTCTGTAGAGCATCTGCGATTCATGGTGATGACCCAATGCCATGATGGTATCACTGCTGGACATGTAGGAAGAGATGCTACCATCAAGGCAGCTCAACGACATTACTGGTGGCCAAACATGACAGCTTGGATTGCAGACTATGTAGCAAGTTGTCCTGTATGTGCTAGGTACAAAGCTCCTCGTCATCGTCCATATGGTTTGCTACAGCCACTAGCAACCCCAGACAGGCCCTGGGGCTCCATATCCCTCGACTTCATTGAAGGACTACCACCATCAAAGAAGTATGACTCCAAGACCTATGACTCTATCCTAGTCATTGTCGACAGGTTAACCAAGTTTGCCATACTAGCTCCAACCCATAAGACAGTCACAGCCAAACAGACTGCAGTATTGCTATATGGACACATGGTTAGACTCTTCGGATATCCAGATCACATGGTCTCGGACCAAGGCAGGCAGTTCATATCAGGAGCATGGAAGGCATTTGCAGAGCAAATGGGTGTGAAGCACTCACTTAGCACAGCCTACCATCCTCAAACTGATGGTCAGACAGAGAGAGTCAATCAGGTCATAGAGCAATATCTCAGGATGTACTGCAACTATGAGCAGAATGACTGGGCCAACCTGCTGGACACTGCGGCCTTTGTATACAACAACACGGTCCACAACAGCATTGGTGTCTCACCATTCTTTGCATGCTATGGATGGAACCCCAAAGCTCATCCTGACATCCCTCAACGACTAGGAGTCAATGATCCAGGTCGCTTCGAGTACCTCATGGATGGAAAGGAGCGTTGCAAGTACCTCCAGGAGCAGATCAGAGAGGCACAACGTAGATCAGTAAACCAGTATAACAGGAAGCACAAGGACATCGAGTTTAAGGTGGGTGATATGGTCTATATCAACCGACGAAACTGGAAGACAAGGAGACCCACACCCAAGTTAGACACCCGGTTTGCAGGACCCTACCCAGTTCAGGAACGGGTAGGATGCCGAGCTTATCGAATCATATTGCCAGCAAACCTTAGGGTGCATGATGTGTTCCATGTCTCCATGCTCGAGCCAGCAAGAACAAGTTCTCTTCCTCAACGTGCTGAACAGCCCACCATACCATCACTTCCAGATGAGGACCTCGACTTCGAAGTCGAAGCACTCATTGACAAGCGTTCACACAATGGGACTACGGAGTACAAGGTGTTGTGGAGAGGGTACTCAGAGGAAGCTGCTTCATGGGAACCAGTAGAGAACCTCAACTGTCCCGACCTCATCCAGGAGTATGAGGTGTCGGAGGGGGGACGAGTGAGTGGACAGAGTGGAGAGAGGAGGAGAGAACAGGAGGAGTAGAGAGAGGAAGAGGAAGGAGGATGACGTTGAGAGAAGGAGGAAGGATGATGTTGGCGATGTTGTCAAGGAGGAGGAGTCAGCATGAACCAGACCAGAGCATGCCTCGACGGAGCTCGGCTCTTAAGAGGGGGGTAGTGTCATGGGCCTGGATGCTCAAGAAGCAGGAGGGTCATGGGTTCATATGGAAGGAGCACAGGTATCGAAGACCTAGTCGACACCAGTAGAGAGCATGGTCGTAGTGCAGTCTCCATGGAGACCATGGACTCCTATGGACTCACATGCAAAGGAGGACCAAGCACAGCCACGAGGAGGACCAAGCTCAAGGAGCAGGCACAGCCACGAAGAGGACCAAGCTCAAGGAGCATGCAGATGGTTACCACTCAGGGGCTCGAGAGACAAGAGCCAAAGGAACTGTCACTGATCAAAGGAGGAGGAGCAGTGTCGAAGGAGTCGACACCAGGTCAAGAGGCACAGGGGTGCCAAGCAGGAGAGGCCCCTGAGCAGTACTCGATGAAGAAGGTACTCTCTGGAGAGAGAGCAGGAGCAGCATCGCTGGCGATGCTGAGAAGAGGTATATAACCATGCTTTCTCATCAATAGGTCGAGTGGATCCTCATCCACTCTACTCACCATACAACTAGTCAATACTTTAGAAACACAAGTACTCATTAGTTACAGTCAGCATAGCAGCAATCTATCAAGGTTGCTCCTCATCGTAGTGTGTGTGTTGTATCACCACTACCTGACGTCCGAAGGCGCCCATAGCAGGTTAGCGGTCCGGATATAGATAGAACCGAAGGCAGTAGTCCACTGTGGTCCGGGGATCACTTCAAAGCATCAAGTCAACACACTGGACACTCGTGTTGACGCCACCAACCTTATCACCAACACCATCAACCTCATTATCATCGACATCACCAATCTCATCACCAACACCATCAACCTCATCATCATCAACACCCACACCAGACCTTGGTGTCATCATAACATTGATATTGATCGTGCCGAGCTACCCCTGAATGGAGTGTCCACAGAGGTCAGCCGAAACCTATGATAGTATATACAACGAACGCCACCTGCTGTCACTGCACAACTTGATAGTCACCGATACCGAGACAATAGCTGTCACACAGTTTAATAGTCACCGAGTATCTCGACAGACCGACCTGGGTTTCAGGCGCGAGACCCCTGACACATCATACATTACTAGTTATAGCTTCACATAAGTATACTTAGTAGTTTTCTGTCAGCAAGTTGCAATCACATAGTATTGCTTCTATTGTAGCACATGTGTTGTATCACTGCTCATTGACATCATCCAAAGGCAGTATTAACTGCAGTCTGGATATCAATTGACACCAAAGGTGGTTCATACTGCAGTCTGGCTCTCTCGATCATTAGAAACCAAAGGCAGTTGTCCACTGCAGTCTGGGGATCACTTCAAGCACTCAGTTGACACACTGGACACTCATGTCAAAGCAACTTCCTTAGCATTAGACCTTGGTGCTCACCACATAACCATAGTTATTGATCATGCTGAGCTACCTCTGGATGGAGTGTCCACAGTGGTCAGTCAAAACCTGCAATAGCAATCAACCTATCACATATTCAAGTGAGAGAAGTCATAGAAGGCTTCTACAACAGATTTTGACAAGAATAATAATAACGGCCTTTTACCACATATCTCGATAAGATCTGTAATAGACACGTTTCTACTACAGATATCAGGTTTCAGGCGCGCGACCTCTGATATTACGTTCTAGATCGATCTTGCCCGATCCTTTGTCACTTTGACTTCCTGCTGGATCGTTATTTTTAGCAGATTCGTCCATGTCAAGGTTTGCTTCCCCAAGTCAGACTCAAGCTCAGTAAAGGGCTCCGAAGCGTGGAGGAAGAACGCGAAATATTGTTGCCTGTCCCGTCTAGACTCCCTCGCACGTAACTAAACAGACTATAAATAACACGCCAAAAAACTCGGTGGATTGCAGGCAAAGAGCCGTGAGGTCCTCGAAGCTCGACAAGGAGGCTCCCAGCCCGCCGGAAGAGGGGGGCCGGTCGAGTGCAGAAACGAGCGGCAAGGGAGGGTGTACAGGGAGGGCAAATAACGACAAACCAGGTTATGGTATGCCTGGCTTTGGAGAAGATGATGGTGGAGAAGAGAGAAGCGGAGAGCGGAATGATGTTGTGAAGAGCGGAGCAGAGCGGAGCGGAGCGGAGGAGAACAATGCGATTGCTGAGTCCAGCCCAGACGCGCACGAAGCCTTTTAACGTTATGCAATTTTTTCTTACTTTTTCTTTCTTTAATTCGGCGGCTTAGGGATGGGGCTTCAGAAAGATCTTGGACCCTGAGTTCGTGCTTGGAGGCCTAAGGCTCGAAGGGAGACAGCAGGCAGGGCTGAACTCCGATTGACAGCTGCCGTCTACTGCGTCGCCAATGTCGCTTCCATTGAGCAATTATACAGAGCTCGTCTTGACTGTGCTTGGCTTCATCTGCAGATCTCTTGCCTCGTCAGCGTGCGGGTAACCCATCTCTTTGCGACGAAGCCTTATCGATGCTGCGCTTTCAAAACAACAGTCTGCGTTTGTGGCCGGCAAAGGGAAGTCCACCGTTGGTGCTCGGGCCCCTTCTGTCATTGCAAAATTGACCGTCATGGCGCAATATCCATGCAGCACTTGCAGCAAAGGTCAGAAAATGAAGGAACACGGCAGTCACCTTCAGCCTCCACGATCGCAGACAGCCTCCAGAAAAGTGCGCAACGCCGTCTCTGGAATGGAAGCATAGACTCGGCAAAACCCAGCCTCATAGTCAGGACGAATTCAACGACGACTACTCAAGAATGGAGTCCGCTCTCTGTTCGAAAGACGCGTTCGACCGTGCGGCAGACCTTTGGGACAGCGAAAGTTCTTCGGCAACCCCTTCGAAAAGCAACAATGGCACGAGCACGGATATCCAAGATGTGGAAATGGCGGGGGAGAATGAGACTTTGGACGTCACGCTTGTCGGTTCAGATGGCTTTGAAATCAAATGCTCAAGCATCGACCTATCACAGCAGTCGAGTAAGCTCCACGAGCTGTTCATCGAGGGAAGCCGGATTCATTTGCCGATATCTTGGAAGGAGCTGCAGGCACTAGAAGCGGCCCTTGACTACCAGGAAATGGCGGGCAGAAGCTGGAGCGGCTTTTGGCTGGAGGATCTGGTTAGAGCTGTCGATGTGTTTTGCTTTTACGAGTTCAAGTTTTGGCCGTCCTATGCAATCGAGACGGCAATCCTTGACCATCTCGAGAACGGCGGTCAGGAGTACGATACCCTGCTCGGCGATGAACGCTACATTGCGAAGGTTCGGTGTTCGGCTCAGCAGGCCGGCATGTATCGACTTCTAGCTTTGATCGACCGAGAAAAGCCTGCGGGTTTAGAACAGTACGAGGGCGAGGACTGCCGGCCACGAAAGTGGCAGAAGCTTTCAGCCAAGTAAGTCTCGCTTTTCGTCGCAAAACTCGACACCATCGTGTAGTCCTAGCTGACCACCTCATCTCATCTCATCTCTTTTCGCTTTCCCTTCTCCAGCTGTGCTGTCGCCACAATGCTTTCGAACGTTACTCGTGCCATGTAGTATTGAGTCATTTGTAAACAAGTTGTTATCATTGAAATTTTGCCGCGATCATTGTATGACATGCTGACCAATCTTGAGATGTCGCTCAAGGCAGGATGGTCGCTACAATCTTCCTTTTGTGAGCCATCTTGCGAAACTCAAGCAAATAAAATGATTGCCAGGTTCCAAGGTTGAGCTTGCCATCCGTGATGGGTACGGTAATCGAGGGGCCGATAAGACTGGCCTTGGTATGCGAAGCCGAGTCGTCTGGACCTTCGTCAGTGTGCATCCATGGCAGATTCTCGGGAACGATCTTGTCAAGGGCCATGTCCATGTCAGTTCGCACGTCCTTGTCGAAATTTTCGTTGATACTTAGAGCAGCAGAGGTGTGCTGAATGAAGAGGGTCAATGTACCGATCTTGACGCCCTTGAGACCCTCCTCGATATGAGGCATGACCTCATGGTGGATAAGGTGAGCGCCCTTGGTCCTAGGATTGAGCGTGAACTGCTTTTGCCAAGGCATCGTCGGGTTTTCTATGATCACGGGGCTGTTGCAGTTGCAAGAGGTATGCTGCTTCCGACCATACAGAAGCTGGAAGACGCCAGGGATGGGCAGGATCCAATACGCAAGAGCGAGCGCTAGGATAGCAAGGATGATCCAGGTCGGGTCAGAGTAGTGTCCAGCTCGATGTTCAGCTTTGAGGTTACGACGTGCTTCTCGCTTGTCGATGGCTGCGTGAGGGGATTGGCTGTATAATGTGTCTATCAAGGTTGGAGGGTATGATGTTGAGGATGACATCGAGTTAGCTTGTGAAGGTGTCAGACAACGGCAAATGTTCAGCGCACACGGTTTTGGCTCCTTTGGTCAAAGCCCAAGTTGACACTGCGACGTGACGTCATCCCTGTTAAGCCGGCCAATTTTGGGCGCGGTGCTCTTTGGCTTTTTGAGCCCAGCGACTCGCAAGTCGGCGAAAGAGCGGAGCCAGAGACATCTGAGCTACATCGTCCACGTTGGGACTCAACTCCAATTTCGACGTCTCGAGAACAATTCGAAAACCAGTGTGATCGAGCTCCGCTCGCGGACGGAACCTCAAGCGTTGTGGTCGCTCTGCGACTCGCAACGCCAACAACGTTCCATGGGCATGAACACAACAAAGCAGCCGAATGCGATGCTGATGTGTCCGTCTTGCTCTCCCACCAAGGTCGAGAGACTGCCTTGATTCCAAACCATGACGTTCTGACGCGCCGCATTGTCTCATTCGATCTTTGCTCTACTGCGATTCGGCCCGATGCAGACTGGATAGCCGGTTTCCAGCCTAGAATCGTTTATTCATCCAGCTGAAGACAAAGCTCTGATCTGCAACGACGACAGACTGCTAGGTCCACACCACACATGTCACAAAAAATGGTATCATATTTCGAAACACAACACAGCGTAAAATTTGAGAAGGATGTAAGATGCCTGTGATGACCGCATGGCTGCTTGCTTGACTTTCAGCTCATAATGGCTGAAGGTGTCTGGTGTCCGTGCATCGGATGCTTCGTCTCACCAAAAAGTTGCGAAGGCTGCTCGTCATAGGGAAGCTGACCGTCCAACTCGTGAGAACCATTAGCTTGGTTCTCAGCCCAACCTCCAGCAGCAGCCTCGTCGGAAATGCCTTCCATGTCTTCCTCGACTGGTCGGTGGCTAAGGCTACGTCCCTCAAGACCAAGCAGCTTCTCAGCCTGACTCTCGCGGTACTGAACACTGTTACGCTTGTTGCGCTTCGAGTTCTCAACTGGGCCATCCGTGCTGAGACCTTCTTCGGTTTGGTCCAGACCTACAACTTCCTCCTCGATACGCTTAGGGGCAGGCTCGCCATTGGCATCGGTCTCGAAGACAGTGTCGAACTCGGTCAAGAAGAGAGCAAAGATACCAGCACCAATAGCAAGAGTAGGACTGAAGACGATACCGACATTGCGCATGGTCATTTTGTTGACGTCCGAGTGCTCGATGATCTTCATCAAGTGACTGCAAAGCGTTCGAAGCAGCGAATAGTTGGCCAAGGGCAGCTGGGAGACGAGATGGCCAAGCTCGTTGACCCGCTCGACTCGGTCTTGCAGCTCGTTGATGCGCATGAAGTCCATGTGAAGTTCGCGGGTTAGGACGCTCGTGGGAAGCTCACGCAAGAATGTCTTCAGGAGACCAGCGATGGCATGAGGATCGTAGAACTGGTTCTCGGCCAGCAGGTCGACGTCTCCCTCCATGTTGAAACGATCCTTGAGCGTCTTGATCACGGCCGACGAGCCAGAGAGACGGTAGATACCCTCCTCCATGAATGCATTGCGCTTCTCGAGGTACTCGATGCAGCGGTAAACGACTGAAGGAAGAGCCAGACCCTCGTGAATGCTTGAGATTGCGATGGACTCAGCGAGAGGCACACCAAACACAGGCCGAGGCTCTCGGTTGTGCTTGTCGTGACCACCAAAGGCTCGGAAGCCTTGCCAGAAGCGCTTCTTGTCATCCTTTTTGTTATCGGTGGCAGCTTCATCTCGAGCGCCAAACTTGTAGCCAGCTGGAATCGGAGCGCCATTGATGGGACCACTGATGGATGCCTTGCCTCTGCCGAGAGGCTCGTTGCGAAGACCAGGCGAGCCAGGAGTATCCTGAAGTTCAGCATTTCGGATGCTGGCAGGTGACCGTGGCTCGTTGAAGCTGCGGTGCGAAGCCGACTGTGGCAAAGAGGTGGCGCCAATCGAAGCGGAAGGCTTGCCGGTTGCTGTCGAGTCCAAGCTGTTGATACGGGCCGTCCTGCTTGGATCTTGACCCATGTGAGCGCCTCGATCCATGTCGCCACTAAATTGTCGCGAGGATGAGTCCATGGATGGACTGAAGGCCGAGTCAGGCAAGCGACCGTTGTAGCCAGCAGTCTCACGCTTCGGCGTGGATGGGCTCAGAGACATCTTGCTCATCGCTTGCGTCGGAGATGAAGGCAAATCGTCGAGAGAGGTTCCATCTAGCTCGGCAATGGCTCGGACGAGCACGTCGACCCAGTCATCCCGCTCCTCGTCGCTTTCGGCGCATAAGACGTGTCGAGCAATGTACGGTGGCTCGTCATGGCTGCCGTCCCTCTTTTCCAGAATCAAGAAGGCATGTCGGTAGGCGTTCTCATCCTGCTCGCTGCCTGCTGTGCTCTTCTGCTGTCGACCGATCTGTGCTTCTCGGATGTTGATGCTGCCGATCTGAGCACCACCTCGCGTCTCGTAGTAGCTGAGGTACGAGTTTCGCAACACGTAGAAGCGAGTGACCCATCGGCCAAGGTTCTGTCCCTTCTTGGTCAAGAAGCCCTCCTTGGTGCAAGAATTAGGATCATGGATGCGGCTAGGTACGACGTCGGTGCAGAGGAAGGTGCAGACTTCGTCCTTGTCCGGTAGCTCGAGTACCATGAGACTCTGGAGGTAAATCTCGAGAAGAGCCTTGCGCTGGTCCACCTTGGCAGGTGCGTGGTCCTTGAAAAGAGACTTGTCGGGCAGAGGGGCGAGTCGCTGGGATGCTTTCTTGCCGACCTTACTCCGAAGCTTGGCATCAAGACCAACTATGTCGCTGTAACTCTTCTCGATGGTCCAAGATGTTGGTGGAGTCGGCTCGCCGGAAGCCATGCTGTTCAGACCCCAGGAAGCGGGGGGATGCAAGATGTCGACAGTGATAAAGAAGGAGATGGACTCTTTGCCGCGATCAGGCGAACGGTAGTTGGTACCCTGGATCTTTACACTAGCAACGCGCAGCAAGGATGAGTCAAGACGAGGGGCGAGAACACGCTTCTTGGCGTCATCTTTGGACCTTCGGGAGCCGGAACCGCGCGTGAGACGATCTTCGGATACCACCTTGGAGACGAGCGATCGGGTGCTGGCTGAGGACGGAATCATGGCGGGAGTGATCTCAGTTCGGTTGCGACTGGGGCCAGAAGCAAGCAGCGACCTTTCCTGTTCGGTGGCTCTATCAACTGAGGGCTGGTAGGGAGAGACGGGCATACCCGAAGGTGAAGGGTTCACCTGCTGAGCGGTGGCACGCAGCTTGTCTTGAGAAGGAGTCTGTGGGGTCATTGTAATGGTGTGAGGACCCTCATCGGTGCCGGAAGCGGAACTGCGGTCGATAGCCTCAAAGTCGCCGCTTTCGTGGCCGGCAAATGAGCCAGTATTCTCATCAGGGCGAGCAAGAGACATAGATTGGGCTTGTGCCTGGGCCTGTGCTGCCGCCCTCTGTTGCATGATGGACGCTTGTGGACCATTGCTGGCGACGGAACCTCGCTGGACGCCTGTGTCAACGGGTTGGGTGCTGCGGGAAGGCCCTTGGTCGACGCTGGTGATGGGGCTGTCGTAGACGTTGGTGGACCCGTTGCCATTGGTGTTGGAGCGCGACTGACCCGCTTCGTAGGTCGCATTGTTTGCATCTTGCTGATTGCGTTGGCTGCTTGAGAGGGGCGCTGACTGTGCGGCAGATGCTAAGCGCTGATCAAGGTCGCCTCTCGAGTTCTGTCGGCCGTGACGAGGAGAGCTGAGAGGGCTGTTGGACCTCTCGCCTTCGAGGCCGTAGGGCAGCCTTCTCCGATTGCCAGCGGGCGAGTTCGGTGCAGCGTTTGCGGATGATCCAAGCGGTGAGCCTTTGTTGGAAGGCGCTACGCCATAAGCACGCTCGAGCTCTGCACATCGAGCCTTGAGGATCTCGTTCTCCTTACGGATACGGCCCATGAGGTTCCAGATACGGACGTTTTCGGAGGAGAGCTTCGCATTGTCGAGGCAGAACTGATTACGCTCTGCTAAGACCTGGTCGAGAGCAGCGACATGATCGGAGTTGGAGCGAGCCAGAACATCACCCAAAGCTATTGGTGCCGGTGCTGGAGTTCCTATTGATCGAGTGCCAACTGGGGCGAAGCGGCTTGAAGAGCCGTGAGAGGCGGTTGAGTTGGTGTCCGCGGCGTGGACGTTGGCGTGATCCATGGTGCTGTCAATACCGTATCGTGGCGGCCTCACCGGAGCGCTCGCCATGCTCAGGTTCTAGAAGTTTAGAGACGGGATAGTGTCGACCGGATGTGCAGTCCAAGAAGCTGCTGTCGATCGAGGAAGGGAAGTCAGTTGGCTGTCGTGTTAGTCAACGGTCGCAGTGGCAGACGGTAAGGCCCTTTGCCTCCAAGTTTCTTGTGTCGACCAACGGTTGGATATGGTGAAAGTGAAGAGGAAGAGGGAAAGAGGAGGACGCGATAACTACTGTGGGGTATCTGGACTGTGGTGTCGGTAGCACAGCAAGTTGGACGGATCCTATGCTGCAATCGAGCAGCGGCTAGGAGTTTGCTGTAGATGAGGAAGTAAGGAGCAAGATGATCCGAGCCGGTCGATATCGAGGTCGAGCAATATGGTATGAAGAGAGGCGAAATCAAAGCAAGTTGAGTGGAAGAGAGGGTCAGAGCGGAAGCGCGCTTGGAGTCGACTCAATCTGTCTGTGGTGTGATGCAAAATGCAGTCCAGGGAGGGGCAAAGCGTCAACAGAGAGCTAGCCAAAAGTGAGCTGAAGCGAGAGAAAGTGGCTGACCGGCGCGTCTGCCCCTCTCTCTCTCTTTCTGCCCATTTGGCTCCTTTTCTCCTTTAACCGGCCTCTGCTTCACCCACCAACGACAGCGCAACCACCAGTTCGAGCCCATCAATTCAACAAAGAGGGAAAACAAAGCTCATAAAAAGGTATGCAAAGGGCCTGTTTTCAGTCCTTCACGCAAGACGGTGCTCAGCTCCGAGACATAATTAGCAGCGTGATAAACGCAGAAGGCCAAGCCGTCGCTTTTCATTCGAGTATGAGATCGGAGCAGCGGGAAGGTTATTCCACTAAAGTGTGGGGATTGAAGAATCTAACATCATCAGTGGCCGATTCCAGCTGGTCTCGCGTCACGACTTCCAAATTCGGGCACAGAAAAAGCATACCGTCGCCTCTGTTTTCAGTCGTCCCCGCAAGCAACACTCAGCCTTAGACCTTCTGTGCAGCGCAACGCGGAGAAGAATCTGCAGGAGTTGACAGCCTGCGAGATCCAAAAGCTCCATCTACCATCAACAACTGACTTGGCAGCGGCTTGAGAGGATAATTGTTAGACCTTTGAAATTTACATGCTTCCTTCGCGGTTCGCCGGGCGCGTCAAAACCTCGGACCCTGAATTGCTGATTTTTTGCACTCGACTCCTTGCGCGGGGCGGCAACTTGGTCGGCACAATCGCAGTATCTCCTCCACCTCTTGAACCCTGAACGCTGTTCAAACTGCGCCTGTGTGAGCCTCTTTTACGCACGCGTGGAGCCAACGCGGCCACGCAACAATTGGCTCAGCCAACACCAACACCCAAGGAAGTGTCTCAAGTTCATCAACCCTACATTGACAGCTGCTGTCCTTTCTGCTATGATCATCCGCTCTTCGTCTTGACCATCAGGTCGAGATCGTGAACTCCGATATTGGCATCGCTATCTTCTTGTCGCTCAATCGAAACGATAACGACCATTTCAAACCAGCCACCAGCCTCACAGCGAATGTAGCGGAGCTACTGCGGCTCTCACATCACATGCATGCCCTCGAGGCGCTGTGAACGATATCACCATGAAGGACCGCCCTGATGGTGGTCCTCTGTACGGCTGGACATTTCATCAATCTCACGACCAGGCCACCGTCCTCTTCTTAGTTCCGCACACGACCTCAGCGAGCGATCTCAACATCCGTATTGCCAGCGATCATGTCATCGCGTCTGTCACCCACCATCCGCCCATTCTACAGGCCAAGCTTTACGGTCGCATCAACACCGAAACATCGACATGGAGAATAGCTGATCGCGACCGCACTCGGAAGCGACGAAGCCGCTCCTTTGCTCGAACCTCTCAAGCAGTGGCGAGCACTTCGGGTTCCGGATCTGGCTCTGGCTCTGCGCAGATTCCTCTGAGTCGACGAGCCCAAGCCGAACCTCGCCTCCGACAAAGTACCGTGCCGTCCGATGGCACTTGGCCAGGATCACAGACTTCCGGCTCTCACGTCAACATCGAGTCGCCTCCAGCATCCCATTCCAGTATGTCTGCTTCCATCGCATCTCTTCACTCGGGGTCCAGCTATGAAGTTCTCGCGAATTCAACACCCTCATCGCTGCCGCTCACTTCCGCTGATCCTGCAACTGAGTGGTCGAGCGGCTCGAGCGATTTTGGCTCGTCGGATTCAGCCGATGCTAGTCTTAACCAGAGCGTAGTGCTTTCCGACCCAGGCGATCTGCGAAGATACGCCAACGAGGGGGCTACCCAGGCAGAGCCGATCGAGAGTCCAAGCCTGAGAAGGTCGCGCTCCATCTCTAATTTGGCTGCTTCGTCGGTCACCGCCTCGGGTTCGCATGTTCTCGAGGCATCCCAAACGTCTCCACAAGCCGGGCCTCCCGAGGTTCGCCTCGTTTCCCTACATCTTGACAAAATTGAAACTGGAATATGGCCGTTGCTCGTCATCGGCCCTGCGCCACTACAGACCGAAGCTCTACCGACTCGCTTGAATAGACTCTTGGCATCTGAGCTGCCCAACAACGCATCCATCAATGAAACCTTTGTCAACGAACGTATCCATCGACGTCGAGGATTTCGACAAGAAGAGCAGCAACGCTCTGCGGCACAGCTGCAGCTTAACCAAGCACTAGAAGAGGCGCTAAGCGCTTTCGAGGAAGGCGACCGTGTTTTGGCCGCCATACGCCGTGGCATAGATCCAGTGAATCCTCAAGACGATTCGCGTTCTTATCTTGAAGAGGGCTCTAGAACCAGTACGGACAGTGATGAAGATCATGGGCCCAACACTAGCACTCTCAGCATCAATACTGTGGGCAGTGACGAGAGCGCAACAGTACTCGGTAGTCGCATCGCTAGTCTCTCTGGCACGTCGGCGGGACTGCACCATGCACATGCAAGCGCTTTCACTACCAGACAAGCGGATGCGGAACGCGAAGACGAAGATGAAGTGCTAGAAGCTTGGAAGGAGTTGGAGACGCTGGCCAGATACAACATGGACCCCACTACCTTGTCCTTGATTGGGTTGCAATTCGCAAATAGTTACAGCACGCAAAGGATCTCGAACTTAGCAAGTCAACTCGGTCGAGCTGCCACATCAGCCATACCGGACGCATTTGAGTACTTTGCTCGAGCTTGGAGGGCTGCTGACGTCAGTTTGGCGACAGAGCGTCTTGTTCAGGATTTTCTGCCTCTGCTCCCTTCCACTGCAACATCGAATGGTGCTGGTGACTTGGACCAAGGCCCTCTGCATGCTCGTCTGCTCGAAGTTATGGATCCTTCGTTAGTGAGAAGCGCTTTCTCGCTGCCTGGGACAAGCAATTTGATAGCGAGCTCTTTGCGCGAGCGTCTCCACTCGCACTCCTACATGTCGCATCGACAACGACTCGTGGCCTCACTCGGTGGACCCAAGGCCCTCGCTCGGCTTTACGTCTCTTATGGAAGGTTGCACCTGCCATCTCTCGAATCGAATCGATCGCCTCTAGCTTTTCCCTACGGACAGCTGACGAGCCCATTCGTTGGCGGTGGGCATGGTAGGATGCATCAAGTTAGCAACCTTCCTCGCAGATCAAGCCGTCAACCAACTTCGACCACTTCAAGTCGCACTCCCAGCATCGCTTCCCTTACCTTCGGCGGCGCTGAGGGTAGCGCTGCCTCTCCACCCAAGAGTACGCGAGCTCCCAACTCTCCGACTGTAGCCGATTCGAGCCGGATGGCGTCCCCCGATCATGGTGTTAACAACACAGCGACATCCCAACTGAACTTCTCTGACTTTGTCATCCAAGCCGACCACAGCTTAGCCAGCCAGCCTGCTCCCTTCTATTTCTTTCGCGAAGCTTGCCTGCTGGACAGCGATGTCGCCGCTCAGATCAATGCTCAGGAATGGATCGAAGCGCTTTTGTTGGCTCTGGAAACTGAAGATCGACGCGTTGCAGAGCTGGACGGTCTTGCACAGGCCGAAGAAATGGGCAGCATGGTTGGTGACAGCGAGAGCGGCTGTCTCACTTTTGAGAGTGGTAGTGAAGCTCACCGACGTCGCGTACAGCGTCGATGTGGTCAGAGATCCTCCGCAACCGTTTCGTCGGGCGCTCTTGGCGGATTCTTCAGCCGAGCATGGCTCAGCGATGCCAACGCGAGTGAAACGCCTCCACGGAAGCGGAGTGGTAAAGCACCACGAAGGACAGAGAAGAGCAAGCGCAGGAAAGACCCTCGTACCTCGAAAGCTGGTCGGGAGCAGGGCGAAGCCGGCGTGATCAACTTTGTCAGTGGAGCAGCCCTGCTCGGTGTAGCCCTGGCTGGCAGTGTTGCTGCTCTGGGATGGTGGAGAAGAACTTCTGCTGCTCTCAACTCGTCTGCCTAAGCCGCAGTCTAGCATATCCAATGAATGAACATGCACCTTATTCCCCATGAACGCGAGTTCTCAATACCCTTGATTTATTTTCTCGAACTCTCCTTGCACACACGTCAGCATCGCATCACTTTGTCTGTTCTCCTGTCTTCACTTGTAGTCATATCTTTTGATCTCGTCTTATCACAATTCTCTCGCAGTCGCAATCCGAGCATTGACTTTGAAGTTGACTGCGTGTCTTCTTGTAAATTCAAAATGAAGAGCAGCTCTACAGTCCAATCCAGGAACTTCTTCCTCCAGGATTATGCAATCTAGTCATCCCGATTTTGACTCTTGTCACCGGTGTTTGTGGCATCGCACTCGACTGCAGTCCCCGGTTCTCTAGCGGCTGTTGACCCAACGAAACGCTCGGAATGCGAGGCGTATTAGGCGCGTTCGAAAAGTTATGTTGTTCAGCAGCAGTTCCAGTGGAACTCATCGACGAACTTGCGTCCAACGATAAAGGTCTGCCCTGTCCCTGCTGCTGCTGACCCTTGGCACTGCCATCCAGAGCAGAGAGGGAGAGAGGGAGGAAAGCCTCCGCATTCCACTCGTACCAGACTCGATTGCATGAAGTGAAGCGCCACATGTGGACATCCAATTCCGAGTTGGCTGGCAAATAGAGCGGTTCTCGGAAGGGGAAGTAGATAGGGAACCAACTCAGCATGTCTTTCGATCCTCGCACCGGATCGGGATGGATGCTGAGAGTGACATTGTCATAGAGGTGAGCTTCGAAGTAGCCTGCTAGACCGTGACAAGTACCAGCTTGCGGAATGTGGAAGGTGTGTTTTGCTGACCGAATGTTGTGACCGTTGGAAACGGGAAGTCCCTGCTCGTCGTACACTAACGGGGTGATGGCGGAGGGGCGATGTTCGAATGTCCAGGATTCTTGCACTTGTTCTGAATTGAGTCTTCCTCCACGAGCAGCGAGGAGAGCTACGTTTTGGAAGAGCACGACGTAGGGTGTTTCGGAGCTCTTTTGTACTGCTGATCCTAAAGCTGCATTGGAGCCGTTGAGCACTTCGGTGTGTAGCTTTGAGGAGGACAATGGCGACAGAAAGGCAGTGTATGAGGATGGGATTGAAATGCCATTCGGCTTCAGGAACCGCATGGCACCATCAAGGCACTCTGGCGACAGCTCGTTGTCGCCGAAACTGCCAAGTAGCTCACTGACGACAATATCTGGTCGTTCGGCCATGCTCGAAGGGACGGCATGACGTCGCATGTCGCCGTACTGGACCTTGACCTGGTCTCCCCACTCGAGTGCCTGTCTCTCCTGCAGTGTCACCAGCGCGTTCGGGTTCTTCTCTAACGCAACGATGCGTACAGCACGTCCTGCTCGATCTGCTGCATTGAGGCAGCGGTCCACCAGAGGTCCCCTGCCAGCTCCGCACACCCAAATTAACGTGCTTGAAGTCACTGGGCGATCGAACAGCGCCTTGTACACCGCTTCCTCGTACAACGCATACTTGACCGGATCACGTTCGAATACTTCGTATGTTGTACCCTCCAGATTGTCCATCAATGGCTGCAATGGTGCTTGAAGCCAGTCTGTGTATCCACGAGCGAAAGAATCGACGGCTGCTTCTGGTGGTGTCGCTTTCTCCAAGTGACGCAGGTACTGCAAGTATGCGAGAGGGCCACCCCTTGAATGGGATGGTGGTGGACTTTGAACACTGCTGAGCACGACGGTGGGATTCTTCTTGAATAAGGTGCGGAAGAAGTTCTGAGAAGCTTTCGACAGTACTGGGAAGCCCTTTGCGTTGGCAAGGTAAGCAGAGCTGGGAACCCAGAGCATGCTGACTGGCTCAGCCATCCAGCGTGCCAAGATGCTAGGTCCTGGCAATGGGCTTCCGAGGTCGAGAGCAAGTTGAAGACGCGTGTTGTACGAGCAGAGTTGTCGAATCTGTTCCCAAGTCTCCCAAGCCCAGTCATCCTCTGCTCGTAGAAGTGCTGCTGACGACGATGCACTGGCGTGAGAGGCTTGCGAGCTTGCAGAGGCTGTACTGCCTGCGGTGGTGGAAGCAGTGAGTCCGTAGCCATTCTTGCCATTCTGGCGTGAAAGAATCTTGCTGAGCTGGTGGGGTGAAGAAATGGGAAGTTGGATAGTGATGGTCATCCACGAGCCTGCCGCCGCTGTTTCTGCGCTTCCACTCGCCAAGCAAGAGTTGACGGCACGTGCATAGTCTGCCAAGAAGGGTCTACGCGCAGGATCCGACGACGGTGGCGGGATGATGAGGTTCGAGATGCCAAGGTAGGAAGCATATGCGAGCTCTTGACGGAGAGCCAGCTCGCAATCGAGACGAACACCTTCATCGGGCGAGTCGAGCTCGATCCATTGACTCGCCAGTGCGACGACGCCTTCTGTTTCTTCGAGCTTGGTGAGGTTGACTTCGGAGCGCTTGAATGCTGGTGCTCTGCGCCATTCTTCGGCTTCGCGTGCGATCGTTGCGAAGGTCGAGCCGTGACCGCTGCTGCTGGCGGCGGGGGAGGGTGATGGTCTAACTCCTCCTCCGAGAGTGAAGCTGTTCAAGCCCTGTCGACTACTGCTACGAGCTAGCATGGCTCCACCTGCTGTCAATGGCGGAGGTTGAGCCGCTGATGAGCCTGACACTGAAGGCAAGTCGGCAGGATTGGCAAGGCACAGCCTTTCCCATCTTTCTTTCCACCGCTCATTCGCTAGCTCCAACACGATCAGATCGTAGCCTTGGGATCGAGAGAGGGCGAGCGTCTTTTGTGCTGGGCTCAGTCCGTTGAGCGCTGCCGCTGTGGTCGGATCCAAGTCAGCAGTCAAGCCGAGAGCTGCAGGTGCTGGTCCAGTGGCTGTGTTGAGCGCATTGGCGTGCGACGCTTCAGGAAGCGTGGGAAGCGCGGTGATGTTCTGCTGAATGTGCGATCTTCGATTCGGATTTCCCGACAACGGTGCTGCAGTGCCTTGAGCTGAGCTGACGAGATCGGCAGCTGAGATGGGTACATGGAGAGCGACGGAAAGCGGTGGTCTGGCGATGCTTTCTTGGCCATTTGTCTGAAGAGTCGCCTCCACTGCTGCCATACTAGAAGACGGCATGGCGGAAGAGTCCGAGTGTTGGCTGCCGTGACAAAGTGATGCGGCTGTCTCCTTTGCTATTGGGTCGAGAGGATTGCTCTGCAAATCAAACCAAGGGCGAGACGATGGACAAGGTGATGTGATGGATCTGACGAAAGACTTGCTCCTTTGGCATGTGACCATATGACCATGTCGCCATGTCGTTACCACAATTTCACATCATCAGCATGCTGCAAGCCTACACAGAATTCAACCCAATGAAAGCGATTTGCTGCTTGGTCAGCGAAAAAGCAACCCCTTCAGGCCGAGACCAACACAAAAACAGGGAACGCGGAACAGCCGAATGTTGTGCGTGTTGGTTCGCTTCACTTGGCTGCGAGAGTTCTTTTCGTGGCATGACGCGCTCTTGCGTGTGGAAAAGCTGAAATCGGGCTTGGGCTTAGTCGAGTCCCGATTCGAGCAAAACCAATCCATACTCGTCTCGGCACAATTCCGACCCTAACTAATCTTCCCTTTCACTGCATCATCGATCCTTCTCTATCCGATTTCACTGTTTCCGCAGTTCTCGACCTGGCAACATCAGACTCACGCGGGGGTCTCGGGCGTGGTCAAGACCAGGGAATGCCGCCCGTCTCAATGCTGTGCACCACAACCTACACAGCAACTTCAAGCCCTACCTCGAGGCGCACGGACCGATCCCTCGACGCTCAGTCCGTCAAGCAGGATCGTATTGGCAGTAGGACCAAGCCCAGAACGTCGTTCTCCTTAAGCCTAGCTGACCGTCATCATGTCGAGCTATGCGCAACTCAAGGAGCTTGCTCTCAAGAAGGCCGAAGAGGAGCAAGCCGCTCTTAACCGCGAGCGCGAGCGGAAGGAGCGAGAGGCAGCTGCAAAGCTCGCTGCAAGAGAAGCTCAGGAGCGCGAGCAAAAGGAGCGCGAAAGAAAGATACTCGTACAACGTATGGCCAGACAGAAGGAGGAGGAGGCGCGCGAACGGCTGCGTAAGGAACAAGCCGTCAAATTGCAACAGGGCAAGGTGGCGGAAGATGAGACAGCTGCAAGGGGAAAAGGCAACCTTACCTCAAAGCAGAATCTTGCAGGCTCTTCGAAGCTAAAGTCGAGCACACATTTCGGCTCAACACAGAGAATTGATCTCTCAGACCGCCTCCGAGGCAGCTCGAGCAACGGCAACGCCCCTGGCAGGAAACGCAAAACGGATGAGGACGACTTTGTCGGCAACCGCTTGGACAAGAGTCCCACGAAGAAGGCTGATCTTTCCGCTTCCTCGAGTGCACCAAAGAGGAAAGCCATTCCTTTGACACGCGAAGAGAAGCAGGCCATGAAGCGCGCCAGAGAGTTTGGATCCCTTCCCAAGCTGCCTCCGATAGGTCGCCTCACTTCAGGTTCCGGCTCATCAAGGAACAGCCCGAGTCTCAGCTCAGGTGAAGCGGAAAGCGCAAGCCGCTTATCGGTACGAGCACATCTAGCCAAAGACAACGGTCTTGTGGCACTGGGAACTAAGAAGCGCGATCATCGCTCGATCGACGAGATTGAACGTGACCTCAGGAAGCTCAAAGAGGCAAAGGGGCAAGGTCGCAGCGACGCACCATCGCAAGTTGAGCTTGAGCGAGAAGCTGCGCTGCTACGAAGACAGAAGGCGATGGAGGAGAAGCGCAAAGCGGACCAGGAAGCCAAAGAAAGAGCAGCGCTTCGTCAGGCTGAGATTGATGACGGTGATGACTCCAAAGACGGCTTATTCGGCTCAGACGACGACGTCGATGATTCAATGCGTCGCAAATCATCGCAGGCGAAGATGAACAAACCAAGCGAGCGGCCAAGGGTGTCTGCAAAAAGAGCGCAAAGCGGTGCTGCCTCAGTGGTGCGTCCTCCTGCTGCCCCTCAGCCGAAGGAGCAAAAGCCCATCGCCTCACGACCTCCCGGCGGGATCAATCCAGCGGATTTCCTGCCTGGTGCTCCTCTACGTCCTGAAGCGATGGCGAGGCTTACACAGAAGGCAAAGAGCACTCCTGACGCTGCATCAAGCAGGCGATCGCCAGACTCGGACCCTGCATCACGCGCGAAGCGACCAGCGGCAGACCCAAAGTCGTCACCTGCACCTGCAGCCGCGGCTACATCAGCTGCTCCGCCCAAAAGGGAGACTGCCCGCGATCGCTTCATTCGCGAGCAGGAAGAGAAGAAGAAAGCGGATGCAGCATCGGGCGCAAATGGTGGAGGCGGAAGAGATCGACGCGTGCGCTCGCCTGACGAGTACGACAGCGAGGAAAGAGACTACGAGGATGACTACGAGAGCGATGGTGTCGACGATGACGAAGATGGTGAAGGGGGCGGACAAAGCTACCGAGACGAGATCTGGAAACTCTTTGGCAAGGACCGCAAGAAATACGCAAGCCGAGTGGTGGACAGCGACGACGACATGGAAGCGGATGCAGCCTCAGTGCTGCAAGAGGAGCTGCGAAGTTCGAAGCAGGCCCGTGAAGAAGACTTGCGAGAGGAGCAACTCGAGAAACAGCGCGAACGTGAGAAGCTTCTTCGCAAGCAGGGACTGAAGCGAAGCTGAGCATGTTGAAAACTCGGCTCCTTCATGGCAACACCAAGTTGCAACTTCCGTCGTTACCTTGTCTGCGGCACTCTTTGGGTGTCCCATGCATCATCACATCTCACATACGCAGAGAACAATCACTAGCAACGTACATTTGCATTAGCGCTTGTAATAGTAATACAGTCAGTTTGCTTGATAGAACTGATAGATATATGGCCCGTCGTGCATGACGACTCATTGCGAAAATGCGTCAGGTGTCGAGTGATTGTCCGTACTCCGGTGCAAGTTTACTGGAGCTTCAAGACCCATGCGCTTGCAGGCTGGATTCTGCGGTAGTAGCTGTCTATTGTCTCTGCGACCTGGAAGCCGAACTTTTCGTAGAAGATACGAGCCTCTTCGTTGGAGGTCTGGACATGGAGATAGATAGACTCGACCTTGACGATCTTCTTGACGGGCTCGGGCTTTGTCTCCTTGCCGTTCTTGTCCTTCTTGGGCTTAGGGGTGGGTGCTTCTTTGTCGATGATTTCGATCTCTTTGCCGGGCTTGACGTGTTCTAGTACGTGCTGGAGGAGAGCAGATGCGATACCGAGACGTCGATAAGGTGCCAGTACGCCAAGAGTCATGATATAAACACGGACGACATCTTGAGAGACAGGTTCCAGTCGGCAGCAAATGGTGCCGACAGCGACATCGTTGAAGAGACCGAGCTTGCAGATTTCAACGGCATCAGGATCAAGAACGTCTTTGTAGAAGCGTTCAGAGTATTGCACTGGGAACAGGACGCTGTTCAGCTTTCGAAGCTGACCGAGATTGTTTGGAGTGAGTTGAGCAACGTCGACCCTCTTGGGAAGAAGTGACCTCACTGGCGCTGCTGAACGAGGTTCGTAGCTCATCGGAGGGAGAGGCCAGGATGAGGAGCTTGAGGCAGTGGCAGTGGTAGTCATTGCTGCTGTGATAGGTTGCCGATCGATGCCAATCCTTGTTTTCTTTTTTTGCTGCGAAAACAAACAAACCAAGGCGCTTCGAATGTGCGGTCGCTGTGATGATGATGTTGCGAACAACAGAGGTGTTGGAGTTTCTTCTGGACTGATTGCACGGTCGCTCGCATGCTGAAAGGTGACGTTTTGAACTGGAATCGGGAGTCGCAATCATCCGCACAGTGAGTGACGGCCAACGGCCGAAAGACTGACATATGACAACGCTTCAACTCTTTGGCCTGCAAGCACCCTATTTTTTATTTTATTTTTGTTGATTCTGCCTGGGGATTTCTGCTGTAAATGCACTCCAATCAGTCAAACGCACGTGCCTTCCCTCTCGACCGAACAACCAACCGTCATTATTGACACCATCAGCATCCTTCCTTCATCTCATATTACCTGACGGAATGCTTTCGATGAAACACTAAGCATACGAATGCTACCCGATCTTGATTTCGCCGCGGTATCATCACATCAACGTCCAAACATTGTCAGCCAAATCGGAACGCCCTTTGACTCTCGCATCACCCTGCTCTGGCTCGTCTAGCTGATTTAGACTTTCTTCTCTGGCCCGCAAACGGAGGACGAGGCCGAAAGGAGGCGTACAAGCTCGCGCTGCGGGAGTAGTGAACAGTTATGTCGGCTCAGCATCAATATGACCAATACGGTCGCGGCTATCGACAGACATCTCAGGAAACCTACTCATACGATGTGGCGAGCACTCGATCTGCCCAAGCTTCGGATTCATATAACAATGATACACACACGCAATACGGACCCTACGACCCTCGATATCCTTATCGACCGCCCAGCGATTCTCAGCACCAAAAGGGACAAGGTGCAGCTCAGCCGCAGACAGTTTATTCGACTGCTCCCTCGTACTCTTCTGCACAGCAGCGCGGTGCCTCGACCACCTCCTACCATTCAACAGCACAAACGACCACAGACCACTTGAGTCGAATGCAAGTCCGAGACGACGCATCATACACAGCCTTTGCTCGACCTCAGCACTATGCACAGACACAATCGCAACAGTACTCACAGCAGGCGGCACAAGCGCTTCCTGATCAAGATTATCGGCAAACGTCTTTCTTGCCTCTCTACGGCTCTACGTCCCGGCAACAGAGCATCAGCCACAATGCTTCGTCCTTGTCTCATTTCGGCTCTGCGCAAAGGACAGACCAAGGAAAGACGAACGCTGCTCAGATTCCGCCATCTCTTGGCATGACCGGCACCCAGCAATACCAGACCACTGGTCGCGAGCATTCGGATCGTCCCGTCTCTTCCTCCGCAAGTGGCATCATCAGCCTGTACACTGACGACGGCAGCACTCCCATCTTCGACCAGAACGCAAACTTTGCTAGTTTTCCACACGATCCCGCAGCCTCGACGACCGCCCATTCGGCCGGAGCAGCTCGTTCTGATCTGACGGCTTCGGACCGGAATCGACTGGCTTATCAACCCTCTCAACGGTCCAGTCGACCTTTACCTCTCACGCCGACAGCTAAACATCCGAAGCAGCTTCCGCCACTTAGTCCAGGGGGCTATGGTGGCGTCGTCGTACGTGCATCCGATGCGACTTCAGCTGGTCCCGTGTCACCAGCATCCCGTATCGAGGACTCCGATTCTTATGCGCAACGAGGATACTTCACTACCGCCTCTCCGCAACCGACGACCTGGTCACCGCCAGTGACACCTTCAGCTACTCAGCACCGTGCAGCCCCCTCCAGCTCCTCTGCATCGTATGGAGCGCCACGTTCGAGTCCGTCGCCCAGCAATCAGGGCACACCCAGTAGCTCTTACGGTCATCGTCCACTGCCATCGACAGCTACATCCGTCGATCGCTCTTTCTCGCCGCCACCCAGAGAGGGTGCTAGCGTCTCTCCGCTCTCCGCCTTCCGCTCGCCTTCTTACACTCAACCCAGCAAACGACCCACCTGGTCGCCAGCACAGAGTCGTGAGCCAAATCAACGTTCAGATGCGAGCCTCGGTCCAGTGTACCGTGCAGCTTCGGCAAGTCAATCGCATACGGCCGACTCCTCCTACGATCCCGATTCGTACGAAAGCGCCAACATTGACCGTCAGCGAACACGGAGCGAGGCGTCGGATCTGTCTCTCGGGCTAAGCAGATCCGCTCGACAGCCTCTGCCTCCAATTCCTGGCGTGATCACCTCTATGCAGCAGAGCGACTCCCCAGGCCATGGCTATCCGACCAGGTCCTCTGCCTCTGGGCAGTACGCATCAGACGATGCAAATCGCGAACGCATGGCCTCCACAGGTTCCATCCAACGCCAAACAAGCTGCTCGCAAGTTTCACCAGCAAACGTTCAGGCCTTTGAAACTCAGAGAGGCGTCACCGTTTTGGGTGACGAGAAGCGCGACCTTGCCCAGAAGTACGGCCACGAACGATTTGATTCGCTTGCATGGGAGCCGGTCAACACTCCGAGACCCAATGCGGCTCAAAGTCTAGCGCAGGGAGCACGCAGCAGTCGCGTCGAAGCGCCAGAATGGTCGCTCCTTTCTACTGTTGCCCTTCTTCTGCGCGCCAACGTCCCACGAGGCGTGCAAATCAAAGGCAGCATCGACTATCCGAACAGCTTTACTGGCAAAGACGTGGTCTCGACCTTGCAGGAACTGCTCGTTACTGAAACGGTGGGTTCTCAACATACCCTTGTCAAGTCGGGCGATCCGAACAGCATTCGACAGGTGGCGCTTTCTCTGGCCAAATCACTCAAGAGTCAACTCTTCTTCCACGAGGTTGACTGGGGTGAAAAGGAGCTTACCGATGACGTGGACGAAGTTTACACTTTCCTTGAAGACAGCCTTGCAGACATCAGCTCCACTCCGGAGGACCCTGATGATTGGGCAGCCGCTCTCAATCACAACGCGGCCTTTGACTCGAATCTTCAGCTATCTGTCGGCGGTGCAGGTAATGTGAACGGCAACGGCTCCGGTCAACGTCACAAACCGGCCCAAGTGACCGACCTTGATGATCTACCCAACGGTGTCTTTACTCCGCTGACCCGATGCTACAGCCCACTCTGCAGTCCAGGCCGGCCTTCCGCTTGCTACAGTCCTTCATGTCCCAACTCGGCGTACAGCCCGCTGCCTCTCACCGTCTGTGATAACGAGAACAGCGCTGGTAGAGTTGGTGGCATGCTCGACAAAAGCCTGACAGCTGACACCTCACAGAAAAAAGCATGGGCCGAGATCGTTCCACCTGAGCTGCTCAAGAATATCCCACATGACGAGATCGCGCGTCAGAATGCCATTCTCGAGACGATTCAGAAAGAGGAAGAGTTTCTGGCAGACCTCGAGCTGCTCGACACGCTCTTCGTGCAGGGCTTGCAGAGACCAAGTGATGCAGGTGATCCTCCGCCGTTGCCTATCGGACCGGAGCGCGATGACTTCATCCGTGAGGTCTTTGGCAACCATCTTGAGCTGACCGCGCATATTCGAGCCCTTGTCGAGCGTTTACACATCCGGCAAAGGGAGGAGAATCCGATTGTACAAACCATCGGCGATATCTTCCTGAGTGCTGCCCTCGACTGGGGCGACGCCTACACGACGTATGTTGTCAATTATCCACTAGCCATAAGTCGTGTCAAACGCGAGATGACAATCAATCCACGATTCAAAGCCTTTGTAGAAGCATGTCGACGCCATCCAGCCGCCCACAAGCATCCCTTGGAGAACTTCCTCTTCCGACCTCCAGCTCGTCTGCAGAGGTATCATCTCCATCTCGAGTCGATCCTGAAGAAGACGGAAAAGGACAACCACGACCGGGACAGCTTGCAGAACGCCATCGACATCATCAACGACCAGTGCAAGACCGCCCAGGCGGGTGTAGAGTCAGCCGAGCTCAAGGTCAAGATTCGCGAGTATGCCTACAACCTCTTGGCCAAACGCAACAAGCATGCCATTGACATGGACCTGCTAAATCCCGAGCGTCAACTCATCCATCAAGGTAAGGTGCTACGCAAGCCGGATGCATTCGATTTTGATTGGACTGAGCTGCAGGCCATCCTCTTTGACAACTACTTCATTGTCACCAAGCCCAAGAGGATCGAAGGTGCCGAAGATGACGGCGCAAATGTCGCAACATCTTCCTCATCTTTGGGTGCTCGCTTTGTGCTCGCAAAGCGACCGATTCCTGTGGAAATGCTTGAAGTCACGGGTCTTACCGAGTCCTCTATTTCACGCTCGATTGGCCTCAGCAACTTCCACATCAGCAGAGAACGAGAAGCTCGTGACTTTTGGCCCTTCACCATCTCGCACTTGGGAGGCAAGGTCGAGCCCATCGCCCTCTATGCACCCTCCAAGGCCGCAAGGGACCAGTGGAAGGTTAAGCTGGATGAGGCCATCGGCCTCCGCATGGCTGTTCAGGACAACAACAAGGTGTTTGAACAACACATTCTCAGCGACGACATCTTTGCCATTCCTCCCACGCTCAGCTTGGAGCCCGACAAGCCTGTACCTGGTGTCGATCCGAGCGCATTCCATGGACGCGTCACCTGCGCAGTACCCTTTGTGACTGCCGATGGCAGGCGACTGGTCGCTGTCGGATGCGCTGACGGCGTGTGGATCGGACTGCGAAACGATCCCAAGTCACTTCGCAAGGTATTGCATCTGAAGTATGTCACTCAGTGTGCCGTGCTCGAGTCGTTCGGCATCTTTGTCGTGCTTGCGGACAAAGTGCTCATCTCTTACAGTCTAGAAGCGTTAGTGCCGACTACATCCAGCAGTGCTTTGGCGCTCCGCCCGCCGCAGAAGCTCAGTGGCAACCGCGACGTTCTCTTCTTCAACGTAGGCGTGCTCAAGGATCGCACGCTGCTCATATACATGAAGAAGAAAGCCAACGAAAGTGTTTTCCGCGCTCTCGAGCCGGTCCTTAACGCACCTCGCGGCACAGAAGGAAAATCCGGCTCGGGCTTCTTTGGCAAGTTTGGCAAGGACTCGAAGAACTCAGACTGGTTCCGTATCTACAAGACCTTCTTCATCCCGTCCGAGGCGTATTCGATCCAGTTCCTCAAGTCTAAGCTCTGCATCATCTGCGCCAAGGGATTCGAGATCATGAACCTGGATAGCCTGCTTCCGGGCACCATCCCAGACTTTGTTCACGCCAACCGCGAAGACATCCGTGTGCAACAGCTGCAAAAGCGCGTGGAAACGGATAAGCCCTTGGGCATGTACAAGACGAGCGACGGCGACTTCCTCCTTTGCTACGATGCCTTTGCATGCTATGTCGACCGACTCGGTGAGCCGACGAGGCTGGAGCAAATTATCGAGTGGGAAGGATTCCCCAAGCAGGTGGCTTTCTCCGGCAACTACGTGCTCGCGTTTGACTCGCGATTCGTCGAAGTGCGAGATGCTCTTACAGGACGACTGGTGCAGATCATGCGTGGCTCTGACTTGACCTATGTATCTGGCAACAGCACTGTCACCTCGTCGTCGTCGGAGAGCGCGCAACTGGCAGCGCTCGACGCAGAAGCCAACCCGGTCATCTTGACGAAGCGCGAGCGCGTGGTCGGGCGTATCCCCTTCGACTTCCAGAAGGTCGTGGAGTTGACCCCGACAGCACCACTGAACGCATATGCGCCGCCTTTTCAACGGAGCGCAACCATCTTATCAACTGGCAGCAGCTTAAGCGGTCGTCCATTGGGCCGGCCATCTGTTGCCAGCTCTGGCAATTGGATCTGAGATGCTCTACATCTGAACTTGGGTCCACCTCAGCATCTGTAATCAATTAAACTGTGTCATTGTGTCATAACAGTAACGGAAACACGTATACCTTGCCTTCTTGTCTCTACAGAGGGATGATGATAGTTGTTGATTGTGACTGAGGAAAGAATACATAACGGAGCTCTGAGGACCCAGAAGCGGTTCAGACTTGACACAATATGCAGTCCCGTCTGGACTCAACCGCACGAAAAAACAAAACAAGACAAAAACAAGACAAAACTAAGTAGATTGCAGGCAAAGACCCGTGAGGTCCTCGAAGCTCGACAAGGAGGCTCCCGGCCCGCCGAAACAGGGGCCGGTCGAGCGCAGAAACGAGCGGCAAGGGAGGGAGTACAGGGAGGGCGAGAAAAAACGAACCAGGCGGCTAGCAGTGCGCCTGGCTTGGAGATGGTGAGGATGATGGTAGTGAAGAGAGGAGTGAAGAGCGGAGAGGTGTGGTGAAGAGCACCTCCGCATCACTCCTTGCAGAGCGGATCAAAAAATTTCGCTTTGTTTGAGTCTAGTCCAGACGCGCACGCCTTCATGACTGATCACGTGATGCATTGCATCTGCGCCTGCAGCCTCCACCCTGAGAAAGATGTGAGAGCAACACACGCGCACGCACCGCCGGGACCCTGAATTCTCTTGAACACTGCAACTTGGCACTTTCCAAACTGTTGCTTAGACCACCACCACCTCTACAACTCTACACTAGTCTGCTCGAGGCTTCTTCGTCTCCTTACCCACCGGCTGCAATCCATCAGCGAGCAGCTCACCGGTCGCTCCTTGGCTAAGAAGCGCAGACCCATTTGCCAAAAGCTTGTATACACGTAGCAGTTGCAGAATGGCCCAACACTACCCTTAGTAGAGAGCTCGCTTCTCCTCTCCGCCTCGCCCGAGCATCGACACTTTCCTTCAGCCTGTCACCTTCAGCTCTGGGAATAATTCATCATTGTCGGCGCCAATAGCACGAACGATCTTGCCTATGTAGCGAAGATGGGAAATACACACTCTAACTCGAATGCTCGGATGGCCGGCATCGGCAACCTCGTCGCGGAGGTGGGCAACGACATCCAATACGACAAAGGCATCGGCAATTCTCGCTTCTTGCGTGCGGTTAGAGCCAGACACCGGCTCGGACCCATCGTCGTAAAGACGTTCGTCAAGCCCGACCCTTCCATGAGCCTGAAAAGCCTCGTCAAGCACATCCGCATCGAGCGCGAATCTCTGGCAGATGTTCCGAACGTCCTCACATATCAGAAGGTGGTGGAGACCGAGCGTGCAGGATATCTCATTCGACAATGGCTTCACAGCAATCTTTACGATAGGATCAGCACCCGTCCCTTCCTCAGTTCGATCGAGAAGAGGTGGATCACCTACCAATTGTTGCACGCGATGCGAGACACTCACGAACGTGGGATCGCTCACGGCGACCTCAAATGCGAAAATATCCTCGTCACCACTTCGTTGATGGTCTATGTCACCGACTTTGCTTCATCCTTCAAGCCGACCTACCTCCCTCTCGACGATCCGTCCGACTTTTCCTTCTTCTTCGACACTTCAGGCAGAAGGACATGCTACCTCGCACCTGAGCGCTTTTATGAGGCAGGCTCAAAGTATGCGTCCGGTGATACGAGAGCGGGCACAGGTGACGGAGATGCTTTCGATCGTATCGGTGGTGTCAAGGCGGATCTTCTTGGTATGGGCAGGCAAAGCGGCAAAGTCACCCAATCCATGGACGTCTTCTCTCTGGGCTGCGTCATCGCCGAATTGTGGCGTGAAGGTGCGCCAACCTTCACATTGAGTCAGCTCTTCAAGTACAGAGAGGGAATGTTCGACGTCGATGCGATGCTCGCTGGCATCACAGACGACTCTGTTCGTGCCCTTGTGCGCAGCATGGTTTCGCTTGACCCAGCGGACCGAAAGACTTTCGAGCAGTATTTGACAGACAGTCGAGGCACTGTCTTCCCCGCGACCATCCCAGACTTCTTCCACGAATACCTCGTAGAGCTGCAGAGAACATCGCCCACAGCTCTGAACCCGAACAACAATAACAGCGGTCTCTCGTCAATCGACAGCGTTGCGAGCGGATCCAATGCATCGGTCACTGCCCTCTCCATGCGATCAGAGGCGACAAGCCGTCAAGCGCAACGGACAGAAAGTGATGAGCGGGTCGAGAAGCTGTACGAGGAGTGGTCAAGTATTGTGAAGCTCTTTGACGACCCGACAGATCGCACAGGCGCATCATCTCCCTCAACTGGCCCAAGTGGAGTTGCGGCACGTTCGAATGGTGTCTTGGGACGTTTCGCCTTCCAGTCGAGCTTCCAGAAACCGCCAGAGGCAGAGGCTGCTGATGTCGAGCGATCCACTGCCGACGAATTGGACGACGTTTTCCCTGTCCACCTATCTATACCCGGAATCCCGCCAAGTCAAGCGCTGCTGGACGGCGCAGGTGCGGAAGTAGACAGTACAGCTCAGCTGGTGCTCTCCGTCATCCTTGCGAACCTACGGAACTGCATCCGACCGTCCTCAAAATGCCACGCACTCGAGCTGCTCGTCCATCTCTCGACTCGTTGGCTCACTGACGAAACTAAGCTGGATCGCGTCCTACCCTACGTGATGTCACTCTTTGATGATCCGTCGTCGCAGGTGAGAATGGCCGCCATTCGCAGCTGCGTACAGACACTGTTACTTGTGAGGATTGTGACGCCGTCCAATGCTTCCATCTTCCCCGAATACATCATGCCCAATATCAAGCAGCTCGGACTCGATCCTTCGACACCGGTAAGATGTACCTTTGCGGCCTCAATCGTTCCCCTTGCTGAGACGGCCGAACGTTTCTTGCAAATGTCGCAGGCCATGCGCGCTGAGGGCCTTTTTGCAGTAGAGAGCGATCTCAACGGCGGCTTCATAGATGGTCAGCCCAACGAATCGAACTACGACGAGCAGCTACGAACGTTCCAGGCGCTGTTGCAAGAGATTATCGTTACACTCCTCACTGATCCATCTGCATCAGTGAAACGTGCCTTGCTGGGCAGTATCGCTCCTCTCTGTCGCTTCTTCGGCATGGCGAAGACGAACGACGTCATGCTTAGTCATATGATCACCTACCTCAACGACCGCAACTGGCTTCTGAGAGAGGCGTTCTTCGACATCATTGTCGACGTTGCTGAGGTTTCAGGTAACCGCAGTTTGGAAGAATACATCCTGCCGCTCATGACGCAGGCGCTGTCGGACTCGGAGGAGAACGTGGTCTACCGCGTCATCAAAGGCCTTCGCACGATGACGGAGAGGGGTCTGTTGGACCGCGCTAGACTGCTTTCGCTGTTGGACACAACGATCGGTTTCCTTTGCCATCCGGATCTTTGGCTGAGGCAGGCATCCGCGGGTCTCATTGCGGCAGCAGCAGCCAAGCTCGAGGATGTCGATGTTTGGGCCATTCTATATCCTTCTCTTCGCCCTCTGCTCCGTTCAGACGTGCAAGACCTGACCGAAATCACGTTGCTCGATATGGCCAAGGCTCCACTCACACGACCTGTGTTCTCTGCTGCACTTGGATGGGCCTCGCAGGCGTTCAATTCTGCTTTCTGGAAGGGCTCAGTAGATGGCAAAGATCAAGCCGGACTCAAGAATGGACTTGCTACGGAAGGTGTGGGACTCTTGCTCGGCAAGAGTGGTCGAGATCTGATCATTCCTTCCAGAGGACGTACGGAAGAAGACGATCGCTTCCGCGACAAGCTCAGAAGTATGGGCATGGACGACGACGACGAGGTCAAGCTCGTCGCGCTGCGTAGCATCATCCGACGACTTTCCAAGCAAGGATCCAAAATCATTTCAGGACATGTCGACTGGGACGTCTCGAGTCCAGAAGACAGTGCTGGAGCTCACAGTGCTGACAGCGGACGCGCTCATCCGAAAGCAGTCATCGAACCTCAGTCTCTTGATGGCATAACCCCACAAACCATCTTCTTCAGCACCAAGGTGGATCAGAGACCCGCACCTGCCGCTTCTGAAGGCGCAAGCACGTATACAGGGACTTTCCGGTCGCAAGACGACGCATCTTTCTCCGCGCAGGTGGCCAAGCGAAGGCTGCTGGGCCATCGCACTTCGAGCGAATCTTCTTTCGCCAGTCCGATTGCAGACATTCGAAGGCGTATGACATCAACTAGCATCGCAGACCCTCAACCCTCGACCTTTTCCACGCGTCTATCCAGCCTTGCAGAAGAGCACGCTCAGGGAAGGGAGCGCGGCAGCGCCGCACCCGCCCCCTCAAGTCCCTTGTCCCAACAGACGCAAGCAAGGCTCGGAGTCGGCAAAGCGACTGCCGCTGTGGCCTCGACCGCGCTGACCGCCACAGGGACGATGACCGAAGCGTCAGCGAGAGCTCGTGCTCAACATGCAGCAGCAGCACAGGCATCGAACAAGCCTACACCAACTGGTTCACGCACATCGCCTGTACTAGGAGCAGGTGGTGCGGACGACGCGGGAAAGCTCGGAGCTGCAGCCGGCGTCGACGGAGGATCGAGTGCAGGCTTCACCAGCACGTACGATGGCAATGATCCGTACATCCGCGCGCATCTCGAAGCCGTCTACCTGGATTCCTTCCGCGACAGGCCTGAGCTTGGACCTAAAATACATGCTGGTGTAGCCCGACGCAAAGGTGGTGCACCTTGGAATCGATCTTCAGCATTGCCGCGAGCTCCGACATCCAGTACAAGCAAACGTCGGCCAGAAGGACGGCTCATCGCATATTTCACCGAGCATTCGGCTGCAATCACTTGCCTTGCTCTTTCGCCCGATCATGCCTACTTTGTCTCGGGCTCACAAGATGGCACGCTGAAAGTGTGGGACACGGCTCGACTCGAGAAGAATGTTACCAGCAAGTCAAGAGCGACCTACTCGGCGCAAAAAGGCGCGATCACTGGTGTCATTGCTATTGAAGGCAGCCATTGTGTTGCTTCCATCGCAACTGATGGCTCTTTGCACGTGTGGAGGATTGATATGATCCAATCCACTTCCAGTGTCCCGCGATATGGTCGACCGAAGCTTGTCTCCAACTTCCAGCTCAGCACCCCGGACGAATACGCAACATGCTTGGTTCAGAGCAGCACTGAGACCTCATCTCACCTCATCCTCGGTACCACGCTCAGCCGCCTCACTATTCTGGATTTGAGGACGATGCAAGTATTGCAGACACTCCGAAACCCGGTCGAGTATGGACCGATCACGTGCTTGTGCGTGGACAGAAAGAAGGCATGGTTGCTCGTCGGAACTCTGACAGGTGTTGTATGTCTATGGGATCTTCGCTTCGGCTTACGATTGCGGGCCTGGCACGTCGGAGCAAGCGAGATTGGCAGTTTGCATCGAGTCAACCAGATCGCGATCCACCCTTCGAAAGGAAGAGGTCGATGGGTGCTCGTCGCCTTCGAAAACAGAGGCAAGGCTCCTTCGCAAGGGCAAGGAAGTGAAGCAGATCAGCCAGAGGTCATTGTTGAGACGTGGGACATCGATCGAGGCATCCGCGTGGAGACATTCGAGGCCCAGAAGGACTCGTCACAAGCACCAATTGAGGCTGATCGAAGCACAAAGCTTAGACAGGTGCAGGATGAAGTCGACGCACGAGCTGGTGGCCTGAGCGATAGTGGAAGCTCCAACCGCACAATGTCGGGCAACGCGAAAATTAGGCACGACTCAATGCTGACCGGAGCTGCCGCTGCGATCGAGAGGCTTCTCCAGCAGCAGCAACAGCATATTCAAGGCTTGAGTTCGGAAGGAACACAAGCTGCCGTGGAGGACGACCCTTTTGACTCTGGTCCTGCAACTGGTGCTACCGCGCGTTTGCAAAGCGGTATAGCTTCAGGAGCGGCAGTGCAGAGCTGCTCAGTCAAAGCCCTCTTCGTCAGTTTAGAAGGTTACTCTAGCTCCTCCCTCTCTGCTGCTGCGGCGGCAGCAGCAGCAGCAGCAGCGAAGCCATCGAATGCCACCACGCAAGAAGATGCAGCAGAAGGAGGGGTGGACGGAACAGACACGATCCACGCTGAAACAGGTGGAGGCTGGCTAGACGTTGGCAAGCTCACTCGTGCTACGGATCGAATGAGCGTCTCTTCTCTGCCGTCACAGAATCCTCCCACTTCTACTGCTGCGCCAAGTGCACCGATTCTGAGCAACGGTGGCGGATCAGGTCCGGGAGGCTACATGATCACAGCGGGATCCGACGGTCGACTACGGTTCTGGGATCTCGGCAAGCCGGAAAAGTCTCTCGTCTTTGGAGTTCAACCTCGGGTCCTACCTCAGTCGTCAGCATCTTCTTCCCTCGGCAGACCTCAGTCGACCCTTGGTGCGGGGGCGTTAGTCTCCGTCGAACCAAGATCAGAGTTTCGTTGCCTGCATCCCACAGCCCCAGGTACACCGGCAAGAGTCGTTCACACTATGTGGTTTGGCGATCAAGCAGAGGAAGAACAAAAAGGTTTAGCAGGGACAAGGTTGAAGTCTCCTCTGTTGGCAAATCAGACTGCGGTGTATGCTGGCATGTCAAGGGCGCACAAGGATGCTGTGACGGATGTACTGGTCATTGAAAGTCCGTTCAGGTGTGTTGTCGCTGCTGATAGAAGTGGATGTATTCGTGTTTGGGAGTGAAAGAGGCAAGATTTAAGCGGATCATCGAGCCGATCTAGGAATGGAAGACGTTTCAAATTTAAAACAGCGTCTGCATGTGTGTGAGTTGAAGATTGCAGATAAAACGCGACCGATCGGAGCCACTAGCAAGCTCTCGTACACAGTCATATTACTTCTTGAATGCTTATATTATATTCATGTGATGCTATATACATGGTCATATATATACTTAGCAATCTCCTTCAGCCTGTGCAAATGTGCAATGTGTCACTCCTCGTGTTACTCCTGTGTTGTCGCCTCTTGTGCATTATTGTAACAACTCCTATGCATCCCACATGTGTTGCCACCTGTATGCACCTTTACCTAATTATTAGATCACTTAAATTCTGTGGACCCCATATGATTCTGTGGACCCCATGAATCCCATTGGGATGCTGATGCATCTTCAACTCCCCCCTTCGACAGCATTACCAACCCTAACAACTGAGATAGCCGGGATGTTGCTAAACCCTTCAATGGTTTTGTTAAAATGTCTGCAACATTGTCTGCCATTCCAACAAATTCTATCTCTATCTCCCCATCCTGAACATGATCCCTAATGAAATGATATCTGGTGTCTATGTGTTTCAATTTCCAGTGCTTTGCCAGATCCTTACTCACCTGTATACATCCCTGACTATCTGAATGTAAGACTGGATGGGCAGTGTCGATTTCTAAGTCCCTGAGGAGGTATGAAAAGAAGAGTGCCTCTCTCGCTGCTTCTGAGGCAGCAACGAACTCAGCTTCCACTGCTGATAGCACCACACATTTTTGGACATGTGACTTCCAGCTAACTGGGCACCCATATATATACGTCATTGCTCCTGATGTGCTTCTCCATCCATTTGTTGGGTCTGAGGCCCAATTGGCATCACTATACATGACAATCGGTTGCTTCAAGTGTTCGCTTGATCTGCTCCCAAGGTTCAGTTGGTAGTCACTGGTTTGGTTGAGATACTTCATCAAGTGTATAGCAGCCTTCCATGCGCTGTTGGTTGGGGTCGACATATATCTTGCCAGTATTCCCACTGTGAACGATATGTCGGGTCATGCGGTATTTGCTACCCATAACAATTGTCCCACCAGTTCTTGGTATTGTTTTGCCTCTAGGGAATCACATTTATCATTCCCTATGGCATTAGGTATCTCTGGCATTGGTACCCATGATTTCTGATCCATTGACTGTAACCACTTACTCACCATGGCCTTGGTGTAAGCAGTCAAATCAATTGACATCTCCCTTCTTGTCCTGTTTCATTTGATGTTGATGCCGAGGAACTCTTTCACTGGGCCATTATCTTCTGTTCCCCACTTGGACATTATCTCCCTTTTGGTGTGATCCACCTCCTTATGACTGGGCAAGGCTATGAGCATGTGGTCGACATAGGCTGTGATAATAGTTAGGTTACTTCCAGTTCCTCTTGAATACAGAAAAGGTGCACTTGGCATGCAGTGAAAGTCTATGCTCCATAGGTACAAATCCAACTCTATGTTCCATTCTCGCCCTGATTGTTTCAGTCCATACAGTCCTTTTACTAGCTTCAAGGCCTTTCCAGGTGGGATTCTCATTCCAAGTGGTGGTTTTAAGAATACATCATGATGTAGCGTTGAGTTTAGATATGCTTGCTTGACATCAATACTATCTACTTCCCAGTCACGAACCACTGCTATGGCTAAGACTCCTCGGATTGACTGAATGGGTGCGATGGGTGCAAACACTTCAGTGTAGTCTATACCTTCTCTTTGTGTGAAACCTCTCACCACCAGTCTTGCTTTAAACTTTGTCGGGATGAGATTTGCATCTGTTTTGATTTTTAAAACCCAACATGTGTCGATGGTGTGCATACCTTTGGGGAGATTGATGATTTCCCATGTATCCATGGCTTTCAAACCATCCAGTTCTTTATGCATTGCTTCCTCCCAATGTTTCCTGTCCTCTCCTGACAATGCTTTGCTAACTGTTGGGTCTAGGTTTCTTCTCTTTCGATCATTTATTGCTGTGAGTCCATAGTGATTGCTATTGGTCCATGTGTCATCAAGCGTGTTGGTGTTGGTATTGGCCCTGCATTCTATTGCCTTTGTTGTATCTTCACCCAGATCTTCTTCATCATTCAATCCATCTGTTTCTTTCATATTCGTGTACTCATTCAGCAGCTCCTCCTCTCATTCGTCGAAGAGGTTCATATCTGTGTATCCAAGATCATCTATGTCTCCTTCGTCTGCTAGTGCTGGTGGTGGGTGTATGTTTACTGGTTTCCACTCTGTTTTGTCAGACCAGCATTTTGTCTCCATGAATCTAGCTGAGTTGCTCCAAAAGATGTTTGGGCTGTAGTCCAGGCTGTAGAAGAGCCATCCTTTTCTTTCCAGACTATACCCCAAGAAGATAGATGCTACTGCTCATTGATCTAACTTTTTATTATCTCTTTTGACCTTGGGGACATTTACCCATGCTAAACATCCAAAGATGCATAGGAGTCTTATGAGTTGCTCTGGCAACTTCCCAAACATGACTTGGTATGGGAACTCACCGTCAATGCTCGGAATGAGGTTCATTTTGAAGGCTGCAGTCCGGATTGCATAGGGCCAGAAGCTCTTCAGTAACCTCCTTTGCATGAGCAGCATTCGCATCTTCTCACCCAAGCTTCTGTTCATTCTCTCCACATGTCCATTCTGTCTGCTATTGTACCCTACCATCATTTGCCATTCAATGCCCTTTTCATATGCCCACTGGAGTGCATCATTGCTTCTCCATTCTGTACCTTGGTCAGATTGTATTGCTTTCAGATTCTTTCCCATCTGTGTCTCAAGATACAATATGATTGTTTTGAGCTTGGGAAATGCGTGACTCTTTTGTAGCAAAGGCTGCGCATATACATACTTGCTGTAGTTATCAACCAGTACCAATGTGCATGTGTATTCCATCGTGTGCGACAAGTCGACTATCAAGTTGATGTGGATGAGATCAAGTGGAGAGACAGATTTCTCTCCACTACCTTGCCCCATTTGGGCTGCCGTGCTTTTGGATCGGATGCATGGCTCACACATTGTAGCAGTCCCTGGGTTTAGGTCTGCTGTGTCATTTTCTCCTAAGCAGTTGATGATGGCCCTTGTCTTATCTCGACCTGGATGTCCCAGATGTTCATGCCATAGTTGTTGTTTGGATATTTTGGCTTTGTTCTCAATATGCTCGAAATCTTCATCAACACCTTCAAATAATGACATTGATGTGATCATTGCATTTTCCTTCCATGTGTCGCCTTGAAACTCCAACAGTCCTTGCTCACGATTCTTGGATATTTTGAGTAGCATACCATTTGCTAAGTGTATTTGCCCTCCGGTTGAGTCTAGTGTCACTTGTGCTCCTTTGTCTGTCAGAGAATTTGTTGACAATAGGTTAACATTGAGATGCTGAACATACAATACATTTTGGAGAAAAACATCTCCATGACTTGTTGATATGCTAGCATCCCCTATAGCAGTCACTTCCAGAACCTCACTTCCAGCAGTGAATATGCACTTTCGGCAGGTTCTCGGACTAATGAGCATGCTATAGTTGTTTACCATATGATAGCTGGCACCCGAATCCAGGATCCAATGATGGTTCCCTTTTGAATCTGGGTGGCTCTGCCAACTTGGTGCGAAAGAGCACCAGGCTTCCTATTTGGGCCTGGTGAAGGGGGAATTTTCTGGTATGGTCACCAATGCATCACATTGACTGATCCTGTGTCCAGGCCTCTTGCAGATCCAACATCTGAGCCTTCGAGGTCTAGTGGCGACTTTGGCACTGGTGCTGTCAGCATCCTTTTCATCTTTCTCCTCCTTTCCGGGTGTCTCATCCTGGTCGTCACTGCTGACGACTCTGGCGCTTGCTTGATGGGGGTCAACTCTCAGGGTGGGGTTGTTCTCGATTGCCAACTGCCGAATAGATAGGGCAGTGGCAAGGGCGTTAAAACTAAGCTGGCTGATGGTGGCAATGGTCTCCTTGTACATTGGATGTCGGATAGTGCACTTTTGTAGATTAGAGAACAGAGTATCATCAGCGAATGGCTTTCCCAGTAAGCTGCTCTCTGTTTGGATGGTCCTTATTTCCTGGATAAGCTTTTGTATGTCTGAGTTGTGCATCCTTAGTTCGCCTAGCTGAGCAATCAATGCAATATGATGAGATATGGCAGTGGCCTCATTGGTGAGTCCATTTTCAATCTTCTTCCATACATGATGGAACATATGGTGCTCCCTGATGATGTCAAGAATCAAGTAATTGATATTGTGCTCTCCAGTGGTGTCAATGGTACTGTGTAATGCATTTGTCAAAGCATCATCAAATGTGCGGTTCCATTTGGGATGTTTCTTGTCATATGCTCCATCAAGATGCTTCATGGTGTGAGGAACACATCATAGAAAGGACTTGATATGGGCATTCCAACTATAATAGTTGTGCAATGTGAGTTTTGGGATGGGCTCAAGTAGTTTTGCTAGAGTACAAAAATTGTATGGCTTTCTGTTGTTGTCATGATCCGAGTTGGAGTCAGTTTCTTCCTCGGCATCATTGTCAATCACCTTTGATGGTCCTGGTTGGCTTAGTCAGTAGAGCTTCAGACTCTTAATCAGTTGAAGATTGCAGATAAAACACAACCGATCGGAGCCACTAGCAAGCTCTTGTACGCAGTCATATTACTTCTTGAATGCTTATATTATATTCATGTGATGCTATATACATGGTCATATATATACACTTAGTGATCTCCTTCAGCCTGTGCAAATGTGCGATGTGTCACTCCTCGTGTTACTCCTGTGTTGTCACCTCTTGTGCATTATTGTAACAACTCCTATGCATCCCACATGTGTTGCCACCTGTATGCACCTTTACCTAATTATTAGATTGCTTAAATTCTGTGGACCCCGTATGATTCCGCGGACCCCGTGAATCCCGTTGGGATGCTGACGCATCTTCAACTGTGTGCCAATGAGAGCGAAAGGCAATGACTGATTCTTCGAGGTGTACCGACAGCAGTTTTATGACACAGTCCGATTGCTGCCCGGTCAGATTTGATCTTTGAAGCTGTATGATTTCTTTGCATGACAAGGGATGGTGAAAGAATAAATATGGCAGGGAGAGGAAGAAAGGTGAAGGTCCGGGCAGTGCCGTGCCCATCTACACACTGCCAAAGACCGAGAATTTGCGAACAATCGATGGGCCATGCTCTTCGTAATCCTGCTTGTTGTAGCAGTACGAGTAAAAATCTGGCAAGGAACCCAACAGTGAACCTCCGTACCACACAGCATACCTCTGCATCTTGTGACTGATGACGTTGACCTCCAAACCTGAACTCCTCATCAAGCTTCCACTTGCCGTCTCGCTCGCTGCCAATCTCTGATCAACAATAGAGCGCAAATCCTTTTTCAGCCTCTGGCCAAAGTGTTGGAACATGGTTGAGCCACCGGAGAGGACGATGTTCTTGTAAAGTCCACGACGAACATCGATTGGAGATTGTTGAATGACTCCGTCGACAACTTCGGGCAACGGAGTGAGGAAGTCGGAGGAGGCGATTTCAGGGTTGAAGAAGATTTCGGGGGCAAGGAAACGCTCGTATCCGACATCGACGCTGTATTTGCGCCCAGTGACGGTGTGTTCGCCCTCGAAACGTTCGAAGTACTTGTAAGGGTCTTCGTCATAACGGCGGAACTCGCGGACGATGTCTTGGCAGACATAGGAGTAGTCTTCCTTGATCTTTTCGGCAACTTTCCTCGAGTCTTCGGGTGGGATGTTGGCTGCTTCGCCACGTTCCCGAAGAAGCTGCTGGACGAAGTAGGTGATGTCTCGACCGGCGATGGGGATGTGCTTGATGGCCGAACCAATGACGTAACCTTCTGCTACAGGGATAACGTGTGTGACACCATCACCCGAGTCAATGACGGTACCTGTGAGCGTACGGTCGATCACCTTGTTGCTTGTCCACGAAGCGGCAAGTGCAAGGACGGCCTGGACAGCAATGTATAGACCCTTGATGTTGAACGACTCGAACATGATTTCGGCGGTATTTTCACGGTTCTCAGGAGGGTTGAGCGGTGGTTCGGTGAGCATGAAGTAGTGGTCCTCGGGTTCGGCACGGAGGTACTTGAAGATGCACTGTTCCCAGAAGCGTTCCATATGATCCCAGTTCTCAATAAGGCCGTGACGAATGGGCTGGTCAACTTGGTAGGTTTTGGCATTGGCGTAGGCTTCGTCGCCGATGAAAAAGTCAAGGTCTTCAATACCACGTTTAGAGGCTAACGAAGAAGAAGATGAGATTCCCCCTGGCTTGGAGGGTGCCGATGGACGGGAGCCCGCGCCGGAGGAAGAGCCAGCTGCGGTGGTACGGGTAGCAATGGCAGTTGGGAACACGAAGGATGGGTCCGAGTTACCGGCGAAACCCATCTTCGTGTAGCCTGTACCATTGTCGAGCACGATGACGTTGGAGCGCGACATGTTGGCGACAGCAAAAGGGTAGCAAGAGGGTGTGACAGGTGGCTGAAGTGGACCTGTAGCTGTGATCGGGTCGTGTCGAGAAGAGTCAAAGTTGCTAGTCCGTATCTGCGATCCTGTCTAGATGCAGCCGGTATGCTGTGCTTATCGAATGGAGGCTCCGGTAAGAAAGGGTGTTCGGCTCAACACGACAGCGTCGTCGTCCGCAAAGTTGCCTTGCGAGACTGGGAAAATCGAGGGCGGGAAAGAGTGGCGAGTGAAGAAGAAGACAAGATGGATGGAATGTGTGGAGTCGACTCGGTTTGGCAGGTGGTGTGTGCGAATTGTTGTGCAGTGGAGAGTGAGAGTGAGCGAGTGCCGATTCCAAGGGTGGCTCGTGCGCTGCAAAAGCAGCTTGAATCGCGTGGCTCTGTAACGCTGACATCCACAGCCTCACACGTTCGGTTCCGAGCATTTTACAGATCGGGCACAACAGAAAGGGGTGGTCTAACATCTTTGTCTAATTTGAAGATCGTCGGATTGACCTCATCCCGCAGTATCGCGCCTAATGTGCAGGTCGCGCCGAAGCGGCTGTGTCGGAAATTCACCTCCGAGTCCCCTTCTTCGCTGCATAAATTTGTTTGTTCCCTACTTTTAAAAAAAGTTGATCCGCAGAACTTCGCATCGCTTGTACAAGGTTGATGCTCGTCATAGCAAGGCAAGCTAAGGCATTTCGCATGTGTCTTGGTCCGCGTTGATCGAGCTAATACGGTGCCTGGATGAGGGTTGAGACCACACTACGCCATTGTGTGCTGGGTCTATTCCTCTCTTTTCCCGAACAGTATCACCGCGGACAAAGGCGAAGGTGCTAAGCTGACACCTGCATTCATGTCGTAGCCACATCTACATCCCAAGAGTACAGCCTGCATCCCGTCCTTCTTCCGCTTCCACCTTGACTCCTGTCTCTAACCTTTCCTACACCTAGTGTCGTTTTAGGAGCAACATGAAGCTCCCGCTGGTCTCGACGATGCTCAGCCTTGCGCTGACAGCCTCTACCGTTGTCGTCCACGCATACCCATCCATCCCCTCTGAACTCGATGGGGAATCGATTGCCCGTATCAGCAAGCTCTCTCGAGAGGAAAGGGTCAAGTTTGCTGAATATCTCCTCGAAGTTCGCACTGCCTATGAATACGAGAAGCAGCAGCTTGCCCGCCGAGATGGTCTTCATCGACGTGCTTCTCCTTCGGGATCTTTCGCGCCCGCCAACATGCCTTGCCCCAACACCACTTCACAGCAAGGTCCTGGCTTCATTCGGCCCGCCCACACCAAGCAACTCTCAACCGCGGAGGAAGAGTACATCACTCGTCGTCGAACTAGCACCAGGGATGGCTGGGCACAATGGCTAATTAATTCGGCCAAGCTCGACAGTGTTCTCCCAGGCGGTGCTTCCAATTACACCTCATCGGAAGACAGGTTGCCCAGGCTTGGGTTTGCTTTGAGCGGTGGTGGCCTGCGTGCTATGCTCGTCGGTTCGGGAACACTGCAAGGCTTTGACGGCAGGAACGAGACCTCTAACCAGCGAGGTACCGGTGGATTGTTGCAATTGGCAGAGTACATTGCTGGACTCTCGGGCGGATCTTGGGCTACATCCTCCTTGTCCATGAACAACTGGGCCACCACTCAGTCTCTCAAAGACAACGTTTGGAACCTCGCATCAAATCTTATCGTCCCTAGTGACGGCAAAGTCTCGTTCTACGCATCCATTGTCGCGGCTGTGGCAGGCAAGCGTACTGAAGGCTACCAGACCAGTCTCACCGACTACTTTGGTCTCTCGATTGCAGACAAAATCCTCAATGGCTCCACCTACGGCAACAAGTTCAGTGTTGAATGGAGTGATGTCAAAAACACTTCCAGCTTCACTGATGCTTCCATGCCATTCCCCATCATCATCGCCGATGAGAGGGAGCCTGGAGAGCTAATCATTCCTCGCAACACGACCATCTGGGAGTTCAACCCGTACGAGTTTGGTTCCTGGAACCCGAATGTCTCGGCTTTCATCCCCATCGAGATTCTGGGGTCCAGCCTGGACAATGGTAGGAGTGTCTTACCTGACGAACAGTGTGTAGGTGGATATCAGACGGTGGCTTGGGTCACGGGTACATCAGCTACCCTATTCTCGAGTCTGTACTTGACTTTGATTACCAACTCAGCGGACAGCCTCATCGTTGATGCACTCAAGGAGATTGCACAGGCTGTTTCAAACGAGCAGAATGATGTCTCTCTCGTTCCAAACCCCTTCTACGGCTACACTGGTAACGGAAATGTCGAAGTTACCAACCTTCGTAACATTACCCTCGTCGATGGAGGTCTTGACAACGAGAACGTTCCACTTTGGCCACTGATCGAGCCAGCACGAGACATGGACGCAATCATCAGCATCGACAGCTCTGCCGACGTCACCAACTGGCCCAATGCTTCCGCCCTCTACCAGACATCACTCCGTGCTTAATTCCCCACCTATGCCGCCTACCCATTCCCCGTGATGCCCGACACAAACACAGTGATCAATCGCGGTCTCAACACCCGTCCTGTCTTCTACGGCTGCAACGCAAACACCAACGTCACCAACGCCGACTCTGCTTTCAACAATACGAAAACGCCTGTAATCATCTACGTGCCCTCGTACCCCTACTTGGCGCTCGCTAATACGTCGACCTTCAAACTCGACTACTCGGATCGTCGGGCTCAAGGGGTCATTGACAACTCCGTTGACGTAGCTACGCTGGGTGGAAGGGATAATCAGTGGCCTACCTGTTTAGCTTGTGCTCTGATGCAGAGGGGTTTTGAAAGGAGTAACACTCCCCGGCCCGAGGTATGCACACAGTGTATGAACAAATGGTGTTGGGATGGAGTAACTAACACGACCAGCCCAAGTTTGGCGTACTCGCCGTCAATCGGTGTGCCAGAGTTCGTGACGAGTAATGGGACTCTGCAGCAGACACCGCCATATACGGGTGGTAACGGATCGAACTCGCAGGCTGGTGATGCTAGCTCGCAGTCTGATTCGTCCAGCAATGCGGCGTTGGCGGGGCTGAAGGCTTCGACTCAGATTGCAGGCTTGTGGGGGATGACTGGCCTTCTTGCTGCTGGCTTGGCTCTCTTGTAAGCAGGCCTCACGATGTATTCAAGCAGCAACGCAAAAGTCCTTTCGTATTTCCTTATCTGTGTGATTAGCGTGTTGACATGAGACAACTGCAGGTAATGTATGAACATGTGTGTGTATGTTTGACGTGGAGTCGAAAAAGTGTTAGAAAAGCGGAGGTGAGTAGATTGAGCAATCTCTGCACCGCGACATTCTAAGATGACACTATGGTAGATTGGGTTTCGTCGCGCCAAGCTCGCTTACTGCGACTTCTTTGGAGGCTTGAGATTGGTCGGGGGCTTGACGACAAAGCAAGCCATTCCCAACTCGGTCGTGATCGTCGTGATGACATTGTGGCAGAAGTGCAAATAGAGCACAGCTGCGAATGCTAAGCTAGCATAGATAACCTGCAACTGCCTCTCTGGGCTAGTCTGAATGTATGACGATGGCAAGTTTGCATCGACTGCTAACAGCACTGACCAGACAATTGCGATGTTCCAGTAAGGGAAAGGAGACTTTGTGACGTGTGCAACGATGAGCAGTCCAACGTTGTATGCGAACCCGATGCCCCAGAAAGCCAAGAAGGGGAGCAAGGCGCGAGAGTCGGCAAGAATGAAAGCTCGGTTGGCTCGAATCCAGTAAACATTGGCCACGACCTGAGCAACCAAGGGTGTGAGGCCGAAAAGAGGGGTCAAGATGGATTGATTGCGGGACTTGCGAGCTGCAACGACATTACCGTACGAGCCGGCGATGTTGAAGAGCAAACCCAGAGCACCAAAAGTCATGAAAGCGTCGTTGAAGGGAAGGTTGAAGCGGCCAAGGTGCGTGCTGACAAAGTCGATCTTGGCCAAACCAGTTATATTGAGGATACCTCGGTCCCAGAAGATGGGTCCTCCCACGAAGCCAGTGAGCGCATAGATGAAGACAATCATGAGAATACCTTCGACAGGACCGCTGAAGGCGGAAAGGAAGAGTGTACCTGTGTGGAACTCTTCCCATGTGGTAAGGTAGAAGTTGGCGAGCGTAGCAACGAGCGAGCCCGGAGCCCAGACGGATCGACCGAGGTTGAGAGCAGCGCAGCAGAGGACACATTCGAGGGTTGTGTTGATCGCGTCGCAGCCGTGGTCGAAGAGCTCACCGAGGGGGCCAGCCATACCTGTCCTTCTCGCCTGCTTGCCATCAATCGAGTCCAAACTCTGGTACATGAACAAGCACAGCGCCCAGGTGTAGAAGACCCAGGGCGGCAAACATCTGCCTGCAGAGTCGGCGCGAGGTGCGAAGTCGATCTTGGCGGCGGCGCCAGGAATGCCGAAGTTGGCAAAGATCGGACGGACTGGAAGCAAGGCCGCGTCAGAAGGGAAAGCCGAGTGGAGCGCAAGCGTGTGTGCAGTGGAATCGAGCTTGAGTTGTGTCGCGCATTCGAGGCCGGGATCAGTGTAAGCGAGAGTAGCAAAGTTTATGAAGACGAGAAGCAGACCCGAGAGGGTAATAGTGTTGGGAGCGACGCTGGTTGGGAAGAGCGTGACTAGCCAGTTCCAGTATGGACCAAGAATGTATTTGGATACGAGCGACTTGTCGGTACCGCTGTACTTGTAGAGATGGAGGTTCTCGACCCTATGACGGGGAATGTAGTCGAACATGATGACGAGCTGGGGATGGCGCCTTCTCGCAGAAGCGCGCTATGTGGAACCTTGCGGAGGCGTAAGACGATAGCGATGTCGACAGTGGTGGAGACGAAGATGGTTCAAGGTAGCTGCTTCTGCTAGGTCGGAGGAGGTGCGGATCCCAGAGTGAAACGTGAAAAAGCAGCGCAGAAGCAAAGGGAACGTTGGGACGCATGCTGGAAGAATCACACTCCTCACGCTGTCATACATAGAAAAAGTTACTATACTTTTTCCTCCACACACACAAAGCGCGTTGCGCTGTTTGGAACGTGTGCATCTTCGTTTCTATGCTCTTCTGCGACGTCACTTTTCGTATCTTGTCGAGCCGTCCTCTTCGAGAGGTGTCGTACAACGCGTTCGGTCGCATGAAATCGGCGCTGTGCATTGCCGATGTTCCCGATGGACGATCCTCCACTTTGATTTTTTTTGGACCTCTTCTTCCTCGGAAGCTTCGCTCGCTTCGAGACACTTTGCCGCGGAACTAGCTTGAGCTTAGCAAGAAGACTGCCTCTCTCTTCGACAAACTCAGCTTGACTCTCACCCTCTCGTAGATTCTGCACCTATTGCAGACTCAGTGAAGATGCGCTGTACGAGACTCGCTCGAGCGGCAGCGGAGTCTTCCTCATCCGCAAGCACACCATCTCTCCCACGAAAAGCACGAGTCGCTATCATCGGCGCTGGCCCCTCTGGCTTCTATGCAGCATCCCGCATCCTATCTCGAGTACCATATTCCCAAACCGAGTCTGCAGCGTCACAGCCTCTCTCGATAGATATCTTTGACCGCCTACCCGTTCCTCATGGCTTGGTTCGATACGGAGTTGCACCAGATCACCCCGATGTCAAGAATGTCGAGAACAAGTTCGCCACGGTCTCGCAAGATCCGCGCTTGCGATTCGCTGGAAATGTCGATGTCGTCCATTCCCCGGCACATGACAGAGCCAAGGCGCAGTACCCGGATGCAGTGCAGGTGCCATTAGAGCTGTTGTCGCGGTACTATACACACATTCTATTCTCTTATGGTGCATCTACAGGCAGGAGTCTAGGCATCCCAGGTTCAGCACCCGGAGAGTTGGAAGGAGTGTACACAGCGTTGCAGTTCGTCAACTGGTACAATGGCCATCCAGCCTCTCATGACCCTACATTGCTTGCTGGGTCACACTTCAACGTAGACTTCACCAACAAGCATCACATGACAGTCATCGGCGCAGGAAACGTCGCTCTGGATGTAGCAAGAATCGTGCTCCGCTCGTCGATACCTTTCTTCGAGTCATCTTCAGGACGAGTCACTTCTAACAAAGCACCAGGTCTGTCGGCGTTGGAGGAAACAGATGTGCCCGAACCAGTGCTGGCCGAGTTGGCAAAGTGTAAGATCCGTCATGTCGACGTCTTCGCACGACGAGGACCGGCGCAGCTAGCTTTCACCAACAAGGAAGTACGAGAGATGCTCTCGCTCGAAGGCGTCGCTCTCCGTGCACCCGAGAAGGAGCTTCTCGTTTCTGCATTGGTGCAACTCGATGAATTGGCGGCAAAAGGCGCCGCTGATCCGGCAAAGGCCAATGAGATCGCCTCCGAGGTCAGAGTCAAGAAGCGTCTACTCAGCATCTTGACCAAGGGCAGCAAGAGCAAGGTCGAAGAAGAGGTCAAGACATGGGGCTTGAACTTCTTCCGCTCACCCGCGGCGTTTTTCGCGAAGGAGGGGGGTTCGAAACAGGTAGGCAGTGTAGAATGGGACGTCACAACACTGCAAAGTGGTCAACCAACAGCGGCGAATCTGGACGCCGCCGACCCCAAGAAAGCAACCTGGGGATCCGGCTCCACAGGTTCTACTCCTGCCGCAAGCAAGTCCACTGCAACAGGGAAGAAGGTCACCACCAAGACAGACATAGTCGTTTCAAGTGTCGGGTACCAGAGCGAGCCTCTCTTCTCACCTTCAGCTTCAACTTCTCCTGCCGTGGTAGAGGATGGGAGATTGGTGCAGCTACCTTTCGATCCTTCCCGTAAGATCGTTCCGAACGCAGGCGGAAGAATTATCGACCCGTCGACAAAAAATCCTATTCCCAACACATATGTCAGCGGATGGCTCGCAAGAGGACCGAGCGGCGTTATCGCAACGACTATGATGGACGCATACGGAGTAGCCGACGTGATTCTTGCTGATCTTCATTCGGCTGATCAAGCTCGGACTAGTGGTGGCGAGGAAGGTGGGGACCTATTGGTGCAGCTGCAGCGAGAGTCAAGCAATAAAGTCGTCGGCTTTGAAGGGTGGAAACGTATCGACGAGGAAGAGAAACAAAGAGGTCAAAAGCTTGGCAAGTTGCGAGAAAAGATCCTCACTGTCAAAGAAATGCTCGATATCGTCAATTGATCTTACACAAAAGCATGACCATGACTCTGTACTCTACACAATGCTTCACACAAGCCACGCATCAATATCTTCGATAGACAACGCTGCAATTGCTAGCTGGTATAATACAAACATGAATATGAGAAGAGAAAGGGGAAGGCCTAGTGACCAAGATCCTTAGCCGCAGCCTCAAAAGACTCCTTGAAGATGCTGCAAGCCTGGCTCAACTCCTGCTCGCTAATGTTGAGAGGAGGGATGAACCTTAACACGTCAAACGCTGACGTGCTCAACAGTAGCATGTCACGCTTGAGACACTCGGCGACGATCTTTGGTGCGATCTGCTCGACCTTCTTCGCTCCCATTGCCGCTGCTGTTGTGTTCTGCGAAGCTGCGTTGGTGGATGTGTTGGAGAACTGGACACCAATCATGAGACCTCGTCCGCGAACGTCCTCGATAAGGTGGCCGTATTCGGAGTCCTTTTTGAGACTGTTGAGGAAGGAAACGAGCTGGTCGGAACGCTTGGCGACATTGTCGAGGACTTTCTCCTCTTCGAAGGCCTTGATGACAGCGGTGGCAGCGGCGCAGGATACTGCGTTACCGGCGTAGGTGCCGCCCATGGAGCCTGGCTTTTGACGGCTCATGAGTTCGTTAGTTGATGCAATGCCGGAGAGGGGGAAACCATTAGCGATACCCTTGGCGAAGATGAGTACATCGGGGCGAACGCCAGAATCCTCGACGGCAAACATGGTGCCAGTGCGGCCGAAGCCTGACTGAACCTCGTCGCAGATGAGAAGGAGATTGTTCTCATCACAGATCTGGCGAAGACCGTGGAGGAAAGACGCGGGAGCTGGGACATAGCCACCCTCACCAATGACAGGCTCGATGATGATAGCAGCTGTGTCAGAGGGGGCAGTCTGCTGCTGCAATGTCAAGCGAACTTGGTAAAGCGACTGACGCACGAGCTCCTCGACGTCAGTGTCGACGGACAAGCCAAAGTGGGAGTAGAAGGGGAAAGAGGTTGCAAAGACACCGGGCATGAGTGGACCATGACCTTCACCGTAGATGGTCTTGGATCGAGTGAGAGCAGCGGTGGCAGCGGTTCGGCCGTGGTAAGAGCCTTGCATGACGATGATGTTTTGCTTCTTGGTGGCAGCTCGGGCGAGCTTGACAGCTGCCTCGACGGCTTCGGCACCAGAGTTCCAGAAGAAGACAGTGTCAAGGGAAGGGTGGGGGAGAATAGGAAGGAGGTGCTGGATAAGCTCGATCTGGGTAGCAGAAAAGCCGATGTTGACCTAAAGAGCGCATACATAAAGAGGAGCAGGATTTTCCGTCAGCAATCATCCTACCGTGTCTGCTCGGGGAAGCGCCATGGATGCAACTTACCTGTGCATGGGTGATCTTGCCACATTGCTTGGCAGCAGCCTCGGTCACCTTGGGGTGACAGTGTCCCAAATTGCAGACGCCGATACCGGAAGTCATGTCGAGCAGCTTGACACCCTTGTCAGTGGTGATCCAGCTGCCTTTACCATCCTCAAAGACGTGCTTCGAGAGACGGCCGATACCCTTGGTGATGTGGGACTCGCCAAAAGCGGCGGCGTCAAAGCTAGCTGCTAGCATAGTTGGATGGAAAGCTTGGGCCCTTTGGGTGGTGGAGGAGAGGTGACGATGCGATGATGAGGAGGAGCTGGAAGGTGAGACTGCGAGAGGTCCTCGAGTGAGGCAAGTCTTTATAGGCTGGGAGGAGAGGAAGGCACGCATGGTGAACCAAGTGACTCGGTGCTATGATTCGTCCTATCCTTGAGTTTGGGATTTGTCTATTGGAATGTGCACAATTAAGGAGCTGATAGCGAGGTCAGGTGCAATTCGTGGTGGGGAGATAGAGAATGAGACAAAAAGGATGCGGTAGGACGGCCCCTTATCAGTGCAATGCTGGGCTGGCAGGATGCACTGTTGAACGGACATCAGAGCATCTCGCGAAAGAGTCAGCCGATGGTTGATGATGACTGAGTTGCGAGTTGTGCCGGTTGAAGTCACGAGTGTGACACCCTGGATCAAGAAATTCTAAAAAAGCGCTCGCTCTCGGGGCTCCTTGGGCTGTAGAAGAGCTGGCGGAATCGCAATCTGAATGCAAAGACCCTTTTTTTGGCATCACGTGATTTCATAGTGTCTTGTTTTTTGTTTTGTTTTTTTGGCCGAAACAACTCTGGCTCCCTGCTTGGAAGCCTCGTCAAGACGCGACTCCTCGGCAACTTGCTGGGTGCGAGGCGAGATTTTATGAGAAGGCGCTGCCGCCCCCCGCACTTTATCTATTTTAGCCGCACTTAGCGCTGTCCATCTGTTGCGTAACTGGCAGTGCATCTCAACTTGCTCTTATCTCTTCTCGCGCAATCGGCAACTGCTCATCAGTCGCATCGGAGATCACAGCCGTGAGGAAAGACCTTGAAACAATGATAGCATTGGCTGAAATAGAGCCCTATGTCATACAGTCGCGAACAACGAAAAGCAGAACTGAATCCAAGAACTTGAGTAGGAGAAGGAGACAAACAAAAGAGATGATAATACATATTTGCTGTAGGAGAACGAGAATACGGTTTTATGCCGTCGATGGTGTAAGATGAGAATGGCAAGGTCTACGATGATATTCTCCTCACTGCCGAGACTGTGAGAAGCCGTGTCCACCAGCTGTTGCAGCGGTGAAAGCCTGGATACCGCCAGCTGCCTGGATGCTGTTCCAAGCCATGCGTAGAGGGCTGGTCGTAACGCCATCGCCACCGCTATAGCCCGAGTAATAGTTGTCACTGCTGTGGCCTTGCGAGGCGACTGAATAGTGCGGCGCCATCTGTTGGTGTTGGTGTTGGTGTTGGTGTTGGTGTTGTTGTTGTTGTTGTTGTTGTTGTTGCTGCTGCTGCATGTTGGCTTGCATCTCGAATGGGTCATCCAGGTACCAACTTTGCTGCTGCTGCTGCTGCTGCTGCATGTTCTGGTGTGTGGCTCCAGCCAAGCTCATGCCCATCATCTGTGAATGGCTTGAGAAGCCTCGACGTCCGGGCGAAAGACCGCTCGAGAAGCGCAGCGAGCCAGGGGTGCGGCCCGGAGTCAAGCCCGAGCCCATGCCTAGGCCGGCACCAAAGCTAGCACCGCCGAAGCCCATCTGTCCTGCACCGCCTCCCATAGCCAACTGCATCTGCAAGCTTGCGCTCGAGTTGGGTGAGAGTGAGCTTCGATGCGCCAATGCAGCTGCAACGCGTGCTGTCGATGAAGGTGATTGCATGCCGTCGTCCACGTGGCCCTTCTGACCCATCGATCCCCGCATCGACGACATTGGCGAGCTGATGGACCACAGTCGCTTGGGAGATGTCACGGAGGAGTTGCCAGAACTGCTCTCTTCGGTCGAGCCCTTGGTCTGTCGACGCAAGGGCGATCCACGCGAAAAATCGCCCTCCATTCCGTTCGAAAAGACGAAGGCGTTGCCGAGCGCAGAGCCTCGAATGGCGTACATCGAAGGTGAGTATCCGTATCCGAGCTGCACGTTGCCTTGGCCTGCCATCTTGCGCTTCCTCGCACTGTGATTGGCCGTGGCCTGTATTGAGGGCGGTGGCATCAGCGTAAAAGGGCTGCTCGGGGGACTGCTGGCGCTGTCGATCAGACCGGGGATCTTGCTATAGTTGCTCCCTCCGATGCTGCCGCTGTACATCAAAGATCCGACGTGCGGGCGCACTGGCGTCATCGAGTCAAGCCCGTTGATCGCCATCGCAGCACCTCCACGCGGACCACCAGTCTGCGGCTGCGTCTCGAGAAGAGGTAATCGGTCAGCCATGACTGGCTGACCATCGCCCTTGACCTTCTTGGCCGATCGTCGACGACCTGTCTCTTTGTCCGACTCATCACCGCTGTCGCCGGCAGTTTCGCCTTGGGTCTTCTTGCGCTTAGGCTTGTTGCGCTTAGGTTTGTTGTGCTTCTTGGCACTATTGTCCGATGCGTCGCCACCCTGCGAAGACGGCAAGCCATTGTCATCAGACACAGCCAAGGCCCTCTCGACAGCATCAGAAGAGTCCATAACCTTGTTGATCTGGTTCTGCTGCTGTTGCTGTTGGCGAGCCTTGGCAGCTTCAAATTTCTGCGGGACAGCGTTGTACAGGCCGTTCTGGAATCGGTCCTCATGGTCAGGCTTGATGCCCCACCAGCCTCCTTTGCCTGGCATGTTGGCTTCGCGCTCGATCTTGACGAAGCTCTTGTTGAGACTGAGGTTGTGTCGGATCGAGTTTTGCCAGCCTCGGTCGCCCTTTTCGAAGAATGGGTAGGTGGAGCTGATCCAATCGTACACTTCAGAGAGCGAGAGGCGCATGTCTGAGGAAGACTTGATGGCTTGACCGATGAGACCGGCGTACGAGACTGAACTAGGCTTGGCCTTGGACTGTCCATATCCTGGAGGGAGCAGATAGTAACGAGCAGGTGGCTCTTCAAGAAGTGTGCCAGCCTCGAGCGCTGCCTTCAATTCCTCTGAGACGAGCTTCACTAAACGACTTCCGTCCGGCTGGTCCCATCCAATCTCGTCGCCGTTCTGAACAGAGGGAGAGGTCTTGGTCATGCGTTCGAAGTCCTGGCATGGCAGGTCGACGACCTTAAAGGCGGCTTGGTCCGTTGCAGAACCGCTGGCCACCTTTGACTTCTTAGACTTCTTACTCGAACCGCTCTGCAGAGCATCTTTGGCGTCCAAACCACCACCAGGGATGAAGTTCTCGGCAGACTCGGTGACAGACATCTGCATTGCGGGTTCGGCACTACCAGCGCGAATCACCATGTTGACAGCGACCGTGCCATGCCCAGTGGGAGGCTGCATCAACTGTGATGCACTGACGCCAGCAACCTTTGTTGCCTCGCCAAGCTGCTTGCTGGGAGAAGGGGGAGAGTCGCTCTGCACGCGTCTGATCTCGGCGGCTTTCTTGCCCTTCTTGTTGCGGTTCTGCGCGGCGGTGTTCGCAGCTTCATCCTCGACCATAGGTGGCACAGCATCGCGAATGTCCTTGCTCGGCTCAGGCAGCGGCAGCTTGGTCTCAACGTTAGGTGCAGACACGGTGCGCGGCAGGCTGGAGCCGAACACGTCGGCGGGGCTGATGGTGTCAATCTTGCGCGAGCCGGCTCGTCTGTGTTTGCTTCCGCTGGGGCCGGAGCCCAAAAAGTCACGGATGTTGCCGGAAGGCTGACGATTGTGGCGCAAGTCGAGGGCAGTGCCGGACTGAGCACGGACAAGGGCGCTGCGTGGACTGGCGAAAGGAAGCTTGCCACCGATCATCTCGTCACCTGCTGTACCTGCTCGAAGGGATCGACCGATGCGCAAAGGCGGTGCAGTGGACAACATGAAGCCCTTGCCAATGCCACCATCCAGATGGACGGCTTCTGCGAGTGATGCAGGAGGTGGATCGAGAGCGGTACCACCTGGTGCAGAGAACAGCAGGCCACGCTTAGCGCTGAAACCGACAGGCTTGCCGAGGCCGGGAACGTCATCATGTTGGACATGAATGTCATCGTCAGCATCAAAGTCGAGGTCGCTCATTCGGCTCGCGACGCCAGAGACGAGGCGACCAGACAGTGGCGACATGACAGCGACACCCTGCGAAGAGGAGCGCATGAGCGAAGAGTTGGCCGAACCCTGTGCGCTAGCCTGTCGAGCATGGAAGAACCCAGCAACCGAGGGACTGACACCGATGAGCTCGGGTCGAGATTCGTCAGCAGAATGAAGGAAGTGGGCAGCGGGGGTGAAGGACGAACTGCTGCGCAAGCTCGAGCGGTTAGCATCGGTTCCCTTGCGCAAGCTCGTCAGCGGCTCAGCATCCCAAGCAGAGAAGGTGATTGGACCGGGCGTGGAGTGAATGTTGCAGAGCGCCTCGAGGGAGTCGAAGCCGGGCTGACTGGGCGAGATGCCGTGCATGGTGAAATCGTAGTGCTCGCGCGTTGTCATGCGTGTGTGCATGTTGTTCGGGCTGGCGCCAATCGTAGTCCATCGCAGCGCTCTGGCGGAAGAGGATTCCAAGGGTGTGCCACGCACAACAGAGTCGGGCGACTTGCGTCTCTTGTTGCCCGCATTGGGTGTGCTGATCACAAGCGAAGCGTAGTCTGGGTTGGCTGCCTTGATGGCATCAGCCGCAGCTGCTGCTTTGACTGCCTCCCTCTGCTCATACTCTTGGCGCGCGGCCGCCTCAGCCTTGTCCTGTTCCTCGATCCACTTGCGTTGAGCTGCCTTCTTCTGTCTGAGCTTCTCCTCCTTGTACAGCCGTCTTGGGCTGGTGTGTTGTGCCATGACCTTATCGAGGAAGCTGAGACCGCTCATCTTGGAGTCCAAGCCATCGAGAGCGGCAGGCGCTGAGGTGCCGGTAGAGCTTTCGGACAGGGTTCTGCGATGCGATGCGCCCCAACCATCGGCAGCGAGACCTCCGCTCAGGCCGGCGTTCTGCTCTTTGGTGATGAAGCAGACACCCGAGTCATCAGCATCCATGAGAGGGCTGCAGAAGGTGGCGCCGTTCTCAACGGGAGACTTGAGTAATCGTAAAGTACCTCTGGGACTGACCCAGGCACGTCGGCTGAGCTCCTCGAGCGAGGTGCATTCGTGCACCTCGTCACTGACACGGACGAGGGGCGAAGACTCAAACGAGACGGTTCGCACACGTGAGCGGCGGCTGGAGAAGGCGCTCTGCAATGCTTCGGGTGGAGTCGCTGGATCAGGACTGGTATTGAGGTCGAGGTCAAGACCGATCCTGGTAGCTGACTTGATGCTGCTGCAACTGCCCTTCTTGGCATGCGTTCTTGTTGGCGGTGTGCGGAATGAGCAAGTGGATGCTACCTCGGGCGACGACTGCGCAGCGATGGAGTTGGGCGTTGCGAGAAGGTCATGGGATGTCTTGGTGGAAGAGGAAGCGATGCTCGCGTTAGCTGCGGCGCGTTCACGCTCACGTCTCAGACGCCACTTGTGCTTCTTGAGCTTTAGTCGACGCCTTTCTTCGGCGTTGCCGACTTGATCGAGACTGGGATGCGCTTTAGGTGAGCCAGACGAATCTTGAGGCTCGACGACGGCGGTGAAGAAGGAGAGGCCAGGGCTGCTAGTGTTGCGTGACCATGTGGGCCCACCGGCACGTGCCAAGGGAGAAGGAGCTGCGAGACGCGGCTGCGATGCGCCAATCTTGGATTCATTCGGCTTGGCAGCCTCAGCTACTTCGGTCTTTCCACTGGAAGATGCACCTTGACCTGCTGCCGTGACTTTTGCCTCATTCGCTTTCGATGATGTCGTCGAGGCAGAAATTGTAGAGGCAGATGTAGTGGGCGAGAAAGGCTTTCGCTCAGCTTTGAGGAAGGCAGCCACGCCAGCCTTTGTCCGCTCGTAGTCTTCCCTAGTCAAACGAAGACCCATGGCTTGTGCCCTGGTGAAGAAGTCTTGGGCATCCTTGGAGAGTTCAGAGCCGGTTGGCGCAGCAGCATCGGATGGTGCTGCTGTGATTGTCAAAGAGTTGGTGGTGCCCAACTGCAGGGTTGAAGCGGCAACAGAGGGTTTTGAGATGCACGCTGATGTCAGTGCAGAGGACGAAGTCAATGGTGATGAAGCTTTGTTGGCTCCATGGGATGCTACGGCAAGCCTTGCTCGGATGCCAGGAGGGCCAGCTGTGCACGCGTTTGAAGATCCAGGTGCCAAAGTTGTGGCTAGCGATGAAGACGGTTCAGCGTCATCTTGACTGGAGGCGGCCGTGGCAGCATCCTCCATGCTGGCTGGAGTTCCGGATCGCGAGCCGGATGGTGTGGGACTGGCATGAATGGCCTGTACGAGTGAGTTGCCGGTGGCATTGCTGGTGAGCATGGAGAACTTGGCGCGTCGATTGCCTGGACCAGATCGCGAAAACGTGCTGGGAGCAATGCTGGTGGCTCGCGTTGCTGGGGTAGCAAAGGGTGTGCTGGTAGATGTAGGCGAGTAGTCGGATGAGGACGAGGCGGGTGGATAATTGGAGCTTGAAGAGCCAAACGAACGTGGGTTGGAAGGCGTCGTCATGTTGCAAAAAAAAAACCACGTTCGAGCGCGCGATGGGAGTCTAGTCTCCCCGTTCACGCTGATGAGATATGGTGGCCCGGAGATGCTGGGACGTGGAGGCGATTCCCGTGTCGACGAGGTGTGTGACCAGACGAGTTGCTTTGGTCGCGTGTGTTGATGACGATCCGGTTCAGCGCGCGAGTTCCGCCAGGCGCGCGTTTGTGACAACGGAGGTGATGGTGCAAGACGAAAATGGTGGTGATGGAGATAAGGCGAGAGCAGCAACGGTGAAAGAAGATGTGATATGGGTGGGTCACGAGATGGGAGTGTGAAGAAGTGAAGGAAGTGAAGAAAGAGGCAGAGAGAGAGAGAGGAGGGCAATTCTGCGTCAACTGGAAACGCGTAAGAAGTGTGAATGTGCAGTCACAACTCTGCTGGCTCGAGTTGAATTTTTTGAGCGCGACTCAAATTTGACCTCGACGTGATTGAGCGTGTGAGAGGGTGAACAGAAGCTCTTCTCATTCGATTCAGACATTCGGTTCAGATATTCGATTCAGATATCTTCTCAACGAACAGCAGTAGAGCTGAGCCACTGAAGGCATCTCTGCAGTAGATGCTTGAGTGAACGAGGAGAAGCTTTATTTCAAAACCATGATAGATTGATGAGAAGCGCCCAGATACCAACAGCAGGCACGAGACCACAGACCGAACCAATGAATCCAATGCTGAACTGCGTATAAGCAGCTAGATGCGACAAGAGAGTTGCCCGCCTGCCTTGGTCCGAGTGCGTCTTTTCCCTCGACTTCAGTGCTGAGCTCTCTTCTTCGGGGTCAGAGTGAACAAATCCATTGACCGCCTGCCAGGTGGCATCCTGTACCATCTTCGGTGGCTGTAGAAACGTCTGCTGGCTGCATCCAGAGTCGTTTTCTTCCCGGCTAAAGCTGAATGGGCTCGATGAGGGGCGGCACAGCTATGCTTCCTCCTGTCATGTCCGACGCCTTGACTTTGGGCATCCCTTCATAGGATGAGTCCGCCGCCCGCAGACATTCAAAGGCAGAGCCGCTCGGCGTTGAGCAGAAGGTTACACAAAACAGACAGGGCAAGTGCGTCCGAGGTCTGGACTGACAGCACCTAACGTTCTCCGAGCCTTCGACGTAGCCACGCATTTCAAATCCTTTTTCTGCCTCTCACTTGACTACAGTCGCACACATATCGCTGCCCCGTCTACAATCAAACTGCATAGCAAGTCCCCCCTCCTTCCATCTCCCGCTAACATCAGCACTTTGTACCGTGCCTTTCTTGCCCCTTTCCTGCGCAGGCAGCCTCTTGCCCCTTTCCGTGTCGGCGGCGAGTCCAGAAGCAAGCAGTTCACCTCGACCGCCGCTCTCTTTTTCTCGCTTCTCTCTGTATTTCCCATTTCCCGCGCTGTCACTTTATGCGTCGCGTGCATCTTCGCGTTCGGGTCGCGTCACATCACGTGCTCTCATGGATTTGTGCAAGCGATTCCCGATTAGCCAAAGAGCACCATTAGTATCAAGCACTTGACCGATACTTTGACAGTCTTCTGTATGAAGTACGTGCCTCGAATATCGTTTGACCACAAGTATCGATTGCGATGAGGAGCATAACTAAGTACATGATACATATATCCCAGTGTTCTGTGTATACATGTATGATACAGGAACGATCAGTCCGAAGCATAGCGTGGAGCCTACGGGGAAACAATGTCGGCTGCCGACGCCCTTTGAGACAAAGTCTACATCGGTGATGATCTGCAAATTGATGGCTCCATATAGAAGCAGATCGTTTGTAAAGCGTTGAGCGACTCGTTTCCATGCTGCGACTTCGGCTTTTGGCGTATCTGTAGGCACGATCAGCAGCACAGGTCCTTCAGACGACACAATGCGTAACAAGGGACCTATCGGACGAGGTTGTGTCCAAGTCGCAGAAAGTTCTCCGCTGCACAGAGCGTCACCACTGTCCATCGTAGCCTTGCTGGAAATGAATCTTGTTGGTCTTACCGATGTCTACCTCGTTGAAAATTGATTTCACTCTCGCTTTGGCCTCTTGCGTTGGCGGGAACAGTAGATCCAATGGCAATGCAGCCGGTCTTGGCCGTAGTTATCGAACACTTTTCCGATGCAGCGGAGGGCAACGCACAAGCGCTTTCGTGACATCGGAAGCGCCTCGTTGTCAAGCAACCCACATCTTCATATCACTTGCTTGCGCAAGTTGCGTTTTCCAATCTTGGCATGAGTACTGTATTTCACATCACTCCGAGCACCATCAGGCTGAGTGTGTGGTGGGTGAGGCCTGCCCTTGCGTGGATGCGAGCTATGACTGCAGCCGTCTACCTATGGACCCACAGCTTCTCAGCGCCTAAGAGCGAGAGTGCCGATTTCATCTCGGCTCCACTTGGTGCAGCCTGAGCTTGTCGAGGCTTTACGATCGAGCTATCTCTTCCTTTAATAAGCAGATGCTACGTCGAGCAGCTGAGTCATGCCGCCCTCATTCTAGTCACAAGCTCCTGCGGTCGGCTATTCAATCGACGACATTTTGGTCACTCGCCAATCACTTCGGCTACCGTCATTGGGATCCATATGGAAGGTGTCAGCTTCGCAGCATCGCTGCATGCAGCAACGCTCGACTCTCAGGGCGCCACGACGCTGCTGCTAAAACCAACAAAGAGAAAGTCGAGACCGTCTGCAAGCTCCTCTAACGGCTCCATCTCCGCAAAGGCCAAGGATTTCCTCAACAGGAGTAAGAGTTTCTTGTCCGCATCCTCCTCTTCGTCTTCGGTCGGCACGCGGAATTCTCTCTCTCTTCCATCGCCAAGAAGCAGCGAGCATGGACATCGCAGAAGGCCGGACTCCGTGTTGCTCGACGGCCAAAGCGTCTTCGCTTCCTCAGCATCTTCCAGGTTTGCGAGCGCTGAGTATAGACGTAGTTCCCAAACACCACCAAGCTTTCACAAGCTTTCAAGTCCGAATCAGCTCCAGTCACCACGTCCCCAGAAGATGACTTTGCAGCCCAACACTGACCCCAATCAAACATGGATTTCTACGCTTGTCGACAATGACTACATTTCGCAGGAGCACTTCAGTCCTCCCAGCTCTCCGTGCTCCCATTGCGGAAAGTCTGACTCAGACCTGGAGCCAAGTCGTGCATCAAGCATGCTCGACCGTGATCTTGTCTCGCTCTCGTCGTACGAAGGAAGCCCACAGCTACCGCAACCTGATCTTCCGCCCTTGTTAAGCGCATCGATAGCTCAACAGCTTGCTTGTTCGTTCGATGCAGACATCTCGTATACCCCATGGTCAGCAGACTATCAAAGTTTGCTCCGACCCAATTTTATACCCGGCTCAGTGTAAAAGCAGTATAACGGACGCCCTCGCACATCGGCAACATAGTTCAGCTCGTGCTTTGCGACCTGAGAGCTCACAGCACTTTGTCGCTATCGGCCCCATAAACACGACGTAAATTTCAGGAGATCGCGTAATTTAAGTTTGATGCTTGCAGAACGTTTGCGACTGTTGGTTCTGATGGCCCTCGCAAGGGACACGAGGATGCGTGACCCTGAGAGCTAAAATAAGTCCGAAGCACGCACCCGACTCTTCGTCTTCGCCTGATCAGGATTCGGCTTCAAAGGCCCGATGGATGCCGGAGGGGGATCCTCATCACCATCATCCAAGTCGAAGGTGAGTAGAGACTTGCCCTTTGACGCCTTTTCTTTCTTCCGCTTGGTTGCGGACTTGCTGGCTGCCTTGTCGATTTCGTTATGAACGCCTTTCCGCTTGGTTCGAGTTTGAAACAGAACACCTTGCCCAGAAGCTGGGTCTTGCAGCTTCGGCTTGGCCTTCTTCAGCCCCTTGTAGCCGGCTTCATCCGAGTCAGACTCCTCAGCATCCGACTCGAAGATTGCTTTGTACACGTCCAGGGATGGCTTAACATACGTGAGCGTGTCTTTACCTTGTCGCTCGTCGTCCCCCATCCCAACCACTCCTTCTTCCGCAGCCGGATCGACCTTGGAGGCTGGTGAAGCAGCAGATTGGACTTCGAGAGATAGTGGTGTGGGACCAGCAGCAAGAGCTATAAGCTGATCTTTGTTTCGTTCCCAGTGTTGGTCTACCCGAATTCCAGACTTGCTCTTCGTCGACTTGCTTGATCCATAGAACGGGTCTGGATCGTCCCAGTCTGGCCTTTCCGCTGTGTTGTTTGTCTGAGGATCATCTCGCTCGTCTGCTCTGCGCTTGCGAGAGATGGCAGGCTCAGGTATGCCGAACCGCTTGCAGATCAGTCTTTCAGGAGCCCAAGGCTCGGTTTTGCGTGTAAGATGACCGAAATTGCCCATTCCAGCTGCTTTTTGCGCTGTATTAAGCTCTTTCTCTGGCTCTTTGCCCTTTTCATCGTCCTTCGACCGAGCTGTAGATGCAGGAGCTGGGTGTCGTAGACCTGGAGTAGCACTGGTCGCTTTCGTCTCGTGCTCCATCACCGCAGCACTCGCTGTTGTGAATCTGCTCGCTATGACTGAGCTCATCGGGCGGAACATACTTGCGCTCTTCGCAAACTCTCGCAACTCGTTGCTGAACTGCTCCGCAGTGAGTTCTGGTGGAACGGGCAGCTTCTTTGCTTCCTCCGATCCTGGATTGAGCTGAAACCTGAGGTATGTGAGATAGCGACCTTGTTTGGCGAGATCGGCGCCGAACGGTGCGAAGCCTTGCAGGGCTTGTTTTGCTGTAGCGACATCTAGTCTTGGTACATCGACGTACTGTGTCTGTCGAGGTTGAGATGGTGATGCTGGGAGAGGCAGGTTGGAGCTGGCCGCAAGTCTTTCCTGAGCTTTGGCAGATAGGAAGGCTGCAATGGAAGGAGGCGGACCGGGAATCTTAGCTTCGCCGAGCAATTGGCCTCTTGTGGTAGGAGACATCGCAGCTGCTCTCATTCCGGATGCTGCGTGGTCAGGAGCATGGCGCTTCCACACCCTGATTGGGTCCGGTTGCCATCCATCAGGAACGGGATTAAGCGGGAAAGATGGTTCCGGAGGTACAGGCTCCGTTGCGAGACGGAAGCCTAGCGGTATAGGACGGCCGTCAGGCGATGCCTCGTCTTCTGTCGACGATGTTCCAGCTATCGCCGTCTCGACTGCTTTCCTTGCTGCTCCTCGACTGCTGGCAAGGGCCTGCTGCAAAGTCTGTATTTCCTCTGCTCCCAGCCCTTTTCTGCCTCCTCCTTTTGCCTCATACTTGAGCACTGGTGTTGGCGGCGGAGCAAACAAGTGCTTCATGTCCTCCAACGTGATATCCGAAGAGCTGGCAACCTGTCCACCGTTTGAAACCAAAGCCAACAGCCTGGCCTTCTTCTTTGCATCCACCCTCGGCCCGAGTCCTTGTCCTTCCTTCCAGCCCATCCGTCTTAAGAGCTTCCATCCTGTACCTTCTTTACGTTGAACGCCGGCATCCCCAAACAGCGCACTCGCCAACGGATCTGTCGCCTTGCCTCTCAAGCCCGCTATCGCATCATCTTGTCCGAATCCAGAGGTAGCAGAAACTTGCTGTGCAGCTTTCCAATCTTCCAAGTCCTCCTCATCCATAAAGTCTTCGACTCTCCTAGCTGCGTTTGTGTGTACTTGTTTGCCGGCCTTCTTATCCGACCGAGAAGACCGGAAGGTTGAAGGAGTCCATCCATCCTTCGAGCCTACGGTGTTGAAGTAGCCGGCGGAGAAGCCGCCAGTGAAGGCGCCGTGGAAGCGACGTCTCCCTTGAGCATCGCGAGCTTCTTGCTGCCATATTGGCTTGAGCTCGTTTGGGTCCTTTTTATGGCTATTGAGAGACGGGAGCGGTGTACCTATGACGCAAAAGTTGGATGTCAGGTCTGCTAAGTCATCGGAGTCAACATCGCGGAGACGGCGACGCAGGCGGTCTGTTGCCATGACTGAAGGTTCAGCAGCGCTAACGGTCGACCATGTTGTGCGTTTGCTATTCGAGTGCTGCTGAAGAAGTCTCGAATGTGATGGAGTTCGTTGGGCTGGAGACGCGAGGCTAAAAAGTCAGATTCTGCAGCTTTGGTCTTTGGCGCCCGAGTAACATAGGAAGTTTCAGCATTTCCTGCCTCTGGTCGTCTTGACGCCTCCGCTGCCCGACGGAGTTGCAAGTTAGCGTTTTGTTGATCAAAGAGGCATCGCCGTCCTTACCGCCAAGAGAGCAGATGAAGTGTGACGACGACATTACCCGCCGCTACCGAAAGCGCAAAATTTTCTTCACAAGAGACTACGCACAACTGGGCAAGCGAGACAAACTGCACTCTTGCTCAGCCGTTTCTAACAATTTGCCAGATCATGGATCATATCAAAGACGATAAGCATAATGCCGGCAGCTACAAGGACAAACTTCTATCTTCAACTGTGCCTATCAGTCCCATATCCCAACAGCACATGAAGGCTCAGGGACAACAATATTACACAAACATAGCGTTCCGATAGGTGGTTTTCAAAAGGGTGACAATTCACAGGTTCAGGTGACGGGTCTGGTCAAGGACCATCTACAGCAAGCGGGGATTTGCTTTCTATGTGCGTTTTAAGGGTTGCAGTTGGGAAGGTGTGATGCCAATCACTCGGAGAGGGCGATACCAGAGTCGGAGGCGTAGGTGCTGTCGGGAGAGACAACACGGTGAGGAACACCGTCAACGGTGCGGTAGAAGGCAACCTGGTCGCTCTCGTCAACGAACTTGCAGGTGTTGATGCTCTTCCAAAGCGAGACGAAGACGTTCTCGGTGCTCTTGACGTAGTGGTGGCCAAGACGAGCCTTAAGCGCCTCAGTAGCCTCCCAGGCGTTGTAGTGAGGGATCTTGCTCGAGACGTGGTGGAGGACGTGGGTCTCGGCAATACCGTGGAAGAGGTAAGGGCCGACGGGGCCGAGCCAATTGCGGTCAATGGTGCAAAGAGCGCCACGAGGGAAAGTCCAGGCTTCGGCCTTGTAGTGGGGTAGAGCGGGGTCGGTGTGCTGGAGGTAGGTGATCATGACAAGCCAGTGGTTGCACCAGAAGTAAGGGATGACATAGTAGCGGAAGACGTCAGAGAAGCCGCCCTTGGAAAGCATGCCCCAGGCAGTGAGAGCGCTAAGAGTAGCAGCGATACCAATGTCGGAGACAATGATCTGGGAGCGGTGGCGCTTGTCAAAAATGATGGCATCAGGGTTGAAGTGGTTGGTGTACTTGGGGTAGTGAAGTTGACCGGAAGCGTTCCTAAGGAGGTAAAGGGGCCAGCCGAGAAGCTGCTGGACGAAGATGTAGAACAAGTTGTAGAGGGGGGCATCCTCGAGAACTTCAGAAAGCCACTCACCCCAGGTCTCGTCAACGTTGGGGGCTCCAACCTCCTTCTCGACGACATCCTCATCATTGGAGTCATCGCCAGACTTGGGGGCGGGCTGAAGAGGGAGACGGCCACGCTGCTGACGGGTACGGGGAACAAAAACCTCATCACGGGTAAGGTGACCAGTGGCAGCGTGGTGGCGGGCGTGAGAGATCCTCCACGAGTGGTAGGGGACAAGGAGGGCAGAGTGAAGAACCCAACCAACGGCGTTGTTGATGGTCTTGCTGGTGCTGAAACTCTGGTGACCGCACTCGTGAGCAATAACCCAAACACCAGTGAAAACCATACCCTGGAGAATCCAGTAAGTGGACCAGGCAGCGAAGCGAGCGAGAGCCTGCTGAACGCCCAAAGAGATGTAAGGGGAGAGAGCGTTAGACTTGAGACCGGAGAAGGTGCTAGCGACGGTGGGGTCAATGTAGCTAGCGGCAAAGCCAAGAGCAGCGATCATGGCAAAGTCAGCGAACACATAGGTGAAGGACTTGAAAGCCGAGCGCTCAAAGCAGTGAGCAGGGATGGCAGAGAGCAAGTCCTTGACGGTGTACTGAGGAACATCGAAGGTGGGGATGTCCTTGGGGTCGTAGACAGCTGCCTTTCGGTGCGAATATCGCACGTTCTGCACCTTGCTGGCCTTGTCGGCGGCAGGAGTGGTGGCCTTTTTGCCAGCTCGCTGACCAGCAGCGGTGACGTTGGCAGCGACGGAGGACGACATTTTTTCTAGTCGTTCAGTCACGGAGAAGATGATGTTGAGGGGACAAGGTTGAGAAGGTCACGACCAAGGAGGGAAGGAGTATGTGGCGTGAGGAAAGGAGTAGGACAACTGGTGCTTCTTCCGACGATCCTTAATACTATCTCGGTGGGGAGCTGGCTTCGACCCACAGGGTGAGGTCGGGCATTGGCAAATTTTCGATAGCGAGAGCGGGGCAAGGGTGTGTGTGCATTGAGCGGGTGGAAGCCCTGAGTGCTTGCACGCAGGGGGGCGTGCGCGCACACACACACACACACACACACACACACACACACACACACACACGCTCAGGCTACAAACCTCAGGCCTTTTTCGAGTGGCCGAGAAGTTCAGAAAAGCAGCGGCAGCATCACAGGCATTTGCGTGGCAAAAAAAAAAAAAAAAAAAAAAAGTGAGTCCTTGGCAGGGACGCTCAAGGCTCGCGAAATCATTGGCTGCTCACCGCTCTGATGCTCAACAAAGCGAGCTGGAGACGCCGAAACAAAAAAATAAAAGAAAAACAAAAAGCAAAAACAAAAAAAACTCTGTGAACCGAGAGGCCATTCTCTATTAGGGGCGAAAGAGAAATTGAAGTGAATTTTCGGGCAGGTTTCCATATGTCAATCACAATAGGGGGTTTCAGTTATAGTGAAAGCATGTGAGGCCTAGTTCGATCTCACACTTTCGCCACCTTCGCTCAATCGGATATGCACCATGTTGACCCGGACCAACTGTCGTGACAGGCGTCGGCATATCGGCTACACGATCCCAGGAGGAGAAGATAGTTTCCCGTTGCCTTTCAGCCGTAGCATACCTCTGTATCATACACGCATGCGCAGAGTGCTGGGAGACACACATATAACTGTTCATCGTCTTGTACTTAGCTCTTACATGATATCGCAATCGATGCTTGTGATCAACGCTATTCGCCGCACGCTCTTCAACCATTATCTCTGAGTTTTCAAAACTCCGAGTTTTCACTGTTTTGTTTTTTATTTTGAAAACTCGCTGCTTAAGTAAGCTCTGCCTGGAAAGAAAAACAGGGAACAAGTGAAAACCTGTTCAAAAAGACAAGCTCGGGCTTTCAATCAGAAAGAAAAGAAGAAGAAAAGTTTTCGTATTGCCACGCAGCTCTAACGCTATCGAATTCGAACGGCGTTTCAGACGGCCAACTGTCACGCTAGCCAAAAAAAGGTTGGGGCATGGAACCGAACGAATAGGACTCGGCCTGCCGCCTTTCTCCAATCACACGCTGCTCATTGCCCACTTCCAATCATCTAGAGCTTCCTGTCACCGACAGATAGATGTACAGCCATTTCGATGCCTGATTTCCTGTTTCGCCCGAAAGGTGGTTCATCCACCCGCACCTTGACGAACAGTTACTGTGGACAACAAGCTCTCCAACCCGCCGGTAGCTTCTCGATCTAACTACTGTACTGGTGTAGAGCTGCCCAGCCATGGCGAAGAAGAAATCGCACATCAGAAGACGAGGAACTGCTTGCTGGAGGCCCTCGAGACAATCAGCGCCCTCGCTTGATTCGCGAACTGGCCACGCCTTTCATTTTCCCCGTGAGCCAAGCATGCTCTCGCCGGCGTGAAAGTGAGAGCAAATCTCGAGCAACAAAGCTGATTCTTCCTTGCAACCTCGCCGCCGCTTGATCGCTTGGCCAACACAGCTGACATGATGATGCGTCTCTTCTGATACATTGGCGCTGCAAGGCTCGGCTCGAGAAGATGTTGCAAAGCTCTAACAGCCACAGCCTTGCACTTTTCAACTGAATCGAGATCTTGGAAGCGGATGACAGCCCCATCGGGGGATCGGGCTGCTTTGAAGCCTGTGTGCTGTCCTAACTACCTCACAACAAGCTGTTGGCTGAACACCACACATGACTTCCTTCCTCAGACCTTCTCATTAACACACGCTGTCCTGTTAGACATCGTAGACTATATAGCTCCTTCTCAACTACGGATGCTGATAACGCAATTCCAGCCATGCAGCGCCACATTGTCCGATCAGTGCACGCAGATCTAATCGGGAGATGATGACTGATTGATGCAGATGACAGGTGAAATCGTGCACGATGCCGCCATGTGTGAACTTTGGCTTATTTTTGTACTTCTCTGGCAAGCTGAACAGTGAGCGCATTTTGCCGCTGTGCCGTTCGATGAGCATTGACTAGAAATTGGAGATAACAATTAGTATACAGCATTATCAGGGTCATGATCAGACTCCCTTTACCACAGTCATATGCTTCTTGTAATGCCTATATTTTCATAGTGCAAACCTAAATGACAAGTGCATATATATATCCTATTGCCACTCTGGTCATATCTGAGACTGAATGTGTCACTCCTTTCATACCCCTATGTTGCTATGTTACGAGGTGCCCCTGAGCCATTGCTATGACAACCCTTCATTGTGTTTCTCACTTATGCAGGTGTTTGGTGTTTTGGTGCCTTGCTTGTAACCCACACATCCTTTTAAGATACCAATGTATCTTCAACTCCCCCTCTCGACAGGATCTCCAATCCTATCATCCTAGCTAACTGTGAGATATTGAGGCCTCATAAAGGTTTCATTAAGATATCTGTGACGTTGTCTGCCATTCCAATGAATTTGATCTCCACATCACCTTCTTGCACATGGTTGCAAATGAAATGGTACTGAGTGTCGATGTGCTTCAACTTCCAATGCTTGGCTGGGTCTTTACTTACCTGAATGCACCCCTGACTGTCCATGTATAACACCAGCTGGACATCTGTGATTTCCAAATCCTGGAGCAGATATGAGAAGAATAGTGCTTCTCATACTGCTTTGGAAGTGGCAACAAACTCCACTTCTACTGCTGATAATGCTATGCATTTCTGGATGTGAGACTTCCAACTAACTGGGCATCCATATACATAGGTTATGGATCTGGATGTGCTCCTCCATCCATTTGTTGGGTCTGATGCCCAGTTCGTGTCAGTATATGTTGTTATGGGTTTGTCCACATGTTCACTTGATCCTCCTCCTAAATGCAGCTGGTACCCACTCATCTGATTTAAGTACTTTACCATATGAGTGGTGGCCTTCCATGCACTGTCAATCAGGCTCGACATGTATCACACCAATGTACCTACAGCAAAGGCAATGTCTGGTTGAGTGGTGTTTGAAACCCATAGTAATTGGCTGACTAACTCTTGATACTTCTTCACCTGTTTGGGGTTGCATTTCTTTCCTCCAGCAATGTTCACCACACTTGGCATGGGTACCCATGATTTGTCATTTGCTCCTTATAACCACTTGTTCACCATTGCTTTGACATATGCTGTTAAATCTAAAGATATCCTCCTCTGTCTTCCATCACATGTGATCTTTATTCCTAGGAACTCCTTGATTTCACCATTGTCCTGTGTTTCCCACTTGCTCATGATTTCCTGCTTAGTGCAATCCACCTCGTTGTGACTGGGCAATGCTATCAGCATATCATCTACATACACTGTGATGATTGTAATCCTATCACCCATTCCTCTTGAGTACAGACATGGCACACTTGGCATGCAGTGAAAACCAATTGTTTGGAGATGTGAATCTAGCTCGATGTTCCACTCATGGCCCAATTGCTTTAAACCATACAGCCCCTTCACTACTTTCAGTGCCTTTCCAGGTGGTACTTTGATTCCAATCAGTGGTTTTAAGTATACATCATGATGTATCATCAAGTTTAGGTATGCTTGTTTCACATCAATTGAGCCCATCTCCCAGTTTTGAATCACTGCAATAGCAAGCACCCCTCAAATGGATTGGATGGGTGCTACTGGTGCAAAGACCTCCATATAGTCAATACCTTCATGTTGCATGAAGCCCCGTGCTATGAGTCTGGCCTTGAACTTTGTTGGTACAAAATTTGCATTGGTCTTGATCTTGAGTACCCAACATGTGTCAATGGTGTTTGCTCCTTTTGGTAGATCAGCAATCTCCCACATGCCCATAGCCTCCAAACCATCCAGTTCCTTTTGCATGGCCTCTTCCCAATGTTTCCTATCCTCTCCACCTAATGCTTCACTGACTGTCAGGTCCAGATTTTTACTCTGTTCCAGATGTGTTGCCATGAGTCTGAAAAGTTCATTGTTCTGTCTGACCAACACTTCGATTCCATGAACTTCACCAAGTTACTCCAAAAGATCGTTGGGCTGTATTCTGGGCTGTAAAATAACCAACCCTTTTGCTCCAAGCTATACCCTAAGAAAATGGATGTGATGGCTCACTGATCCAGCTTCTTGTTGTCTCACTTGACCTTGGGTATGTTCACCCATGCCAAGCATCCAAACACTCATAGGAGGCTTATGAGTCACTCTGGTGACTTCCCAAACATTGCTTCATAAGGAAACTCATTGTTGATGCTTGGAGTGAGGTTTATTTTGAATGCTGCTGCTCAGATCACATATGGCCAAAATCTCTTTGGCAGTCTCCTTTGAGTTAGGAGCATCCACATCCTTTTGCCTAGACTCCTGTTCATTTGCTCCACTCACCTGTTTTGTTTGCTATTGTACCCCATGGTGGTTTGCCACTCAATACCTTTCTCTAGTGACCATTCTAATGCATCATTGCTCTTCCATTTGGTCCCTTGATTGGATCAGATTGCTTTTAACTTCCAGTCTGTCTGTGTCTCCAGGAAGGAAACAATCCTTTTGAGTTGCACAAATGCATGGCTCTTCTGTAACAATGGCTGTGCATGCACATACTTGCTATGATCATTGACCAGCACCAGCATGCATGTATACTCTGTCATGTGGGACAAGTCTATTATCAGGTCGATGTGTATAAGGTCTAGGGGCCCTGTGGCTCTTTTGCCACTACCCTGCCCCATCTGAGCAACTGTACTTTTGGATTGTATGCACTGCTCACATTTCAGAGCAGTATCTGGGTCCAAATCCACAATGTGTTTATCCTTCAGTTTGCTTATGATTGCCTTTGACTTGTCTCAGCCTGGGTGTCCTAGTTGTTCATGCCATAATCATTGTTTTGAAATTTTCAGTTCATTCTCAATATGCTCAAACTCCTCATTGACACCTTCAAACAATGGTGTTGATGTGGTCATCATGCTCTCTTGCCATGTATCACCTCAGAACTCTAGAAGTCCTTGCTTGTGATTCTTTGCAACCTTGAGTGTCATGCTGTTTGTCAAATAGATTTGTCCACCAGTATTATCCAATATCACTCATGCTCCATCATCCATCAATGAATTTGTTGACAAGAGGTTGACATTGAGATGCTTGACATACATTACATTTTGTAAGGGAATATCCCCATAATCTGTTAATATGCTAGTATCTCCTATGGCTGTCACCTCCAGAACCTTGTTCCCAGCAGTGATCACATGCTTTCGGCAGGTTCTTGGGTGGATGAGCATATCATAAGAGTTTACCATATGATAGCTCACACCTGAGTCCAGTATCCAATGTGCTGCTTCTTTTGCATTTGGAGGTTCTTGCCACTTCAACATATGAATGGTGGAGCACCATGCCTCCTATTTAGGTTTGGCGAGTGGGGAATCTTTGGGGATGGTGACCAAGGCATCACACTGACTGATACCATGTCCTGGTTGTTTACAGATCCAGCATTGGAGTCATCATGGTCTGCTTGTGCTCTTCAGGTTCACGTCACTGTTGCCAGTCTCAGATTCCTTGGCCTGGTTGTCTTGATCATCATTACCAACAGTCCAGGCACTGGCCTGTCACAGGTCAATCTTTTGTGCAGGGATGCTTTTGATGGCTGTCTGGCAAATGCTCAATGCAGTTGCGAGGGTGTTGAAGTTGATCTGGTGAACAGTGGCAACCATCTCTTTGTACACTGGATGCCAGAATGTGCATTTCTGCAATGCTGAGAACAATGTATCATTGGTGAATGCTTCCCAAGAAGACTGCTTTCAGTTTGGATGGTCCAGATCTCTTAAATTAGCTTCCTTGCATTGGAGTGGAACATCTTTATGTCACTGAGCTGTGAGATAAGTGCAAGTCTATGAGATATCTTGGTGGCTTCATTTGTTAGACTGTTTTCAATCTTTCTCCACACTTGATAGAAAGTGAGATACTCTTTGATTACATCTAGAACAAGGTAATTGACATTGTGTTCTCTGGTAGTGTCAATTGTCCCATGGAGAGTGTTGGTCAAAGCATCATCAAGAGAGTGGCTCCATTTTGGATGCTTCTTGTCATACATTCCCTTGAGGTGTTTCATTGCATGGGGCACAGATTGGAGGAAAGACTTCATGTGGGTGCTCCAGCTGTAGTAGCTTTGTGACGTAAGCTTCAGCACAGGTTCGAGGAGCTTTGCTAGGGTGCAAAAGTTATATCGCTTGTCACCATCATCGAAATTGGAGTCAGAATTGGCATCTTCATCAGCTTCATTGTCAATGACCTCTGGCTCATTCTCATTCATGGCATCATTGTTGGCCTGTACCTGGGTGGCCTTGCCTTTTCTGCTTCCTTTGGTCTTTGTGCTGGCACTGACCTGGGTTTTGGTGTCTTCTACCATGGTTGTTGATGAGTTTTGGTTAGCTTGGTGATAGCTTCCTCAGACTCTTAATCAATTGGAGATAACAATTAGTATATGGCATTATCAGGGTCATGATCAGACTCCCTTTACCACAGTTGTATGCTTCTTGTAATGCCTATATTTTCATAGTGCAAACCTAAATGACAAGTGCATATATATATCCTATTGCCACTCTGGTCATATCTGAGACTGAACATGTCACTCCTTTCATACCCCTATGTTGCTATGTTATGAGGTGCCCCTGTGCTGTTGCTATGACAACCCTTCATTGTGTTTCTTGCTTATGCAGGTGTTTGGTGTTTTGGTGCCTTGCTTGTAACCCACGCATCCTTTTAAGATACTGACGTATCTTCAACTCTAGAAATCGGCACACGAAATTGGAATTACAGTTTTACTCGAATCGAGGAGAGCCATTTCGAACCGCTTTGAGAGAGAGAGAGAGAGGAGGAAAGGCGAAAATCTTTCCTTCTTCGCTTGGATCGTGGAGGTCGCGCGAGTTGAGTTTGTGTGCTGTGTTCGGTGACATCGGTGTGATCTCTCCATCGAGTCCTCATGTACACCTTCTCATCACCACAAGCATTCACGAAACATCTCTATTTACTCTACACCAGTCATCAGTTGAAGCTGTGAGCCGTCCTTGCTCGGTACATCAGCCTTTGACGCAGCGCTCGGCCTAAAAGGAGCAGTGATACGCACCTGCTCCACCCGCCCAACATTCCACGCCAAGTTGTCGACCTTCGTCTAAAGGCCGCGGCCAAAAACTTCCTCACTGGAAGCTCTCGGTAGGTGTCATACGGAACGCTATCATCAGGAATGTCGAGGAAGCACGCTGGGAGATTTGGCATTCAAGTTTGAGTAGTATTACAGTGGACGCAATGGTTGCAAGATATTCAGTAACCATGCTTGCGACGGGATTTCGTTCAAGGAGGCCTTTGATCCTTCTCGGATCACCTTGTCGACAAAGCCATGAGTGCACAAGCAACTGACCTCGTAACGCCTTGCTTGCACCGCTCCTTCATGTAATCGTTCACAGACCACCCTAACATCGCTCCAACGCGCCGCATCGAAGACATCTTAAAATCACATTAGAAGAGGCCGCCTGGCTGTCCTAGCTGGCGACCCAACTTGAACGACCAACCTCGCTCACATTCGACCTCGAAGGTAAGTTGAAAACGCTTGGAGGAAATTCCCAGTTCTGCTGCCCCAACGATGGTACCACCTACGATCAACGACGACAAAGAAAAGGCCACCCCACCGGAGTTTCTCGACACGGACCCTTTCTCAAAGATCTTGGACAAAGCGCGCATATCGCCACGGCAGAGCGGTCAACAGCCGATCCTGTCATCAGCAGGTGCAAGAGCAAGCAGGGTTCCCTGAAGTGCAGATCGACGTCTCGATGGAATGCTGTCCCGATCCTACACCGATTCTCTTTCGCATCTTTTATGGCCAGCAAATGGGTTGCACCCCTACCTTCAATCACTATTCGCCGTTGTAGCGAGCTTGCTGTATAGCGCAAGGGGCCGAAGTAGATCCAGGGCAAATTTACCATCGAAGACGTTCGAGCGATTCAAGCTTGAAACGGCTGCGTTGATCGTGCTCTTCATTGATGTAGTGGAGTTCATCCTAGCTTCACCAGCCACCGGCACTTAGCAGCAGCAGCCTCAGCAGCACGCGACGAGATGTCATCTCGACCTTCGCCACTTGGAGAAACCAAGCTAAGCTAGCGAGGGACAAGGGTTGCGAAGTCTCTAAGAGCGTCACTATTTTCGATTTTCGAGATTTGCTGTGCTGCGCCTCCTCTCTGTATCGCCTTGTGGCCGGTGCCCTGAACCCGCGAACCCTCCGACCAGTAACCCTGCACCCAAGTCAAGTTGTGCCAAATACGATCCAAGTCATTCTGTTGCTCAGGCACAGGAAAGGGCACAACGTCGTAGCTTGACTTTGTCTCTAGCTCGTCATGACATTGTCCATCAGTGCGGTCCTGAAGAGTCCCCTGCGCCCACATTTCTGCGCTAGCATTCATAGCGTTGCCGTGTTGGGCTCGCACCAGCGTCTTCGTTGCTGTAGTGTCGCATGAATCAGAGCTCGTTAGCCAGCCTCTTGTACCTGCGCTTCGAATGGGCATCGGCGGTTTTCCGCAGATGAACATCCTGTATAGCGGTTGGGTTAGATCCTCAGTCTTGTTGCCGATCCTGAGACAGTGTCTCCATGTCATTTGATCAACGCTGCGACCTCGTTAAGCGCTTGCTTCCATTTGTAGGAGATCCAGGCAACTCACTGACCTTGCTGTTTGTCATTTTTCCTTTCTTCTGTATCCTCCTCTGTCTTGACCCTCATACCCTCGACCCTCCTCTTCGTGCCTCGCGTCTCGATGATGTGATTCCTTTCCCTCGCCTCTCCGCCTTCTGCTACCTATCCTTTGCAAAACACCGCCCAAACATTCTCATCGGCAACAACGGCTCGCCCCATGCCCCGGTGCGGTTTTTCCTTGCAGCGCTCGCCACACGTCACACCGACAGCGCTTCAGCAGCGTCGATCCCATCCCTAACAGCGCCAAGCTTTTGGTACGTAGACTCTCCCCACCTGTTGGTTGACGGCCAAAAGAGATGGCCTCGAGATCAATCTGAAGCTGACCCTTTCCCCTCAATCTATCAATCCTCCTCATCCCTCTCAATCGCTTGCACCAACCTCACCACTCTCGCCTCGCACTCACATCACACCCTCACAACCATCAACATGGCCTGTTGTACTATGGCTCCTCCGGACCTCAACCTCCCCGGTCCTTCGCTTTATGCCCAGCAGTCGATTGCACTCGGCAGCTCCTGTAACAACTTCGCGTCGATGGCTGCTCCTTACGTTGCCCTGCCCCACCAGCAGCGCTTGCGAGCCGACACCCCTCCTCTCGACGATGAGCACAACTCCATCAAGCCATTCGATGGCCACAAGCCCATCTACCGCGGCGGCTTTGACTCCCAGCTGAGGCGCGTCCTTGACGACATTGACATCCACGGCTGCGAAGCCAACGGAGAAAATGCATTCTTTGTCGCTGACCTTTCCGAGGTGTACCGCCAGCATCTTCGCTGGATGCGAGCTCTTCCTCGCATCGTGCCCTTCTACGCGGTCAAGTGTAACCCCGACCCATACGTTCTGCAGCTTCTTGCATCGCTCGGGACCGGATTCGACTGCGCCTCTAACGGCGAGATTGAGGCCGTCCTTAAGCTTGGCATTAACCCCGCCAGGATCATCTACGCCAACCCATGCAAGGCTGCCAGCTTTGTTCGACATGCTGCCGCCAATAATGTTGGTCTCACCACTTTTGACAATATTGATGAGCTCGAAAAAATGAAGCGCTACCACCCTTCCTGCAAGCTTGTGGTGCGCATCCTCACTGACGACTCCAAGAGTGCCTGCCAGCTTGGTCTCAAGTTTGGCGCTCCTCTGGATTCTGTCCCTCGTCTGCTCCAGCGTGCTCGCGAGCTTGGCCTCGATGTCGTCGGTGTCAGCTTCCACGTCGGATCTGGCTGCTACGACCCCGACTCTTTCCGTGACGCCGTCCACCGTGCTCGCCGTGCATTCGAGATGGGCAAAGAAGTTGGCTACACTTTCGACCTCCTGGATGTTGGCGGTGGTTTCGGTCACGACAACTTTGAGATGGTCGCCGGCGTCCTCGGCCCCGCTATTGACAGATACTTCCCAGACGAGGACTTTGCTCCTGGTGGAAAGGAGGTTGTTGGCAAAGTCAATGGTCTCAGGATCATCGCCGAGCCTGGCCGTTTCTACGTTCACTCCGCATTCGCGCTCGCCACGAACATCATCGCTGCTCGTCGAGGCGAGCCTAGCGCCGCCGACACAGAGGTCAATGCCACCAAGCCTCAGGTCATGTACTACCAGAACGATGGTCTCTACGGCTCGTTCAACTGCGTCATCTTCGACCATGTCACTGTTCACCCCAAGGTGCTCACCCTTGGCTACGAGTACGCTTACGAGCCCACCATCGCTTCTCCCGGCGTCCCTGCCGTCGCCGCTGACGACACTGCCGAGGAGCAGGAAGCAAAGACGCTTCAGACTTGTAGCGTCTGGGGCCCCACTTGCGACTCCATTGACTGCGTCCGTGACCTTGTTCAGCTTCCTAAGGGTCTCAAAGTCGGTGACTGGCTCGTCTACGAAAACATGGGCGCTTACACCATCTGCGCTGCTTCCACCTTCAACGGCATCCGTCGCTCCGAGATTCGTTACACCCTCGGTGAAGGCGAAGATGCCGAAGTCGTTCGTCAGCTCATGCTGCAGTAAAAAGTTTTGTGACTGAGTGTCTATCCTTCTCTAGAGCACCCATTCTTTCTTCGCAACTGTTAATCTCCATGGTTTTGTTCAATCATCTGCAACCCCTGATGTCCTACTATTTGCTCGTCTGAAGTGTTGTAGCTGCCATCTCGGGCTTTGAGATTTCCCGATCGGAATTTTTTATCGGGACCGATGCTTTGCCACCGGCTGAGAACCAGGCTGAATATTTGAACGTGAAATGTACAAGCTTCGGTAAGGGCAACAGCGAGATCCGGCGCGCGAGAGGTCTAGTCTTACAGCTCGAGGCTAGCGGTTCTAGGCGTGCAACAGACCGGGCCCTGGACCGCCGTCTAGGGCTGGCTGCCCATAACCTCAAGCTCGCTAGCCCCGCAAAAAGCTTCCACAGGTCCGCAAGCTTGAAGGTCATCACCACAGGTCGCTTCTAGTATCAATCGCACAAAGTTCTTCACCTTCCCGACCTACCATTACCTCCCGCTCTCACTTAACACAGTACCGTGTCATCAAAATGTCTCTTTTCGCCAAAAGGGCCGTTGCCGGCAGCAGCCGTGCCATCACTTCCACCAACAAGGGTGCTCTCTTTGCTACCAGAGCAGCTCGTGCTTACTCTACCCCCGCTGAGAGTGCCGGTGTTTCTTTCGGTCTCAGCGAGGATCAGGAGGCCTATCGTGACCTTGCCCGCAAATTTGCTCGCGAAGAAATTATCCCCAACGCTCGCCACCACGATCAAACCATGGAATACCCCACCGAGATCATCAAGAAGGCCTGGAATGTTGGTCTTATGAACACGCACATCCCCGAAGAGTATGGTGGACCCGGTCTCGGCCTGATGGAGTGCGCACTCATCTCCGAAGAACTTGCATTTGGTTGTTCCGGTATTCAGACGGCTCTCGAAGCCAATGGACTCGCTGAAGCCCCCCTCATCGTTGCAGCCTCGCACGAGATTAAGCAGAAATATCTCGGTCGAATGACCGAAGAGCCTCTTATGGCAGCCTACTGTGTCACTGAACCTGGTGCGGGTTCGGACGTCGCCAACATCGCCACCAAGGCTGAGAAGCAGGGCGACAAGTGGGTCATCAACGGCAGCAAGATGTGGATCACCAACGGTGGCAAGGCTAACTGGTACTTCGTCCTCGCCAAGACCGACCCTAGCGCCAAGGCCGCTAAATCTATGACTGGTTTCGTCGTCGACGCCAACACTTCCGGCATTCACATCGGCAAGAAAGAAATCAACATGGGTCAGCGCTGCTCCGATACACGTCAGATCACTTTCGAAAACGTCGTCGTTCCCGAGGAGAACGTTCTGGCCAAGCCCGGTGACGGATTCCGTATCGCTATGGCCGCTTTTGACATCACCAGACCGTTGGTTGCTGCAGGCGCTGTCGGTCTCGCACAGCGAGCCCTGCACGAAGCCGCGATGTACGCTCAAGATCGCAAGACCATGGGCAAAGCCATTATCGACCACCAAGCAATTGCCTTCCTCCTCGCTGACATGCAGATGAACGTCGAGGCCGCTCGTAACCTTGTCTGGAAGTCTTCCTGGGCCAAGGACGTCGGTCAGCGCAACTCCTTCTGGGCCTCGATGGCCAAATGTCGTGCCGGTGAGGCCGCCAACTTCAACGCCGATGCTGCTGTCCAGATCTTTGGTGGTCTTGGTTTCAACACCGAGTCTCCCGTCGAGAAGCTCTACCGTGACGCTCGTATCTTCCGTCTCTACGAGGGTACTGATCAAATCCAGCGTCTCATTATCTCGAGACACGTCAAGGAACTCTTCGCCCAGTAAGCGAACCCGGCTATCAGTGTATCGGCCTTTTCATAGAATAGTAATCAATTTCAAGTCTACCCCGACGAAGTGTGTGAGCAAGAGCAATTCTCAGAAATCTGTTTGCAGTCATTAAGTTTTTATATGGATCACTGAGTGACGGTCTCATATTAGAATGAAGGTAGCACATTTCAAGTTCGCGGAGCGCCCACAGTCTGAGGCGGGCTAGAAGCGATCGGAAGCCTAGCAGCTCGAGCGGCGGCATTGCTACGAGACTGGCTACGATCATGCTCGGCAGGGCGAGCAAAGCCGCGCCAATCGCCAACCTTCTCGAGCTTGGCTTTGCCATAGAGGTTGTCCCAGTTCCAGTGGTCATCATCCTCGTCCATGCCATCGGGACGGGCACGCTTATCGCTCGGCCTAGCCGGAGCCACAGGTGGCGAACGAGCGTCAATGCCCCAAGCAGTGGCCTTCTTGGCAGGTGGAGCGGCAGTAAGAGGTCTGTTCTCGGCCACGGGAGCGCCCAAGATAGGTGGAGAGTTGCGCTTGAGAGGAACCGCAGCCATCACAGGAAGCGAAGCCATTCTCTGTTCGAAGCTGTTGCGCCGAGAGCTTGGCTGAGCGTCGGCGGGAGCGAGCATGGTCCGAGCAGCAGGCTGCTTATGCGAAGGAGGCGGAGATTCGAGCTCATCCTTCTCGCTCGAGGAGCTACTGTTGCTGTAAGCCTGCGATCGTCGCGAAGCACTTTCGGCGACCTCGTCCTTGAGGTGCGCATTGCCGGATCCAGGACTGCCTCGAGCAGAGCCGGCCTGTGGTGACTCGCGAGAAGGTCCACAACCGTTATGCAGCACACCGACGGGGAGGTTGGTAACTTCAGCGTGGTGGTTGCTTTGACGGGCACTTGCGAGGATGGCCTCAGCCCGGTGAAGTACCTCATCGATGCGTCTGCGCTCAAGCAGCAGCTCATCTCTCAACCTCTCCACATCGCTAAGCTTGGCAGGAACTTTGGAAAATGGCGTCGCGTGGCTGTGAGAACTGGTGCTCACTGCGAGAGGGTGGTGATGGTGGTGGTGATGGCCGTGATGAGCAGCATGAGCGGCATGACCAGCGTGGTGGTGGTGGTGGTGATGGTGATGATGAGGCACGGTCGAGGTTTGTCGACCGGATTCGGGCCCGTTAGCACGTGCTCCCTGCTCGCCTGCCACACTAGCGCCGTGAGACGACTCTGGATGCGTCTTGTCTGCAGACAAAGTGTCCAAGGGCAAGCGGTGCGATTGAGGGGCACCAATACCATGATGTTCACCGTAGGCCGCGGAGGAAGCCATCGAAGCATCCTGCTCGTCGTAGGTCTCCCTTGGCGCGGGAGGGAACGACTTGCGAGGCCTCTTTGCAGCTCGACCACCATCTATATCAGCACTGACTCTTGCAGAATGCAAATCGTGTTGCATGGAAGCTGAACTGGCCAAGCTGCCATTCGAAGCATGGCGATCGTCATCATGCAGCGAAGGCCTCGATCTGGGTCCAGCGCCGACCTCCATCAGAAGCATGGCGGCTTCGCGATCACGCGCCTCGCGCATGGCCTGTTCGGATGTCGGAGGAACCTTCTTGGGGCCTCGTTTGCCATCCGTCGAAGCTGTGGACGATTCACCGGCACGTCTAGCAGCAGGTGCGATGACCGGCTGCCCATTGGCGTTGATCTGAACAGGAACCACGTCGGGATGGTTGGCGGCCTGGGCAGCAGCGTTAGCCGGAATGCGCTTTCTGCGCTTGATGACAGTCTTCTTCATGCCAATGGGGCGGTGGGTGCCATGGAGCTTGTGATAAAGACCGCAGGCGTTGCAGATGTTGTTGCCGTCCTCATCTCGCCTCCAGAGCGGAGTGGTGGTCGTCTGGCAGTTGGTGCAACGGAGGGCGCCGACGGAAGCAGACTTGTCATCCTCTTTCTTGTCGTCGGCCACGGGGACGGTGCGCTCTGCGCTGCTGCGAGTGGATGAGAGCTCCTCTCCGGCGCTTGGCTCGCGCTTACTGACCTTGAGCGCGTGCGAAAGATTGTTGTTGTACGCTGGGCATCCACTGCAGCTGGCAGTTCCACCAGTACCGTTGCAAAGACCATCACCAGGACAAGAGCCAGACTTGGGATCATCATCTCGCGAACAGCCTCCAGGTGTAGCAGACAGCTTGGCCTCGTGAATAGGCGGGCTGGCATCGGCGCCACCAGGACGGCTGGAAGGGGTCCGATGAGTGCTGTGAGGCTTCATGTAGAGACCGCAGGCGTTGCAAATGGTGCTGCCGTCAGGGGCTCTTCTCCAGAGTGGCGTTGAGGTGACACCGCAGTTGGAACATCTCATACCGGCGTGGTATGCAGGAGGAGAGCCGGCACTGTCGTGATCGTAAGAGTCTCTCGAGACGTGATGTGGGCTCGTTGTACGTGTGGATTGAGACGGCAGATGCGATCGGGGATCCTCGCCATGAGCGCCGGGACGTCCACCGTTGGTGTGGTAAGACGCCTCATGGGATCGCGAGGAAGCTGGATGCGAACCGCGGTAGTGAGCGCTGCGCGGGTCGTGCTCGTATCTGGATCTAGAGGCGGACGCGATGCTTCGAGGATGTTCGTCGGCATATCGCTGCGCCTGCGACTTGGCACGATCTTCGCCCGGGTATTCGTGACGGTAGAAAGGGTGATCGTGAGGCATGGTGGCTGGAGTGCCGTTGGAGGGAGCTGGGCTTGAGTCGCGGAATGTGTTGCCCATGTGCAAACGTGCGTTGGAACGAGGCGATGAATTGGGTGTGCGACGATATGCGAGAGAGTCGGGATGCTCTGATATCACCTCTTTAGAAAGCGAAGAGATGGGCGGAAGGTGCACGCTGGATGCCTCGCTGGGATGGCGGAACAAAGATGGATGAAGAAGAGGACTGTTAGGTTGCGATCGAGAAGGGCCTAGATGCGACCTCTCAGAACTCTGAGAACGATTTCGGAAGGCGGCGATAGGAGACTGGGATCGACCAGCTGGGTGAAAAGAGCGCGGATCACGGAAAAGGCTGCGAGCTGTGCTCCTGGTAGGATGCGGAGCTGCGTTTGAGCTGTCGTGATGGGAGGACGAGGAAGCGCGATCTGCGGCGTAGCTGGATGGCGATGGTGGTCTCGAGGTTCGCGGAAGGATGTGAGGAAGACCTTCGCCTTCGTGAGCTGAGCCAGTGCGATGGTGCTGAGAGTGTCGATCTGGCGAGCGGTCTGCTGGTGCAACTGGACGAGCAGCGATGCGTTGTGAATGTGATGATGACGAAGACGAGGCGTGATGATGAGAAGAAGAGGCGGGAGAGGTAGGTCGAGAAGCAATCTTGACCGGAGGCAACGCCATTTTGGATGTAAATCCGTCGGATTGTAGCGTACAGCTGAGATAAGGCGATGCCGAAGAAGTACAGGATCTACGAGGCTGAGCTACGCGATTTGAACGGAGGGGCGTAGCAGCGATCTGGCCTCTTTACACCCCTGTACAAGCGTGCCGTGTTGCTGACAGCCGAGTCGAAGCGAGGCTGTGTGGAAGGATCGGTACCAGGGTAGAACCGATGGCAACAGAAGGCGTGCTGAAGCGAGCGGACGTCGAAGAGACTGGGGCTGAGGTTCGACGCTGTTGCTGCCTCTTCTGCGATTGACGTTGCTGGGAAAACTCGACTGGCTGCGGCTTCGAACCAAACAATGGAATGCAAGCGTGCTGTGCTGATGACTGCACGTCTCCTGAAGAATGGGCACGGGGGAAGGGGTGCCGTGGAGAGACGATATAAGCAGAGAAGGCCCAAGAGATAAGGGATGGAAGACGTGCAGGGGGGAGATAGAGATAAAGATGGTGGATAAGAGATAGGGATAGGAACGGGGGGGGGCATAGATAGAAGGAACGTCGGATCGCTTTCGCAAAGGAGCTGGGCTTTGCTGGTCAGCTGAGCAACGAAGCGGTATGTGTGTGTGGGGGGGGGGGAGATCCAGGCTTGGAAAGAAGGAAGAAGAGAGAGCGGCAGGCAGAGAGAGAAAGATTGATATAATGACCGTTTCGATACCTTCGTTCGCTTGGGTTGCTGCTCAGTTCCAGCTCGAGACCGCGCAGACCGACTAGCGCGGTGAGGCTTGTCTAGTTAGACAGCAGCTTGGCGCTAGAAAAAGAACGATAAGTGGACAATCGCGCGTACTTTTTCCTTTTTCCCGTAATCTCTCTCGGTTTCGCACTGCCGTCTTCGGCCGCACAATCACATATCTACGCCTGGTTTTGATCAATTCCTGATTAATGATAAGTATGCGTGTGTGTGTGTGTGTTTGTGTTTTAGCGTTGATTAGAAAAAGCAAGCGTGTGGCTCATCTCTCTCTCTCATACTGCGGCAAAAAGATCGGCTTGCTCCGACTGAGCCTTGTGCTGCCCCTTCCACTCTTCTAACGGTTTCGTCCCCAGCGCGGTTCATGCCAGCTTGGTAGCTCGCATCACTCAGCCAAAATGCATTCGTGCCAAATTGCTGTAATTGTTTCAGCCTCTAGAGTGTATCAGTTGTCCCGCGCGCCGCCAACATCATTATTAGGAGAACAGGCTTCTAAGGGACCTTTCGTGAGGTAGACACTTTTTCGAGCAAGCTTGAGTGCAAACAGAGTCTCTGTCAAGATTCGTCTTTCGAATCCAAAACAATAGCCGCAGACTCACATCCAATTGGCGAGTCCACCGAACGAGAAGAACATCGAGCTTTTCGGCTTCGGTCCTGCAGGCTCTGGAATCTCTGTCGTGAGCCAATTGCAGCAGCTGCGGCTCTTCAAAATCGCACGACCGTGACTGGGTCTCACAATCGAGAGAAGACGGGAAGGTGGATGCTAGACGAAGGTTAAAGAGAGACGACAGGGCGAAAACAGCGAATCATTGCCGAACACCCTTCCTCCACGCACATCGCCGACAAAATTCGCTCGTATCTGATTGGTGATTACAAACGCATTACGATCAAACCGAAACTCGTGCGCCCACCCGTCCAATCAAACCTCATCACACTGTCATCCATCTCTCAACAGCTGCCCGACGCAATTTCGGATCAAACGGATTCAGGCTATCAGCCCGGCAAATATATTTCTCAACCTACGGTTTGAGATGTCAACTTGTCAGTGAATGCCGTTCGTGTCATCGCATCCTCCTCTCTGATGTCACTAGTATTACTGGGCTTGGTTTTTGATCCGCTCTTTGTCGGCTTCATCCTTTCTTTTCCTTTGTTCTTCGGAAAAATCATTGCTTCGAATGCGACACGAGTCAGGCACAACCGCTGGCTTTTGATAGGGGCAATGCGTAAAGTACGGTTGAATCTTTCCTCGCTCTCGCTCTCAGAAGACAGAAGAGCAAAGGCCGGCCATCTAGGTTCCGGATGCCTCTTCTCCGCTCTGTATGCCTTTCAAGGTAGCACAGGCCTCGATGCTGACCAGAACCCACCTGTGCTGGTCCAGACAGCGCTGAGTGCCAGGCGGACCAAGACAGCATGCCGAGCGTGCCTTGAAGGAGTAGGGTTGAAGCAGGGAGTGGCTTCCAAGAAGCGATCACTGCTCCCACACAGTCGCTCTGCTTCAGTGAGGGAGATTTGATTTCAGCAAACTCATCAGTCGGACGATCTCGAGCCGACGACCAATCAGAACTCGCCGATTATTTTGGTGCCTGACCGGTTGCCGCACTTGACCGCGTTTCGAAGAAAATGGGAAGAGGGAAAAAATGTCTAGCCGGTTCTTTGTCGGTTCTCTATCTTCCGACAGCTATCAAAACGGTCGCAAGTTGACCTCGGCACAACATTCTAAAGAGACAGCATTTCCAATTGCTATCAAGTACGTACACGACAAGGCCATCAACTTGCGGCTTGTGTGTTGCGAGCTGGAGAGCAGCAGCAGCAGCATTGAAGCAAAGCTATACCTTGTATCTCGCTTTGATGCTCTTAATTAGGAAGAATAGGGCTTACTGCGGTTCCACAATACCGATTCCGATATCTGATCGGGCTAGGCACGGTTACTCGGGCGAGTCTGATTGTCCATGGTGTGATTTTTGAAGCCTTTTTTAGGCACGCTCTTTTTGTCTAGTTTCTCTCAGGATGTTGCTGCTCTGTCCCTCGATTAACCTTGGGCGAGATCGGCTATGCCGGCTGCCCACAAGTGCGACACACAGACAGAGTCAGGATGACATGGTGAGAACGTAGTCGCCTTTTCAGTAGCCGACTGTAACTTTTCAGGGACTGGACAGGCCTGCACGTAGTGGAAGCTCGCAAGCTGAAGGGGAAATCGCCTCTCTTCAGAGTACAGCTGCGAGATTGTGTTGCGATTCATTAGTAGTGTTTCCTCATATCAAGCCATCTGCGGCCATAGAACCTTGAAAGCACCGCATCCCGTCTGATCTGCGAAGTTAAGCAAGGTATCGCCTAGTCAGTACTGCGGTGGGGGACCAATTGAAGATTATTAAGGCTGTACGCTGTCCTGAGCTACTAACAAGATCATACCCACAGGTGTGTAGTCTAGAGAATAATGCTTATCATCTTATCAATGGAATGCTATATACATAGGCATATATATACTTGGTGATCACCTTCAACATGTGCCAATCTGTGATGAGTCACTCTTCATATCACTCCTGAGTTGTCACCTCCTGTGTGTTATTATGACAACACTTATGCATCCCACATGCATTGCCACCTATATGCATCTTTGCTTCATTGATGGCTCACTTATGATCCATGGACCCCATGATGCTCTGCAAACCCTGTGAATCCTGTTGGGATGCCAATGCATCTTCAACTCCCCCCTTCGATGGCATCACCAATCCTAGTAACTGAGCTAGCCATGACATTGCCAAACCCTTTAATGGTTTCATTAAGATATCTGCCACATTGTTTGCCATCCCAACAAATCTGATTTCTATCTCTCCATCTTGAATGTGATCCCTGATGAAATGATACCTAGTATCTATGTGCTTCAACTTCCAGTGCTTTGCAGGATCCTTACTCACCTGTATGCATCCCTGGCTGTCTGTGCATAAGACTGGGTGAGCAGCATCAATCTCCAAATCCCTGAGAAGGTATGAGAAGAAAAGTGCTTCTCTCACTGCCTCTGAAGCAGCAACGAATTTGGCCTCCACTGCTGATAATGCTACACATTTCTGGATGTGCAATCTACAGCTGACTGGGCACCCATATACATACATTATCACTCCTGACATGCTTCTCCATCCATTTGTTGGGTCCAAGGCCCAGTTGGCATTGGTGTACATGACAATTGGCTGCCTTGAGTGTTCACTTGATCTGTTTCCAAAGATTAATTTGTATTCACTAGTTTGATTGAGGTATTTCATCAGGTGGATGGCAGCTTTCCATGCACTGTTGGTTGGGTTCGACATATACCTTGCCAGTATTCCCATGGTGAATGATATGTCAGGCCATGCAGTGTTTGCTACCCATAGTAGTTGTCCCACCAGCTCCTGGTATCACTTTACCTCTAATGGATCACACTTGTCATTTCCTGTGATGCTGGATATCCCTTGCATTGGTACCCAGGACTTCTGATCCATTGTTTGTAACCATTTACTCACCATTGCCTTGATGTAAGCCATCAAATCAAGTGACATCTCTTTCTGTGCTCTGTCTCATTTGATGCTAATGCCTAAGAATTCTTTCACCAGTCCATTATCCTCCATTCCCCATTTGGACATTATTTCCCTTTTGGTGCAATTCACTTCCTCATGACTGGGTGATGCTATAAGCATGTCATCAACATATGTCATGATGATGGTTATGCTGTTTCTGGTTCCTCTTGAATACAGACAGGGTGCACTTGGCATGCAGTGGAAACCTATGCTTTGCAGATATGAGTCCAGCTCTATGTTCCACTCTCAGCCTGATTGCTTCAGTCCATATAGTCCCTTCATCAGCTTTAGGGCCTTTCCAGAGGGGATCTTTGTTCCAAGTGGCAGCTTCAAGAAAACATCATGATGTAATGTTGAATTTAGGTATGCTTGCTTGATGTCAATACTATCTACTTCCCAGTCTTGCACTGTTGCTATGGCTAGAACTCCTTGGATTGATTGAATGGGTGCCACAGGTGTGAACACCTCTGTGTAATTGATGCCTTCTCTTTGTGTGAAGCCTCTTGCCACCAGTCTTGCCTTGAACTTTGTTGGGATTAGATTTGCATCTGTTTTGATCTTTAAGACCCAACACATGTCGACAGCATGCATACCCTTGGGGAGGTCAATGATCTCCCACATGCCCATAGCTTTTAAACCATCCAGCTCTTTGCACATTGCCTCCTCTCAATGCTTCCTGTCTTCTCCTGATAATGCTTCACTGACTGTTGGGTCTAAGTTCCTTCCTTTGCGATCGTTTATCGCCGTGAGTCCAAAATGGGTGCTGTCGGTTGTCATGGGCCCGAATGCGCAGGAAGCAGGAAGACCCATTAGTTCATATGAAGGGAGCGCAGGAATCAGGGGATCGGGCAGATTGTAGGATTTGCAGCAGAATTCACCAAGATCTGCAGTAGAATTGGTTCTATGACAAATCTCGGAGAAATCGGTACAAACAAGGATGATATCACAGATCCCACTGAGATCAGTAGTAAGCATGATCATATGGCAGATTCTGCAGAGAACAGTGACAAGGATGTCCATATGACAAATTCACATGCAAAGAGGACCAAGCTCGCATGTGAGGAGGATCAAGTGCTGCCAAGTCGGGGACCAAGCTCAGAAGTATGCAGATGGTTGCCACTCAGGGATTCACGAGATAGGAGTCGAGAGAACTGTCGCCAGTTGAAGGAGGAAGAGCTGTGTTGAAGACACCAGCAAGTAGGTCATTAGGAGGAGGAGCAGTGTCGAGGGAGTCGACACACAGCTCAGGAAGGACAGGAGCAGTGTTACAGGGATCTCTGTATAGTACTCGACAAAGAAGGTACTCTCTGGAGAGAGAGAGCTGGAGCAGTGTCGCAGGCAACACTATGATGGATGTATATAAGCATACCCTCTCATCATAAGTGGTCGAGTGGATCCCCATCCACTCTACACACCATATAAACTAGTATTACTTCAGCATTTAAGTACTCATTAGTTTCAGTCAGCATAGTTGCAATCAAACAGATTGCTTCTCATTGTAGCACATGTGTTGTATCACTGCTCACTGATGTCCAAAGGCAGTTCCTAGCAAACCAGCAGTCTGGATTAAGATAGAACCAAAGGCAGTAGTCCACTGTGGTCTGGGGATCACCTCAAGCGATAGTCAACACACTGGACACTCATGTTGATGCCACCAACCTCATCACCAACAAGATACTCACACCAGACCTTGGTGTTACCATAACCTACATGTTGACATTGATCGTGCTGAGCTACCTCTGGACAGAGTGTCCACAGTGGTTAGTTGAAATCTGCAATAGCATTACTACATTCACAGATTTGAGCAAGAAAAGTGATAGAGACAGCTCTATCACATATTTCGCCGAGAATTGCAATACCACTAGTGTTGTTGCATAACTCGACAGGATCAGTAATAGTATCGACACTATTACAGATTTCAGGTTTCAGGTGCACAACCGCTGACATCGGTCCATGTGTCGGTGTCGGTGTCGGTCCCATATTCGATCGTCCTTGTCACACCCTCACCTGGGTCTCTCTCGTTGTCCAATCCATCGATTGCCTCCATATCCATGTATTCGTTTAGTGGCTCCTCCTCTCTCTTGTCGAAGAGGTTCCTATCTGTGTACCTGAGGTCATCTATGTCTCCTTCATCTGCCAGTGCTGGTGGTGGCTGTCAGGGGTCTCGCGCCTGAAACCCAGGTCGGTCTGTCGAGATACTCGGTGACTATCAAACTGTGCAACAGCTATTGTCTCGGTATCGGTGACTATCAAGTTGTGCAGTGACAGCAGGTGGTGTTCGTTGTATATACTATCATAGGTTTCGGCTGACCTCAGTGGACACTCCGTTCAGGGGTAGCTTGGCACGATCAATATCAATGCTTCGGTTATGATGACACCAAGGTCTGGTGTGAGTGTTGATGATGATGAGGTTGATGTTGTTGGTGATAAGGTTGGTGAGTGTTGATGATAAGGAGGTTGATGGTGTTGGTGATAAGGTTGGTGGCATCAACACGAGTGTCCAGTGTGTTGACTTGATGCTTGAAGTGACCCCTGGACCGCAGTGGACTACTGCCTTCGGTTCTATCTATATCTGGACCGCTAACCTGCTATGGGCGCCTTCGGACGTCAGGTAGTGGTGATACAACACACACACTACAATGAGGAGCAACCTTGATAGATTGCTGCTATGCTGACTGTAACTAATGAGTACTTATGTTTCTAAGTATTGACTAGTTGTATGGTGAGTAGAGTGGATGAGGATCCACTCGACCTATGATGATGAGAAAGCATGGTTATATACCTCTTCACAGCATCGCCAGCGATGCTGCTCCTGCTCTCTCTCCAGAGAGTACCTTCTTCATCGAGTACTGCTCAGGGGCCTCTCCTGCTTGGCACCCCTGTGCCTCTTGAGCTGTGTCGACTCCTTCGACACTGCTCCTCCTCCTCATGACCTGGTGTTGACTCCTTCGTCACTGCTCCTTCTCCTTTGATCAGTGACAGTTCCTTTGGCTCTTGTCTCTCGAGCCCCTGAGTGGTAACCATCTGCATGCTCCTTGAGCTTGGTCCTCTTCGTGGCTGTGCCTGCTCCTTGAGCTTGGTCCTCCTCGTGGCTGTGCTTGGCCCTCCTTTGCATGTGAGTCCATAGGAGTCCATGGTCTCCATGGAGACTGCACTACGACCATGCTCTCTACTGATCTTGACTAGATCTTCGATACCTGTGCTCCTTCCATATGAACCCGTGACCCTCCTGCTTCTTGAGCATCCAGGCCCATGACACTACCCCCCTCTTAAGAGCCGAGCTCCATCGAGGCATGCTATGGTCTGGTTCATGCTGACTCCTCCTCCTCCTCCTCCTCGACAACATCGCCAACATCACCCTTCCTCCTACTCTCAACGTCATTCTCCTTCCTCCTCCTCTCTCTACTTTGTCTACTCACTCGTCCCCCCTCCGACACCTCATACCCCTGGATGAGGTCAGGAGAGTTGAGGTTCTCTACTGGTTCCCATGAAGCAGCTTCTTCTGAGTACCCTCTCCACAACACCTTGTACTCTGTAGTCCCATTGTGTGAACGCTTGTCGATGAGTGCTTCGACTTCGAAGTTGAGGTCCTCATCTGGAAGTGATGGTATGGTGGGCTGTTCAGCATGTTGAGGAAGAGAACTTGTTCTTGCTGGCTCGAGCATGGAGACATGGAACACATCATGCACCCTAAGGTTTGCTGGCAAAGTGATTCGATAAGCTCGGCGTCCTACCCGTTCCTGAACTGGGTAGGGTCCTGCAAACTGTCATGGGCCTGGATGCTCAAGAAGCAGGAGGGTCATGGGTTCATATGGAAGGAGCACAGGTATCGAAGACCTAGTCGACACCAGTAGAGAGCATGGTCGTAGTGCAGTCTCCATGGAGACCATGGACTCCTATGGACTCACATGCAAAGGAGGGCCAAGCACAGCCACGAGGAGGACCAAGCTCAAGGAGCAGGCACAGCCACGAAGAGGACCAAGCTCAAGGAGCATGCAGATGGTTACCACTCAGGGGCTCGAGAGACAAGAGCCAAAGGAACTGTCACTGATCAAAGGAGGAGGAGCAGTGTCGAAGGAGTCGACACCAGGTCATGAGGAGGAGAAGCAGTGTCGAAGGAGTCGACACAGCTCAAGAGGCACAGGGGTGCCAAGCAGGAGAGGCCCCTGAGCAGTACTCGATGAAGAAGGTACTCTCTGGAGAGAGAGCAGGAGCAGCATCGCTGGCGATGCTGAGAAGAGGTATATAACCATGCTTTCTCATCAATAGGTCGAGTGGATCCTCATCCACTCTACTCACCATAACTAGTTATCACTTCAGCATAAGTATACATTAGTTTCAGTCAGCATAGCAGCAATCTATCAAGGTTGCTCCTCATCGTAGTGTGTGTGTTGTATCACCACTACCTGACGTCCGAAGGCGCCCATAGCAGGTTAGCGGTCCGGATATAGATAGAACCGAAGGCAGTAGTCCACTGCGGTCCGGGGATCACTTCAAGCATCAAGTCAACACACTGGACACTCGTGTTGACGCCACCAACCTTATCACCAACACCATCAACCTCATTATCATCGACATCACCAATCTCATCACCAACACCATCAACCTCATCATCATCAACACTCACACCAGACCTTGGTGTCATCATAACATTGATATTGATCGTGCCGAGCTACCCCTGAACGGAGTGTCCACAGAGGTCAGCCGAAACCTACGATAGGATATACAACAAACGCCACCTGCTGTCACTGCACAACTTGATAGTCACCGAGTATCTCGAGACAATAGCTGTCGCACAGTTTGATAGTCACCGAGTATCTCGACAGACCGACCTGGGTTTCAGGCGCGAGACCCCTGACATTAGAGTGGATCGTTCAAGCAGCTCCTCACGATCACCATGACGGACCCAGACCTCAACAATAAGCTCGATAGACTACTCACTCTATTGGAAGCTCAGCTAGAGCTTACTAGGCAGGGTCATCGAGAGGAACAACTACAACGAGCTCAGCTGGGTAGGGAGGAGACAATGGACCTCTCTCACTCAGAAGACCAAGCAGGAGGAGGAGATGAGTCTATGATAGGAGACCCACATACTCCTACTCCGGCTCCACGACCAAGACGATCAGTCTCATTCAACCTGGATGAGCAGGAGGACATCAACTACGAGAAGTATGCTTCACCTACTGGGCCAAGATATGTCAAGACTAAGCTGGACCCCTACAGCAGGACTAGGACGGATCCTTACCCCCTGGACCACGAGGAGGATACCAGCATCATGGCAGAGCTTAACCGGTCAAAGCCCATTGCCACCCCCTTTCCAAAGTTCAATCCCCGAGACATGGAGATCTTCATTCTAGAAGCCGAAGCATGGTTTAAGTTCAACCAGGTGTATGAGCAGTCTAGGATGATCAATCACATGGGTGCTCAACTGGAAGGGACAGCAAGAGAGTGGTGGACCTCCAAGCTCCGCCTTGATAGAGCTAGAGAAGGAAGGTTGTTCAATGATTGGCACTACTTCACAGAGCGACTGTCAGAGCAGTTCAACCCACGCAATGCTAGGATGGAGGCATACAACAAGCTGTTGGCTCTCAGACTCACAAGTGATGCTCCTGGTGCCGCCACACGTCATGTAGAGCGGTTCAGAGACTTGGAGGGAC